GATTTGCAGGTGCCTTGCGAGGTGTATGTAAGTGGAAGCAGCACAGGGGGGAACATGCTTGTATCTGGGTTTGCTGCTGAAGGATCCAGGAATGCTCAATAGGTCCTGAAGTCTTTTGAGAACAGTAATGTGACTGGATTCTCCACCTATCTTACATGGTTTACATCTCCTGAATGGTACTAGAAATTGTGCTAAATTATACAATTGTCCATGCTTTGTATATCCCTAAAATACACTTAGTGCACCAAAATGGTGTGTGATAAAATCCAGCAGCAGCAGAACTTCCAAACCATTCATGATAATCCCATCCCATGGCACCCTTAGCTAGAAATAGACTCATTAATTTGGAGTGACATTTGTTCAACTTGAATGAGCCATCTAAAGGCTAGCTGGCTGGGGCTGAACTAGTCACTGAGGGATTCTCAGTGTCAGCCCAAAGCAATGCACATCTCCCACGAGGCAGGATGAATCAACACAGCAATGCCTTTTTCCAGAGCACCCTTCCAACAGTGTGCACTTCAGGAACTTGTGAGCCAGTGTCTGCATGTTTGTGTTAAGACCTGCCAAGAGCTCCACTGCAGACCTCTTCTGTTAGAACTGACCACCTTCTCCTATGCTGTCTTTCCTAGCTTTCAGTGTGCTATTTACCCTCATGAAGACCTTTCTTCTGATCCCATAAGTGCTTACTTCTTTGAGAACCTGTTGAATGTTTTTGCAAAGCCGTGTGGTCTATCTCAACCTTTGTCCACACTGACACCTTCAAGGGTTTCCAGCAGCTTGTAAGGTGTGAGTTCCCTCCAGAAGCTAGGCCGACTCTTCTGGAGCATATTTACTGTTTTCCACTAACACATCATTGTTACTATGTTACAATGCTTTTGTCACCTTTTCACCTCCAAACTGGTCAGCAGTTTTCCAGAGCTTACCAGCTTAAGAAAAAGCTTGCATTATATGTTAGACACTTTTCAATCATCTCACATTCACATGAGAGGGCTCCAGTTAGCAGCTCAGCTACTTTCCTGTAGCAACCACTTTCAGTTCCTGTAGCAGCCACTACATACTCCTCATGACACTGATCTGTTGATTTGGTCTGTAAAGCTTCAAATCAGTGTTGCTAGAAGTGAAGCTATCCGCCTCTTCTGCAAATGTGGAGTTGATCAGTATTTGCAGCATCTACACGCCTTTTCATCTTTAGTTTGAACTGACTCATTTCCTATCTTACACTTTGACTGTAGACTTTTAGAGAGATATTTCTTTATCACATGAACTCATTGCCTGTAAAAACTGCCCACACAGTGCAGTCTTCCATAGGTCCCTAGGTCCCCCTTATTCTGCCAATAAAAGAGGATTTAGAAGAGCCATGATCAGGACACAAAAGGACGAAAAATAATAATGATGTTGGATATTCCTCTGAATGTTGGAAAAACCATCGTGATCCCCACAAAAAGCTTCAAGTCAGCCTTTCCTGTCAGGACAGAGCTATCATCACTCTGGCTGCCTCCCCCTGGAGGAACAAAAAACCCTGTAGATGCTGACAGGGCTTGATTTATGGCTTGGGGCTCTTACTCATATTCAATCATCCAAGTTCTAAGAACACATCTATTAAGTTTCTCGCACTGACTCATCCAAGATGCCAGATAAGTTACACAATTCACCTTCATCAGTCTTTCCTTTAGCCTTCAAATACAGAAATGCAGTTAGAGCACCTCAAGCTGCAATTCACACTATTTAAACAATTTCAGTTCAGAAGAATTACTTAATTATGAAAAGACAAACCCAAAGACTCTTTTAGCTTCAGGCCAGATACCACTTCATTTGCAACAGCCAAACGCTGAGCAAGTCTTAACAGAAGGACTTCAATCTGCATAAAACCCCCTTCAATAGTATCAGTCACTAAGCATTTTCATGCAAGTTACATGCCGTTTTATCCATCATTTCTGAAGACCTCCCTTTTCCTCTGCAACATTCCCCTTTTTAACATCTTTTTTCTACAGAGATGAGTAACCTACCTGCATTTAACCTGCCAACATTATTGAAAAAGAAGCAAGCAACCAAGCCAACCATCTCTCCCACCTCCACATCTCCAAACAGGTTATTCAAATTCAGCAGAGAGAACAATTTTAATCAGGAAAGCCCCTTTTCTCTGTTCGACAAAATTCCATTCACCCTGCATGAAGGTATAAGCCCACTAACATCACCACTCCCGACTATGGTCAGCATTTAGAGCAACCATCAAGCTCAATACCACTAGCCTAGGATGAACTCAAATGCTGCCATACAGCCAGGAACTGGAAACACCTGGAAGCTCTTAGGGCAGCTGTAGTGAGATACAGCAAATCAGGGAACTATTATTTTCCATCACTGTGGTTATTTACAGAGTATTACAGCAAGTGCTCAGCAATGTGTTCTCTGGTCACATATCATGACCAATGTCATAGGTCCTATGGCCCCTCTCTCATACACAAGCTGTGGGGTGTAGACAGTCTCGCTGGTCCCATCTCAAGACATCAGCAGAGGCAGCTACAGTTTCAAACATTGCTGCTGACTATGGTATGGCATAGTTGCTTGCATCAGAGTTTATTTTCATGAAATGCATGAATTTTTAAATAAGGATTGCACATAACTTCATCCTTATGCTTTTGTGAAGAGATGTGCTGTAGACAACGCCTGAATTACCATCATTTATTATACTAGCATGTAATTAAGGGTCTCCCAATATACCTCAACTGAAGAAGCTGAGGATGCCTAGGCCACAAGGCATCACTAGCTCTTCTAATGGTGTATTTTTTACAGATTTCAGTTTTCAGAATATTCCATGAACACTTTCCCATTTTGAAGGCAGCAAAACAGAAATGCAGAAAGCTGAAAATGACTGAAAAAGTAAAGGAATCTAGAACTGAGCCAGTTCTTCCATGTGCTAAACATACACTGAAAGATATGGGTTTCATTGCAATCAGCTTTCCAAGCCTTCTTCCCTTGCCATCACCTCTGCTCGTGCCGTGTGCAGGCGAATCACGGTGTATTTTCCATCCAAAGATACAGACCACACAGAAAGGTTGTTTCTACTCAGTCATCCAGCATGCTGGGTGAATTCATGATCATCTCCTGTTGTTAGAAGGAAGATAACAGAAGGGAGAAAATGCATCTCTGGTAATGAGGTTAGGTAAAAACTCACATGACTAAAAAAGGTGAAGATGTGACCACGGGGCTGATCCTTCCTCTCTCATTTATGCTTGCACCAAAGAAGAAGTATTTTTGAATGACAGGGAGATGGAAACTGAACACCACCTCTTTCTTTAAAAAAAACATTCACTAAAACTGAGCTACCCATCAGTTACTGGCAAAGCCACAAGTTCATCAAATTCTGCAGTTTGGTCCTCGGGTCACAGATGTGCAGAAGATCTGATGTTCACTATTATTTTTGTAACACAGGGAGCAGAGTTTTGGAAAGCCTCAGTTTTGGGAGTTCTTAGCATCTATCTAAAGCAGTTAGTTTTTGGAAGAGGAAAATGAGGTAAGGAGATAGATTTGGGTTTTCGAACAGAATTCATAGCCCCATTTAATTTACTATTAATTGGGTTTCCAATACTGGATGATTCTCTCCAGCTGATAATTGAACTTCCCTTCTTTGCCATTCCCAGCCTCTTCTGTTCTGCAGTAGCCAATGAGCCACAGAAATCCACTTAGTCCCTGGGCTCTTTCAGCTGACATCAAGTTTCTCAGAGGCTGATCACAGCTCTAATATTTCTGTGAAGTTATAATACAAAATCCAGCAAGTTGCACAATTAATGAAGCATTACACATATATTTAAGCTAAGAGTAACATTTACATAGAAGGTGCTTCAAAGTAAGTTCCAACACTACCTCATGTGGAGTGAGCTGCTTCGTCCATTTGGAACACAAGGAACTGAACTACGGAATTGTTCTTGCAAAGGAGTTGTTCAGATTTGCCATCCCTACATTCTTCACCTTCAGCCCTGTGGATTTAAAATGCACCAGGAATGTCATGTTGAGCACCACCTCCTCTTACAGCCAAGTTACCAGCACAAGTGCCCAAGTTCTACCCTTTTGCTTTCTCCTGCTGCCAAGTAGAGATGCTCCAGTGACCATCTGTACATGTAGACCACTTCTTTATCCAAGGGTGGTTCCAAAAAGCACTGCGTCATCCTGATGTATGTTAGTGTTTGAGGAAAGCTATCACTGGACAAATAGCAGCAATGGGAGAGATGAAACACAGAAACACAAAGCACTGCAGCAGAGGCTGATGCTTTAGTACTCAGTAAATACATGTGCTGATTCCCAAACCAGCTGCAATAGGACTGGTCACTGCCTGCTTCCCACAAACACACACAAAGCTCTGTGTTGGAGGAAATCCTGACACAAGTGGATTTGCATTGATTCAATTATCTTTTTGGGTATTGTTTTGTTTTCCTGTTTCTTATAAACAGATTGTGTGAGTCAACTTGTGTGTCTGCAGGAAGCTCTTGTGAAAACATTGCCTATAGTAATACTGCCAAGACGTGCTAGTAACAAATGCAGATATCACCAGTATCTGAATGTAATCAACTGAGCTTCTGCTTCATTTTCAGCATGCTAAGGGACCAACCAAAACCCAGCCTTCCCCTAAAATTGCTGTAATAAAGCTACAGCAGTTTCTGGTATACAAATGGTCAGGTTTTGACTATTTGGTCTGTCATGCTGGCTAAATTCTACCCAAGTCTTCCTGATACTATCAAAGATAAATTTGAATTTCTAGGGATTCTGTCACTACAGCATCTCTCCAGCTGTTCTACAGCACTCCCATTTCAAGCTGCATCCTTCTTCCACTGAAAATTAATTATTATTAATACTTTCAAAGAATAAATCAACAGCAAAAATATTTCTCTGACATAAAGAGCAACTGAATTGGTCTTCAGGCCTTTCATACATGGTATAGAAATGTCACAGTTTAATATGGACAAAATAACGTTCAACACACAATAATTACATATAATGTCATATGATCTGGTATGTGCAATTTAGTGTTTTATTAAACAAATACAGTAGCTAACCAAAATCTGATTGCTGACAATGGGAAATTACATTAAAGCGTATGCTCCTATGGCAATTACTGGTCATCTGAAATTATATATGCCCTAAAACATAATGCAGAAAATTATCTTCCTGTGAAATAAGAAATACAATAGAAATAAAGTTAAGGGACATGTTTATTTTGGAGCTTTCTGCAAGCAAAATTGCTTTGATACAAAATGAGTTCAATGATACAGTGCTACCATCCACTCAAGCAAAAGAAAACCTCACATTTACATGAATGCACTTTATATTGATATTCTTACAGAATAATAGTTCAGATATCCAGAATGTGTCTGGCCTCATTGAAAGCAATGGCACAGAAATGCTGCAAGGTATTGGAGTATCATATTACTGGCAAGTGCTTAATTAACTCTGTGAGTTCTCTGAGAGATGCTGTATAAATAAGGGTACTGTGAAAGTGGGTTTGTATTCCTTAGTATTTTTGCCGCACATCCTTTAGTGTTTGTTTAGTTAGCTCAAAATGTGTGTCTTTTGGCTTTTTAGTATTCTCTTTTTCTTTTTTAAAGAAAAATCATGAGGTATCCTTTACTGTTAACTAATGACATAGTGATAGGCCTATTTTATTGAGGTTGCAGAGACTTACTGTACATTCGGTACACTGTACATTCGGCAATTATTTTTAGTGTACTTTCTACACATTACTGTGTACAACTGTTAGTTTACATTAAAACTCTTCCCCCTTCTCACAGGATATGGCAAAACCAAAACCAGAATCTGACAAAAATTATACACATAAAATAAGAAGACAAATACACAAATAAGGCCATCTGCAGAATTAAAAATCCACCTCTTGCGATATTTCACAATAATTTCTACATAATATTTTACATCTTACGAACTTAAATACTTAATGCAAAAAGAAAAGACCTTTATGGAGCCAATCATATTATCTCTTCAAGGACTTGTCTAGTTTGCTGGCTAGTGGCCTTCTCTGGGGCGTTGGAATTTTGGAAGGCTTGGCTGATCCTGGCCGAGAACCTGCTCGGGGTGTCGGTCTGCTTGTGGCAGGAACAGTCTCTGACATATCTGAGCACACAGACTGGATTTCTGAAATGTCAAAGTCAGATGCGTCACTGCCGCGGCGGCTGCTGGACCTGCTGCCAGCCTTGCTTCCTGCTCGGCTTCCAGGTCTGCTTGGAGTTCTTCTGGTTTCTAGAGAGAGAGAATATATCCCTCAGTATTGGAGGTAAGGATGGAAAGGGTGTGCAGGACTTTGCTAGGTCTTTGGCAACCCTGAACGTTCCTCATTGAATAAACTAAACTTCTCTGCCAGGCAAGCTAGATGATGCCATAATTCCCACTAAAGAGAAGGAAACGTGAGATCAAATGCTGAGCCATAGTTAATTTGTCACTAGCACATCTCATTAAAAATGCATTATCCTGGCAACTTTTCTTTGCTTGCTAAAAACACATTGTATATTCACTCAACAGCCAGAGCCTTTCTTTCCACTACCATTTTCTCAGCTATGAATTGAAAGAATTCAGTATCTGGCCTCTTCACGCATTCAGGATTTCTTAATGTATGTACCCTTTTTAAAAAAGGTCAAACCCATACAGTTGAAAGCTGTAAGTAAACAAGGGCAGAGTACACATTCTCCCAAAGAAAGGGCTCAGTAAATGAGCTCTCAGCAACCCTGCTAAAGTGAATGCCTGCTCAGACAATGTGCCATGAAGAAAAAACCACAACAAAGAATCTGTAACAGAAGACCATTAATGTGGGTTTTTCATAATTTTCCTACTACTTATTGAATATTTCTAATCTTAACAAATCTTGTAGCCTGTACGTGTGAACAACATAAAAGTTGAAACTGGAATCTTAGGTGGCTCTTGTTTCAAATAACCCATAGAACCATGTACTCTTTGAACAGGATTTTCCAGTACTGCTCAGTATGGTTTACAGACCTTAAGATGTGAGGGAAAGACAGTAAAGCTATCTTCTGTTCTAACCATCCAGCCCTTTCCCTTGTACAGAGCTGCTCTGAGGATCCTGAAAGAGTACAGCTTCATTGCTTTCTATTTTCATATACTCTTTTCAAAATCTCTACGGGATATTCCATTAATAAAGTCATCTACAGCTGCTCCCCACTGTTCTTCTTTCACAAGGAATGGATAAGTCACGATTAAGTGACCACTTTGTTCCATCACAGCGAACACTGTGAAGAACTGAACCTTTTAAGCAAATGGTTCTTCCCTAGCTCCTTGGGCAGATACACTGGAGATACCATTGTCAAGAAGGCTGCAGTCATGAATTTGCACATCCAGAGCTGAATGCACTGGCTGTGCAACCATGTAAACAGAGGGCCATTACCCTTATTATGTGCACCCTTAGCAAAACTAAGGTAGGACTTTCACTCCTTCTCAGTCACCTGACATCTCCCTCACAACCTAACATGACCCTAAGTGTTCAGGTGGAAAACAAAGCAAGTGGCAGATCAAGCTCTGAAGACACTCACCTGCAAACTGAGCTCTAACTCTGGTAGCTGCTGTTGACAGGATGCCACTGTCTTCTCCAGAGTGGAAACCCTTCCCTGATAGATATCCTGGCAGTCTGAGCTTACTTCCTTGAATTGGTGTTCCCTACGCAAAAGGCAAAAAAGGAAAAAAAAAAAAAAAAAGAAAAAAGATTTATTTTTGGTTGCCACTACTGAAAACAAGGTCTGGCTGGTAACAGGTAGCTCATAGTGTAGAAGATGATCATCACAACAACATTCACTGCAAATCTGAAGTACTGATTTGAGTCACTACATTTTTCATGATGTGAAATTTTAGCAGTTAATATTTGACGTAGTCCAAATGTCAAACAACAAAATAACTTTAACAGTCTGCTTGATATTAACCCTTTAGCATTCTTTATGCATATTTCAATGCATATGAAGAAAGAAAAATACGACCTTCTTGTAATTAGTAACGTATGTAAGATTAATTGATGGTACCTGACTTAAAGAGAGACAAGTAGTGGAGGTTTTATGTCTGCATAGCTTGACTTTCCACCATTCTGGCACTGGTTATAAGTCATGAAAATATTTGTTTCAATTTTACAAATATTTTGAAGGCAAAATAAAACTACTGAATTTCAAAGCCTCTGGCAGAAAAAAGACATAAGAGTAATTTAGAATGTTTTCTTGTTCTCAATATATTGTCTGAAATGTTTCTACTCCACAAGCTGACCCCTGCCTGCTTTCGCAGTTTGAGTCTTGATTTACAATCTATCTGCCCCAAATGGGACAATTTCTTTCAAAGCCACAAGAATTAAATCCTCAAATCTCAAAACGCACGCAGAATGTACGATAGGAGGTGCATGCATATAAAACCACAGTATCCATATTAATTTAATTAACACAAAAATACTAAATAAATTCCAAAACAATGAATAAACATTGCAGTGATGAATGTGGCATGGTGAGTGGCCTGTATACTGGCATTGTGTGTTCTGTGCCTTTGACCTCCATAAAATGGTGGGGTAGAATTAGTTACTGAGGGAAAGATCCCAATTACTTCCACTTCAGCACTTTGGGCAAGACACTGGGGCAGAATCATTGGTGCAAGAAGAAATCAAGCTTATTCTTAATATTTGCCCTAAACTTAAGTACAGTCTACATGTAAAATGAATAACCATTCTCTTCAGCAGAAAATGCTGCAGAATGCCCCAGAAATTCACTGCAACCTACCCTACCCTACTTGTTCCATTTATAATCTTAAACCATGGTGGTTTACATAAAAGAAACTAACTGGCAGCTGTAAGAAGTGCTCCATTTGAAATCAACACCAACTGCTTTCACCTCATTGTAATTTGATGAAAACACCACCTTTCCACATCTATAAACCCTTTTAAGTACCATCAATTAATCTTGCAATCAGCTAAGAGATGAAAGAAATAGAGGAATATATTAGAAATTGAAACTGACTCAACTCTGTGCTATTGTTACTTATTCTAAGCAACAGCCCCATGTGCTTGAAGTGCTGTATACATACACAAGCCTGCAGTGTGCACAGGTAAGGCACCCACCCTCACAGAAGGAGGGAGTGAAAAGTTCGTTATGCATCTTTGAGCAAAGCCACGCCAAGGTCATATAAACCCAGCACCAGAAGGTGTCACATGAATAGCAACAGGCATCAAAGTGCAGATTGGTGAAAAGCAGGTACAAGAGAGGTGATGGTGGCACAAGCTTCTCCTCCCTGAGCCCTTCGTCTAACCCAAGGCAAGAGTAATTCCTACAAGTGACAAGTCAGTCTGCAGCCTGATCCAGCTGCAATCTTTTCACTGACTGTAATGACATGAGAGGAGACACTCTGGCTTCAGGCCCATTCAAATTTCTGTCATACAACTTAAATGCTGGCACAATCCTAATTATTACAGCAGCAATTTCTATGCAAGTCCTGTGCTGGAAATAAGACCAAAGCTCATTTCCTGTTAAGTCATCAAATAGCTATCTTATTAGAGCAACGATTGGTCACTACCCCCCTAAACAAAACTTCCAGTTGTTAGAAACATTTATGTATCACAGTCAGTCTTTTGTGCCATCTTCTTCACAGTGACTGGGTATTTCTTTATTTAGTGGTTTTGCACTGGAGATCGTGATTTTTCCTACTTTTCCACATTTGCTCAACCAGTTCATTGCACACTGATTTATTAACCATTTGCACTTTAAACATTAATTCATTGAGGCTGAGTTTTCCTGAAAGTCAAAAAACATAACAAACAGAACAAAAAAAAACAAAAAGAAAAAAAAAAAACCCAACAGACTTGTGAAGAAAATTAAGGAAAGAAATAATTTGACAAAGCTCTAAAACAAACACAATCCATTAATATGCCAAAGATGTTGCAGCTCTGAAGCACTGAAACTCTAGTGGCTGTTAGTGAGGTGACAGTTTTAGTGAAGGAAGGTCATTAGACTAGAATCTCTGTCCTTACTGTACCTCTGCAGATGACCCTTGATAGTCTGAGGATTCTGGTGGCTTAGAAGGAGTTGACGTTTTGCTGTTTGTCAACCATGGTTTACCATAGTTGCGTGTTAAATGATGGGGTGTCTGTATGAAACAATGGTAAATCAAAATATGAAGGACAGTAGATGGAAAACAATGACATGTAGAAGGATACCCAGGTTGTCACTGGGAGATCAAATCTTCTAGTAGAAGTAAAAACTAAGCAGAAAGAAAAGGTGATGACAAACATTCTGAAACAAAGCGATGGAAGAACTTATTTTCTAAATTAAATGGAGAGCTTCACTGCTCTTTCACAGCAACTCCCAAATTGCCAGTTAGCTCATGTGTTGCCTTATATGTAAAGAATTCTTCTATTCCTGTGTCATAAATAAGCAGTAGAGGAAATACACTGAAAAGACTTCTCAGATCCTCCCCAGACTATGAAATAAATGGAGATAGTTCTTCCTTATCAGCTAGGAGAAGCACCAGCATTGTTGGAGGAAGTGAGAAAAAAAATAACCAATCTGTTAACCCAGATCTGTTAACCCAGATGTATTTTTGTTTGTTTCTCCTTACCTTCGGTGTACTTGTAGCAACTGCCTGTGGAGCAGCTGCCTGGCCAGCCTGACTTGACAGAGAAGTAGATCTGTTGGGAGAGGCACCCCTTGAAGAAGGTCGTGACCTACGGCCCCTTGGTCGGAAAGCTGCCATGCTCTGACTGGCACCATCTGCCAAAATGAACTTCTCACGCAGCTCCACGTTTGTCCTCCCTTTAGCTGCAGCAAAGAGAGGTGTTCATTTAGTCAGACAGGAAAATTGCCACAAGGCAGTTTAGCCATTTTCGCCATGCCAACTCCAACACATTTTAACAATAAATAAAATGCATTACTGTGTAATGCATTTATTTTGGACACAGAAGAGTTATGTGCAGAACTCACTTATTCTAATACTTTATGCCAGCAGGAATGAACCACTGTCAAAGGAAGTCAGCATGATAATGGAATGCTCAACGTGCTAAATCATTGTTAATCAATCAACTATTAATACATAGACACAACCTGATGAGCAGTTTTGCTAAATCTACAGCTACTCATAATAAATAATACTTGCTTGGATGTTCCAGAAGAAATTGCTAAGTACAAATTACAGGAAAGCAGCAAATATATTTATTCAAAACTATGTAGTTATGTAGTTTGGCAACATGCAATGAGGAACATAAAATCCAAACTAGGATGAAGTAATTGGTGGCTAAGCACTCACACACACAAACACACATATGAGAGAATGTTCTGCAAGAATAGATGCAAGACATGTTAGGATTTAACTGTGTCAGTGTGAATGACAGTTGTTTTTGAAACACTCTTAAAGCGTGTCAAAAAAATAAGCTTGCAAAGCACCAGCCCATGTAGGAACACATTAAGCTAAATGTGATGGGTGAAGCATATTGTTAAAAGTATATATATTTAAAAAGTGGGAAGGAAATGAAAAGAGAGGAGAAGAGGAGGAGAGGGAGACAAAGAGAGGGGTTTGCCAACCTATAGTAGGCTGAGTGGTAATTGAAGAGTTTGATTCCGAACGTAACATTTTACTCCCGTGATGATGAACTAGAAAAAATGACACAGGACATGGGTCACATTAAAGAAAACCGTTAGCAAGAGAAGAAATCAAGTACAGCAGCTGCATATGCAAGAGACTCGGAGCACCAGGCCAAAGACAGGAGTCAGAGCAAAAGCTGCCCCTAAGTGCTCTGAGACGAGTTCTCAAAGATCTCCTAGGCAAAAAGGAAATAGCTCTTGGACAGACTCGGCTGCAGTCCCAAGTATATGTCTGTAACAATGGTATTTATCTGCTGACATAAAGAAGTAATAAAAGCTTTCTATAGATATTCTATATAACTAGGTCAAATAATTTTAAAGCTGTTTACGACAACAGTCCTTTGAAATGTGATTTAACTGCATAGAGAAGAAGCCCTTGGTGCAAATGCAGATTTTCTAGGTGAAGTGATTAAGGAAATGTCTGAAACTGCACCACTGACATTAATGACTACTTTGCACCACTGACTTCAACAAGACCAGGATTAGGTACCAATGCACAATATCCAGTGTCCAGATGTTTTTGCAGAGATTAGCATTCCTTTAGACCCACTGTGATGACTTTCTCATCTGCTCAGGTATTTCCATGAAAAACGGATAAAGTACTATAGAAAATACTATACAGATACATAGAATTCAAGGTTTATTAAAAAAAGAGTCCAAACAATAAAGTTCCAAAGAACTCTTAATCTGAGGACAGTAATAAGGAATTAATGAGACAGTTAAGTACTGTATCTCTCAGTGTCAACTCAAATGGGAGTTACACCAGTCTACCTGTTGATAGGCCTGAGAAAATGTTTGGGATACATCGAAACTAATGAATGAAGTCAGATATTTTGAGGCGCATTTCATTTCCCCCTACCCTCCACTTTTGAGAAACAAGAGTAGAAAGCTCTAAAGGATGCAGGCATAAATGACTTTCCTGTAGCAGTAGGTGCAGAATCAGGTGCTAAATTTCAGTTATATCCATGGCCCATTGCCAATGAATGTAGTATTATCATTACGCTTCTTTAATAAACAATGTATATAATATGTTGGTAAGCAAAAGGACTATTTCTATTACTGCTTAAAAACTCAGATGTCATCATAAGGCTATGACAGCTCTTTTATGATATTATGATAATAAATTTTATGGTTACCTTTTAAGCCTGTAGATAAAGGTTTCTAGGCCTTAGGGACATACTGTCATTCCTTAAGAGGTTTTCTGGTCACTTCTTTTTTGATTTAATGAGAGATTGTGGTAGCTTCTTTTTTGATTTAATGAGAGATTGCAGTAGCTTCTTTTTGGATGTAACATCCTTGGACTTAGTATGACAATTGCTACAAATACAAGCTCTCCACCCTCTCAAGGTTTCTATCATACTGTTTGGAAACCTTGGTCCCAAATCAGAAGCTCTGTGGGATAGCTTCACAAATGGCTTCTTTCATATCTCAAACTGCTTCTCCAAGAACAGTGTCAGACAGAGTCTACTTTCCCACTAGAGAAGTAGGCTTTCTGACAAACTAAGATGTCATTACATTGCTGTGTACTGATAAAACAACGCACTGGATACAATGCCCTGGAGGGCATGGTGACAGAGTGCTCCCTGCTTCTGCAGAGCCCAAAGTCCTCCTGACCAGAGAATTATCCACTTGCTATATAGAAGGCTCAGGGCTCTGCAAAGTGGTTCTGGGGAAGATGCCAACGAAAAGACAGGGCCACAAAGGCAGAGCCTGAAAGCCTGGGTGCAACCACTGGCCAGAGAAGATTTTATTGTTGTTGATGTTACTCTTTGAATCAATTGCCTTATTTTGAATTACTGCCTTAAAATTTCTCTCTTGTGGAGGAGGTTTTATTGGACATTTCTCTGTGCTATTTCTGCCAAAGTCATACAAGCAGCTTATGTGCCATAAACTCTGTCTGGGTCAAGATCAGTTCTTACTTACAATACTCTAATGCTGGAGGAACTGAACAAGACGCCACAATTGTTTTAGACATACATCAGTGTAACTGAACAGGATCTCAATCATGAGATTTAAAGTTTACAAAAAACAGATCATTATGTGACATTTGGTGAGATGATGTTTACAGAACTGCCATTTTATACAATTCAATCTTCACCTCAAGACAATGAATGGTGATTGCATCCAAATAATTGCCTGCAGGTCCATTTTAACAGTTGTGTTACATACCCCTGCAAGGATCGTTTTTCACTAAGAATTCATCGAGTGCCATCCAGCCACCTCCGACACGAACCATGACTGTACTTCTTAGGATACGAACAAGGCGCAATTGTTGAGAGTCTCCAAACTGCAATAAAAATCAAACAATAATCTGAGGTTCTCAGTCATTCAGATGTAGTTCAGCACTGACAGGTTAAGATTTAAACACTTTAAAAAGTTTATTTTGATACTTAATGATTAGTAAATGCTAAATATCAGATTTATTTATGCAGATTATTAAAGCTGTTAAGATTTCAAATCAGGTGCTGCTGCATTAATACAAAGAAGATGGCAGGATGGTAAGAAAGAGTCTCAGGTTTAATTTTATGTTTGATTCTCAAATGTCGGAGCTCATAAAGGAAGTGAAATTAGTAATACATTATTTAATTGGTTATGATTGGTGTTTGTGTAAATTAATGAAGACTTATTTTCATTATCTCACTGTTAAGATCTTAAGCAAACTCTCTTCTTCAACAGTCTAGAATTTAATGTCAGCTCAAAGGAAGGCAGCTTGTAGGCTGGAAATTCAATGCATTACAAGTGTTGCACAGTTCTATCAATTGATTCACTTAACAGGAATATGTCACCTATAGTGAGGTGCATGGAGAGAAGGGAACATCAAAGAAGCAATGAATGATCGATAGCTATCACTACTGTCCTTTGCTATTATTATTATCCTTTGTTATAAACTTTTTGTCACTCTTCTGTCTACACATCAAGGCTCTTCACAGTTCAGAGATCCACAAAAACGCGTTTCATACTGCCTCTAGTACTAGCACATTCTTCTTCAGGGCTGATGGCCAGGCCTAACATATGTTTTGCTCTTGAAACCTGTATAACAAAACCTATGCAGTATCTGTGTCCAAATCCAGAACAAATAAAACTTGACCAAAATGATGACCCCATAATCTCATGAAAACTAACCAGAAGAATTCAGTACTTTTTAGCCAACGCCACTAACACATTCATTTTTGTATCAGATCATTGGGCCAACTGCAGTGCGCTCTCACACCACCATACAGAGCACTTACTGAAACCAAAAGAAGTCAAATACAACTCCTTGGGATAATCTTTGATCTCTGGAGAAGGCTGGCCATAGTTCAACTGTACCTACTTGCTCCCATGAGGGGACTGAAATGCTTTAAATGCAAACCACACAAACATGCTCCCTGCTTGTAAAATAGCTTTAGTTGTTTGGTACTACTTAAGCCAAGAAGAGAAAGTAAGTTTAAAAGAGTATTACTTTTAGGAACCAAACAAAAGCAAAGTTGACACTTAATAATGAATTCTGTGTTATAAGAACATTCACATGAGCATTATTCGTAAGGGCTTTTTAATAATGCATTCGATATGTGCTGAAGAAAGAACCATTCTATATATGTAGATCAAAGTCTAAAAAAAAAAATCATATCTAAGCTGATGTTTATTTTCATTGCCTTGTTTCTAGAGCATTTTTTCTAGAGGTTCTAAAGATACTTTTTTTCTGGCCTGTATTTTTCCCCATCCTAGCTTAATTCTGCAGTTAGATCCCATCAGACAACTATATAGAGGATCAGATACAGTGGGGCTGCTGGAAAGTAACACAGGTATCTATCAAAAGCGTTTTTCCTAATGGTAACTCAGTCCATTTCCTTCTTAAAATAGCCCGGATACCAACTTTTCTTGAATGATAAAAATTATTGTTTCAAATAATCAGAGGTAAAAATATAAATGAAGTCCAGTTTAATCTACAAAAACGCATGTTCTTCACAACAGCCATAAAACTTTACTCTCACTAGAGAAGCCCCAGCTAACTTGCTATAGGTTCTTTTTGCCCATTTCAAAAATACGTATTTAATGATTCGCCGTGTTAGGGCATAAAATGCCAACAATCAGCTAGGTTCCTGATCAATCTGCTTAATTTGCATGCTGATGAAAACAAAAGGATCTTTTGCCTAATGGGCAATAAATAAGTGATATGACACTGGGATCTGCTTACTGTTATTAGCCTTTAAAAAATACAACAGAATTTTGAAGCATTCCACTATAAACCTGAAAACTGATAAAATAATACTAATTCTAAAATTGCAGTTTAATGCAATTGCTCAAGATCTTTTACTATTTGAGTTGCTGCTGACCATTATCTGGTTCCTTTAAAAGTAATCTCCTTAATGAGGAAAATGGCCAAAGAAAGCGTATGAGGGATTAAAGAGAAGGGATCCTGAGACAAGGAATGCTCCATAGCATATAAAGAAATACCACAGCTGACCAGCAATGAATTAGCTGAAGATGAAAGGATGGCAAGACAACTGATCACTGCAAGCGTAAACCACTATGCGTTAGGAAAAATAAAAAAAAAACGAAAAAAAAAAAAAGAAACTTCATAACACATTCCACTGGTTTATACCTGATTTCCCAGGAAGAACTGATAAGAAATGAAAAATGGAAGAAAGACACGATTAGTTTACAGGAAATTCTCTATGTGATTCTAGAACACATGCAAACTAACACATTAGACATTCTAAATAAAGAATCTACTTCAGAGATGAGCAGGTAGCTAGCCATCCAGAGACTGAATACTAGAACATTTTCAAGGCCTTTGTTGCCTTCCCATTGCTGTTTCTGTGGTCTTTTAAATTAATCTACAAGCATTTAGTAATCTCTCTTAGCCAAATATTGAATATTTCATCTGAAATTGTTCTGGTTATTGAATCTAGGGTTGGCAGATCTTCTTCTACAATGTGATATTTATTTTCCCAGAGTCTAAATTTTTTTTCTGCAGATTTCTAATGCATTTCTTACATTTCAGAAGGAACAGTGTGCTCCAATAAAACAAGGGAGGATAAAAGTGATTAAATGTGCTTTGGTAAAAGATCTTTGAAGTATAACACAGTACCACAGGAAAATATCAGTCACTGTTTTTACAGAAATAATAGAAAATTAGCTATGGCTTAAACACTTTGGGTATCCAGGCAAAAAGATTGGCTTTTAAGGAGCTGTTGTATGTATGCATGCAAGTGTGTGTGTGGCTAGCTTTAAAAAAATTCCTGTACACTGAAAACAAGCTTCAGTAATTTCAGCGAAAATAAATATAAGCAGCGTTTTCCCATATTTTTCACCTACATTCTCTAACAAAAAAAAAAACCCATAAAATTTAGAAAAGCTTAAAGAAAGAAATCTGTCATTATCATACAAAAATCCTGTAAATTAATATATTTGTTGCATAAAACATATCTTATGAAGAATCTTTAAGCTTAAAGAACTAAGAAGGTCCTTAGAAGACTTACCCTGTACTTGTTATCCCCAATCTGCTCCACTTGAAACCGTTTTGCACATTTACATTTAGCTACCTGTCTCGTAACCTGAAAAAAAACACAACTGGAGAATTACTTTACTGCAAATATCACATTTCTAAAGATCTGTGTAGATGGTAAACTTCAAATTATATAGGAGTGAAAATAAAATTAATTATTAGAAAACACAACCCCCATAGAACAGAGTATGATCTAAGAAAGCAGAGAATATACCTCATCTTCAATTTTGTCAGCATCTGTGAGAGGTTTGTATGCATCCTTGTTTGGATGAAGAGCTGCTACAAATTCATAATAGTCAATATATCCATCACCATCTCTATCAAAAATATCTGCAACAGCACTCATTTCAAGTCGGCTTGTTGGGAATTCTGTAAGGGAAAGATAAAAGCTACAATGAAAGGCTTTAGCACACATATTATAAGGCTTTTACACACTAGGTGACAAATAATGCTTATAAAAAACCAAGGACATTCAAAAGAGTGAAGCAATCCTTCTGGAAAAAAATTGTATTAAGTGTGTTATCTAGATATTGGATTAAAGTAAGCATCACAGAATGGCTTGAAGAGAGACACAGCGAGGGCTCATATTAAACTGTAAGACATATATATACCTTTTTTCTTTAACATTTTGACCTGCGAAGTGCATAAAATATCACAAATTAACCAGACAAATTATTAGCAAGGAAAGGTCAAGTGAGACTTTCACTGTAAATTTGGAATGCAAGGTATTCCCACTGCAGAAACATGCATGGTGTTTTGTGAAATCCTTCTTTAGATGGAGTTCACAGCAGCAGAATGTTAACCCACACAGAGATTCTCTACAAAATGGTTAAAGAAAATTTCAACATGGTGAACAGGGATTATACCTGAGTATTCAGCAGTTATAAGTTGATACTAAGTGAGTTAAATTAGTAACTTGGTGGTATCAGGGTTTTTTTACCAAATTCTGTCAATTCATGCAAAACAGCAACGTCCATGTACAGTGACAATATTATTGTATTTCTTAAAGCAGGGGGGAAATAAACACACTACAATATTCTCAAACAGAATAACATGAGATGCTAAAGCAGCCTAATTCTGAATCTTCACTCCTCAAAGCAGAAGTCTCCATGATCTGAAGATAAAGGACTATTTTAAGTAGTAGGCTCTTATCTGTCAGTTGCTAAAGGGTAATACGATCACACAAAGACATGATGTGGAAGGACTACATTAAACCAACTGTGCATACCTAAGGAATACCAATCCATCAAAAAAACTAGGAGAAGTCCCTTCCCAGCTTGATTGCTTGATATTTTGATCCTCATTATGCAGGCATATGAATACAGTCATGGTACATGGAAACACTAGTTTCAGAAATTACATGATTTCCTTCTATTATCAAAACTACTCCATGTAAGTTCTTTAATCAAAATCATATAAACATACAAGCTGACTTTGAAAATTATAGGCCTTATATAAGGTACATTTTACTATTTTGATTAGTCAATGAAAAGTAATTGCTGAAGGGGCTGGTATACTGTGACAGTCTGAGCCCAGCAAACTATTATTAGCCAATAATATAAATACGACATTTGTAATCTGATTCGGAATGTAAAAGAACGAGAAAGAGGTTCTAGAATCTAGAAATATTTAAAACAACCATAATTAATAACTTCAAAAGGGTAATCTGTGACTGTCTAACACAAGAAACTGCACAGGGTACACTATACACAGTAAGACTTCATGAGAGGTTTGTTCCAAGTTCAACATTAATTTTAAAACTTACTTGAAGAAAGAATTCCATCGATAAATTCTTGCCTTGTTATCTTTCCATCCTGATCTTTATCAATCCTTCTAAAGAAGTCCATCACACGAGACTTCTTATGGTTCATCCACCGCATGTATTTTTTCCTCCAAATATCAAAATCAAAGTTGGCAAATTCTCTCAACTTAATAAAAAGAGAAAGAACTTCTTTCAGCTTAAATTAATCAGTCTAGAAAAAAAATCAGTAAGGCAAATACCAATTGCACTCTTTTGAATAACTGGTTCTTCAGGGGCCTATATAAACATTGTAAACATCTTAACTTCTCACATGTAAAATGAGAATGACAGCTTTTAAAGCATGTTAAATCATGTGTATCAGTGTTTTCAGTTAACTGCATTGTACAGTATAAAACAACAAATATGGAGGTAGTTTACAGTATTCACAGTATTGATAATCTAATTAGGGTAATGATTTTGTTTACACTAAATGAGGGTAAACAAAAATAGTAAAAAAATTATGCATATTCTGTACAGTTGTTTTCTGACCTCTTCAAGTCTGTCCAAGGCATCATTAAGTTTTCTTCTTCTTTCCAAGGCCAGAAGCCAGACTTGCTGCCATTTGCTGACTAGAAGGTTTACCCGTGGATTCTTGGTTTCGATTTGTGCCTGGGCTGCTGACGGATATATGCCTGGTGTTGGGGAACGCTTTCCTATTAAAACATGACAAAATGTGTATTTTCATACAGTTCAAACAAAACAAACATTCACATAAAAGGTACTTGACTTTCCTAAAACTACTCCTTCCTGTCCCAAATCCTGTGTCCATATCCTGATGATTCCATCTAATGGGACTTTTTTTTTAACCATTGCTGGGGAAGGACCACATCGTGGTTAAAGTACCTTTTGTCTAGCCAGAAGCAGCTAGTAGTGGCTGCACTAGTGAAGCTGAAGGTTAAACTAAATATCTGCAAACCTCTCAGAGAGCTGCAAAGTAAATAACCTGATTTTAGAAGTAGGTTCAATGTATGAGTCAGTATAAAACGTAATGGATAAGCATATGTAAAAACACAAAAAGCAATTTCCTCACTTGATTCACTTTCCATTCAACCTCACTGAACACACTTTCTAATTGAATACATAAAATTTCCATAGACAGTAAGAGCAAAAATTTTGTCTCTGCATCTTTATGTAAAAGAGCTGTTTGCAGTTTCAGATAATGGTATATTTGCAAAGACTTAGCAAGTGCACACTCTTGGAAGCTTAACACCACATGAAAGCTGCATGCATTAAAAATAGGTACTCAAGAGGTATAGCACAAAATTTAAAAATACAAGTCTGCTATGAGAAATTTCCTCACAATTAAAAATGAGAATTAGAAAAAATCAGTCAGGAGAATTTCACCCTGTTTCACTAAAAGCTAATGAAACCTATCAGATCATTAGTAATCTGCTATCTTTATAGATAGAGCTATGTCCCAGAATATTTCATTACTTACTTCCTGCTCTCCCCTTATCAAGGACAGGAATATGAGATTGTACTGGAGTGGGTTCAAGTGCCTTTCTTTTGTAGGTCTTTGTAACTTTATCCACGTCAGGTTGTTTTCTGGTCATTTCTTCCATGAATGTCTGCAATAGATAGAGGTGGTTTTAATTAATAATATACAAAAGTGACCACAGAAATGAAAAACACATACAATAGCAAAACATCAAAGTTACAAGAATGGCACAGAAAGTCTCTTAAAATGTCAGCTTCACAAAAAATACAGATAGTCTTTGTAGGCAAGAAAAATTGGCAGTATAAGCTTTTAAGACCACTATAGGCTGGCCTTTAAAGGAAGGCTAAATCTGAAAAAACTCTGTCATACTTCTTTATTAACTGTGTATGGTGAGGTGATATATAAAGGAATTCTAAGTCTGAATACTCAGGTGTTCCCTGCTGTCCAGACTGCAGTTCATAGAAGTGAGATAGCTCTGAAGTGTAAGCTGGGGTAAGTCTATGAGTATTCACTGCACCAGCATCTCCCTCTGGCACTTCCTAAACCTGTTTTGGAAATCCAACCATTCAAGCCCCATTGCAACATCAGTTCTTAAGGCAGCAGCATTATCATATATTTCATGTGGGGTTTTTTTATGACTACTCTTGTTTCTATGGAGAGTTGTAGGTTTGCTTTTAGAATAATATGGCACTGAATTTTTGTTTGGTTGGGTTTTTACTTCTGTTGAATAAACTACAATCACGTCATGCACATACAAACCACACAACTGAGTATCTGAAAAGGGATTTGATTACTAGGGGAGAAAACAGCTAAGGAGAGATTCAAACTTAATCAGGAAGCCTAGCTGAAATGTGAGCAGTATTTGTGGAATGTGTAAGACAAGTGTCATTTACCATGCCTTACCTGATGTTCAGCTATAAGTGCTTTAACTTCCTCGATCTCCTGGGGGATAACCTCTTTATCTTTTTCGGTAAGGGTAGTCTCTGCCCACTGCAACCAGGACAGCAAGGCTTCCAGCAATTCCTGGTTAGCAATAAGCCCAGCCAGAGCTCCTGCCAGTCTCTGTTGATGTTGTTTTGCCCATGCTAAGACCTTGATAAAAGAACCCATGTATGAGTATGTGCACATCTGAAATTTTTCCAAATGCATTCAAAATTGCTTTGTTAACTGCAAATCCAGAGCTTCCTCCCAGGCCTACTGATTATCGAAGGTGCTAGATGTAGTGGCTCATCTAGGCAACAAGAATTCCCAGTTCAATCATTTCTTCCCTCAGATATTCAGGATTAGGTGCTGTTAAATGCAATAAATAGCATGTTCAGGCAACATATTGAGAAAGTTATTAAACAATATGTATAAGTTAGAGAATCATACAGGATTTGCTGATCCTCCTCGGCACTCCTGAAGCCATACCTTGCTTACAACAGTATTTTGGTTTTCTTTAAACATTAATATACACAGAAAATACCACCTTAGCAGCTGAGAGTATGGTACACCTCCTGAGACCTACTTGTAGCCACTCATATAATTTGGAAATCATCTAGATTAGATTGGACTGAAATCCTCTCTAATGCAATTAGAAAATGCTTCAGATTTGCCTGTATTATCTTTCCTTTGCAACTTCCAAGTTTCTTGCACCGAAACTATTGGCTTTTTTCACATGGGAAGTGTCAGGCAGTATTTTCTTTAATACATACAAAGAAGATTGACCATCTGCTTTAGTTCTTAAAGCCCTGTAAGTTTTGAAATAAAACCTAAGGAAGCATGGTATTCACATCCATCATTGTGGGTATTTTAAATGTTTAGTTCTCAACAGCTGGATCATTTTCTCCCAGTGCAACTACCATGTTAGTTGTCATCTATGTTCCAAAAACGGGCTGTTGCAATAAAGATTGCTTGATATATACTGACCTCTTCAAACCTGGCTCTGATGATTGTTATCCAGTGCTTAATGGTGGTGATGGAGTCTGGGTGGCAGATAGCTAGGATAGCTTCTCCCATACCTGTTGCTTTATTCAGTTCTGTCTTTTTCTCTTCCAGTTTCTTCATGAATTCCTAAACCAGAGGTAACAATTTCAATTAGATGTTGACAAAATTTGCAAATGAAAAGCTAAAAATGTTTAAAAAGCCTATTCCACATAAAGTATAAAAGAAGCTCTAAAATGTTTACTCCAGCTTGCCACTCCTTAGAAGTCCACCATACTGTAAGTACTGAAAAGACACATGCTGTTATTAAAAGCAGAAGGAAAAGCACAGCATTTTAGAAGTGCTGTAAATCAACTGTATGAATGTTAGAATAGTTATTGGCAGCATTTCAGATTACTTGCTTTGTCTGTCAGTTACCATAATTCTTCACAGTAAACTATCAAGATCCTAGCAGAGGCTGGAGATGACCAACTGTAATTACATGCTCAGACAAGAAAAGAGAGGACTTCAGGAACAGCTATACTAAACTAAACACAAGTAACTCAGCAGCTGAGGGGGAGAGACACAGCAAGAACAGAGGCTGCTAATTAACCAGCTGTTGTCAGGGCCTCTACTATGTGGGAAAAATCTTGTAAAAGCAAAAGGATGTTTACAGCTTTAGACGTCCAAGCTCATAGGCATTGATGTTCTTAGGGAGTCCAGCAGAGGAAAGGGTGATAGAACCAGAAATGGATGTGGAGGGGTAGGAAACAGCAAAAAAAAATGAAGGATTTTTCTCATCCTTTCTGTAGCTTGCATTTCCTGTTCGGTTTCTTTTAATTTATTTAATTATACTACTATAATGACTTTACTAGTCTGCCCATTTTGTTCTGCCTAAATGTTGTTTAAGCGCTTAGTGGAATTTTGTGTTATATTTTAACAACAATAATTGGGCTACAAAATGGGACCATGTCTCTGAAAAATTAATTATTCTTCTCTCCATCCACGAAGGACTATTTTGGATTCCACAAATTAAAGATCAGCCAAGTTAGAGCCTAGAAAATTCACAGTCACCTAAGCATTGTAAAACCAGATTCTACAACTCATAATGACACTATCCTGGGCCTTTACAAAGTAAATATGAAGTTATTATGAAAGAAAAGTGTAAAAGAAATAACCTCTTCTACCTTGTTCTAAAAGCCTGGAATAGATAGGCTGTATATTTAAAGAGATTTGTTACTGACTTAAGCTTAAATTAATGTCAGAGTTTAAGACCCAATCATAATAGCAGTCTCTCTCTCAAAAACACAGGAGTTCTTAACAGTATTTCAGTTCAAAATGGTTTTGAAAAGTCAAGATGGGTTTTAGTGAGATTTTCAAAATGAGTTGGGGCAAGGAAAGAAAAGAAGCAATGACACCATTGTTTTCCTTGAACAACTGTACTATAATAACTCAGACTGTAAATCTATGACACACTCCATACAGTCTATTAAGATTTCCTTCAGTAAAGGATATTAACTGTACTGCACTCTGGCAGTCCAGTGATACAGATGTATTTATGAGAGAGGTGATGTGATGCTTCTCATTAACTATTGTAGTGCATTAACTCACTACACCTCTCAGTCCATAGAGAATTTGGCAAGTGACAGAACCTTTTCTGCCTGAGATAGAATTCATTAAATCATGTGCAGTATTCGAGAAAAGAAAATCATTAATAGGCATAAAGATGGACTATTTGGATAAAATACCATCCCACAGAAACCTTTTAAAATGTAGCTGGATAGAAATGCGTTAAAATTATTTTACAAGAATCACAGTGATAAAAGGAAAATACATTTCATATTTACTTAAATAATGTCAGTCATACCTTTTTGATATTAGTACTGCAGCATTATAATACAGACATTACATTTAAAGCTCATATATTACATTTTCCTTTATTTTCATTCTATTTTTTTTTCTTATTTCTTGAAAGCTGATAGTATAAACTTAAGAGGAGTGATCACTTACTCAAGGGAGATTTTGTTGTATGTGCTTATTGAGTGGTAAAGCAGCAGTGCCACAATCTTTCTTAGCTTGAAAATTTCCAAACCTCTATTATTTGGCCTTTAAGAAGAAAATGTGGTTGGGAAAACATCGAAAGTCTCCGAAGAAACTTTGAGTACAGTATGGCCACGTCTAACACTGAGTTTGGTTGTGTTGTGCTAGCAATTACTCTCCCCACCTGGACAGGGTTTCTCAGAGATAAACTTTGCTCTAGTCTGAAGTTCTAAGTTATGCTTTAGCTTTGGCAGCACAATTCTGAGCTTTTGTGCAGAAATATTTTGTTAGCCAACCTACATGGCAGAAAGATAATTTAAATTGTTTTTTCTAATTTTTTTCAGTGGACCTAAGATTTAATTCAGACAATTCTTTCTTCTGTATTCAGAAGACCAAAAAAATAAATAAAAGGGAATTAATGAAGCACATGTGGAGGAAAGGCAGCTGAAAGACAAATTTAACTGCATCGGAGAGAGCAGGTTGCTACTGCCAACATTAGTCAGCAGACACTGATGCATACGTACATTTGCCCGCTAAAGAACAGCACCCAGTTTCCAGGGCCCTAAATTAAATCTGAAAACTTCTTCAAAACATTGCAGTCTGCAGTCCTTAATTATGAACCATTATAGTTGTACCTTGCACACACTCCTCTGCATAATAATATTCCCAAACTCAATTTAAACAGGATGCTTTTCCACTCTCCATAACTTTTGTTATAACTTTCTTCAGAGCAATGATGAAAAAATCCATTCTTCTTACAACTTATTCTGTAATATTGCAGGCACTACATCCTTGGTACTATTACTACTGTACTTACAAAAAGAGTTTTGTAGGGGCTCAAAAATGTGTATGTTTGTATCCTCCTGTTTGAAGAGTAAATGACCTCCATGTTCCTTACTTAGCCATTTTTCATTACTGCAAAGCTAGTCTGATGTCCCATAACCTAGTATCTGCAGTACCTATGGCACTGCAGTATTTCAGTACCTAAGGCACATGAAGTATGATAGTGTGCTGTTTCACCATGACAGCACGTTAATGGATGGTAACATCATTCTGCTGACATTTACAAATGACCTTGAGAGAAAAGTGTATGCTGTTTTGCTCAGTGGTGCTAAGGTGACAGACATACTTTTGCTATGCTAGAAGACTGTGTTATAACTGTCATGCACAATATATTCCAGAGAGGTTTGTATACGTCTCTAAATGCTTACAGCAACTTCTAAAGGCCCATGATTTTCTTAGTAAGCCAAGATGACTCAAACAACAGCCGACCAGTACAGGCACCAAACTCTCAACTCCATTTTATTTCTAGGTTCTCTATAGAGACAGTTGCAAAAACGAATACTGGATGCTGTATAGGATTGTATAGGATAGCCTTTGCCTCCTTTCCTTTATTCTACCCTCTACAGACCTATTAAAATTAAGAGCACCCTCTTCATTTTCTTGCTTACCCTGTGCTGGTCTATCAGTGTACGCAAGGCCTCTTCATCATCTGGAAGGATCCCATGGAAACGAAGAGCCTGCTCTGCCTCTGCTAACCACTCCAAAAGGACATGGACAACAGAGTGGAATTCTTCTGCCTGTTAAAATGCAAGAAGTCATGGTTACTCAGAAGGGGATCTGACAGGCACGCTGAAGCTTATACAAGGAGACTAATCCCACATTTGGATTCATTAATCAAGCAGCAGTACTGGCACATTAACTTTCCATTAAAAAGTCAATGATATACAGTACTGCATTTTCATAACGGTAAAAATATCTCATGCTTCCCAAAAAATTATAGGAAGCCTAAAAGCCTGTTCATGCTTTTAGCCATCTGATTTATAGTATATTTGCAGCTCAGCTGAGAATGTCATGCCTTCACGCTGACAAATTGCACGGGAGGTGCTTTCATGGACCAGCTGGAGAGATGAGAACTGTATTTTTTCCATAGCCTAAATCACCAGTTAAGCAAAATAAATTGACATCCCGCTGGTGACTAACCCTTTTACGTCTGGGAAAAACAAGAGTTTCACCTTCAGGTGCAGCCATATTCAGACACAACTAGTGTTTGAGGTAGCTCAAGATTGTGCCTCCTGAGAGACTGGATAGCGGGGCAAACACTACCCTAGAAAAAGTAGGGCAGGAATTTTGTGCACAATGGATACATCACTATGGCAGGAGCCCAAACCGAGCATCAGCCCAAACTAACGTATCTTTGCAGAGCTGTACATCTATATTGTCTCAGGTTTGGAAATACAGACAGACCTATCCGTTTGGGATTGGTATCAGCAAGTACTGACTCACACAGTTCTAGCTCCTGAATGCACAACTCCTTTTTACTACAGTGTACTTCACTGTGCACTGTAATTGTGCCAATGTAAACAAGTTTTCAGCACACAAACTTACTTCTTTCCAATAAGGCACAAAGTGCGTAAATACGATTGCAATCTCCAGCTTCCTGTGAAGGGGGAATAGTTCTTAATCACCCTTCACGCTTGACTGTATCTTTGGTGACTTCCTTAGATGGTAAGGTTTTTGAAACATTTGCTTTGCATTTGTGGTACAGACTAATAGTAATAAATGCTAATAGGCATTACTTACGTGCTGTGGTAAGGGGATAGAGACAAGGTAAGCAATAGATGAGCAAGAAAATGCGTATTTTGAAATGAAATGAAACAGAATTACAGTAAGTGAAAATTAAATTAAATTTTTGGCAAGTAGAATGCAAGGTATTTTCACTACTTCTCATAAAGTATATGTAGCACCATTAGTAGTTCTTTACCTGCCGAAGAGCCTGTTCCAGTCGTGTTTGCTTGGATACTGACAGAGCACAAACTGTCTCCCATCTAGTGCTCAGCTCCTGCATTTGGACTTTGACCCAGGAAGAGTCATCACGACTGCCCTCTATCAGCTCCCTTGCAGAGCGCTTCAGAGCCTGGACACTGCTTGTTCTTTTCCCCAGCTCCTTCTGGAAAACCTAAGCATCACCAAATATATTTGAAATGTTTAACTCATTAAGGCATAATTATGTAAAGAATAAGAAAAAAACTACTGGTTATAAAAAGAAATTGAAATACAGATTTAGTTTAGTTAAGAGCAATTCCATCTAAGTGATGCAAACCACACAAGTCCATCTTACCAGATTCCGTATGAAGATATTTACACCCTATCCTAATAAAACTGGAATATGGTAGGGAAATGTCAGACAGATCATGAGAACCCATCCTGACACAATGCATGGGTAATCTAGCCTCCTTACCACGCTGTCTTTACCCTCTTCACCAAAACAACTGATCTGACACGCTGATTAATGCACAAGATAGCCATGTCAGGAAAACATCAGCTAAAACATTAATAATCAAGAATGTTTAAAATCAGAAAATCAGAAATAAATCCCCATTTGAGATTTGACTGTAAGGCTGCAGATCTCACCACATATTCATATATTTATGTGAGAGTATGCTCACATTCGCAGATTGAACAAGCTCCAGGTACATAAAGGAAGATCTTAAAAGTTATAACAATTGCGGTTACCATACTACTGACTATGACTTACTTGTGATATACAGTGGGATTTCAGAAGCAATTCCAGATATTCCAGGTTAGCTTTTACAAACAACCCATGTTTCAAAACACTTTTTTCATGAGGGACAAAACCTTCTCCCCACTAAACAGTGTTTGGATACTGGAAGTCACTGGTAGATGAACAGAGGGACCATCAGCTCATAATCCTCCCAGGCTCCAGAGCTCCAACTGTGTGTAGCCTTTGCAATACCAGTAACTTCAACAGCTGTTTCTTTGAAAATACTCAGCTGCAGAACTGGGATTCAGAAGCACAATTCTATACCTCCTACTTGCTCCCATCTCCAAAACTACTTGAGAATCAAAATACTGTGGCTTGCCAGTGTAGGCTTCCTGGGCCATAGTATAATTGTATATTCCCATGCATAACTCAAGCATTGCAACCGCTTTTCTCAATGAATATACAGCAGCCCCAGAGGTCTGTCACCTTGACGAGTGTACTGGACATTTGGTTAGCAGATGTACTAAAGAAAAAGCCCTGCCTCCCCAAAGATTTCCAGTAAAATAATTTTGCTAACTGGTGTCAATGTCACTAACAGTTAGTTGTCTTCTTCCACGTATGTTTTATAATATCTTCCATTGTTGATGACATGTTTGTGTTCCAAAACTGTTTCATGTTTCTAAAAATCACTGAATAGCTATGCTTATGCCCAATCTAGTTATTAAAAAAAGAATATTTTTGAAATTACCTTGTGATTGTCAATCAGGTTCATTACTAAATCAATGTCTCCATGTACTGGTTGATCTTCTGCTAGCTGAGGTTCAATTTTGTATAACCAGTCAATGAGAGCTTGCAGAGCATCAGTAAACTGTCCAGAAAATAACAGGGCTTCCTCCAGTTTATTTTGTCTGGGGAAAAAAGAAATAATTAAAATTAAAATGAACACACAGTAACCATTCACCTTAAGAAAAGATTTTCACCATAAAATAATGACAACTAAGAGCTTTAAAGCAGTGTTTCCTTTTTTAAACAGTGGGCCCACCCATCCTTCACCCCAGTACTCTTCTATACCATCAAGAAAGTATGCATTTCTAGTATTTTATCGCTTTGGCACTCCTAATTATCAAAGAAGCTAGCCACTCTGGTTTTATTTTACAGAACAAAAGCCAAAACAGGAGCCAAAAGAATTCTCTTAAGCCTTTTTCTTATCTGCTGAATAATTAAATTGGGTTTCAATTACCTTTCCACTGATTTTCCACAAATTGTATCCCACTTATCCCTTAGTTCACTCAGCATATCATCAAGTTTCAAGTTGTCATCAGCCAAGGTGCTTTTCTCTTTCAAGGAGCGTCCAGTCCTATTTGTCGTATCATACACAGAATGCTTGGCACCGAGAGATTTCTGGAATTCCTGTACATATGGAGGAAAAAGAACACACCCATATAGCATTAACTGCTTACAGGCCATAGTTAACTAATCAATCTTTGACATATTAATTGCAATGGAAATTGTAGATGTTGCTGCAAGAAAATTTTAAACTGACTGCAATATTTCTAGCCTGCTAGTCCCACAGCGCACCTGAAATTATATGGGGCTTGACACTAATAGACTCCCTGCCTTCTGTCCCTCTCTGGGAATGCAGCTCTACAGCCACTGGAACAATTTCTGGAAAATCCCTCCTCCAGTGACAGCAGTGACTCTCACCCTGCCATAACATTCCTAAATTTCAGCAAGGGGCTGCCTGTTAGTCAGAAGAATGTGAAAGAACTGCTACTTTAGAAGCCATGAACAAGTAGTCATCACACTATATTTCTATATACTAAGATGTCAAGCCAGTGTACAGCACCCCAATGCTTACAAAACTCATCATGGTCAAGCTGGGAAACCTCCAACCACAAGCATTCAACCCTCTTAAAACTGAAACATATTATAACTGGGAAGAACTGCATGCTAAACGTGTGCGGATCCAGGCACAAGAAGCAGCCAGGTGACATCCAGTAACAATTTGGGCTGCAAGTCATGATCAGAAGCAGGTTCCTGTGATCCAGGGACTTTGGAAGATGACAGTGACACAGCAGTTGCATCTGCCGACTCTAATGGCTACTTCTGCAAAAAGCTTCTGAAAGCTTTCCACAGGCACAGAGGAACACACAGAAACATAGCTCATCTGGTACTGCAGAGAAGTTCACTGACTGACAGAGTAAATAATTAAAGGATCACTGCCAAGAGACAAAACCAGCCCAACGCAGCAGCTTTTAAATGGCAGCAATACTTGAAGTATTTTATTTCACCCCTTTGTAAACTGCTAGCAGGAAATCTGTTTAAAAGAAAAGAAAAATCACAAATCTGCTTTAGGAAAGTCATATCTACGGAATCAAATACATATTCCTATTCTTTTGGGGTTTTTTTTCCCTTCCAGGAAAAGCCGAAAGAGATTTTGCTCAATGTTTGCTGAAGCAGATTTTCACCTAATTCAGAGCAACATTCAGTATCACCACATCCAGCAAGGAAACAGTTACCACTTATATCTCACAGTAATTCCTCAGGCATGTAAAGACTGCAAGGATGTCTCATCATCACTGCCAGCATGTGCACAGCTGCTCACCTCGGACTGGCAAGCTGTTCCCAGCTGGTCTGCACCAACCTGTGCAACAGCAATTCCCAACTCTTCCACCAACTTTCCCATGCATCCACAGAGCCATCTTCTCTTTTTAGATGTGAATGTGTGTCAGGGAAAGCATAGGTGGAATGCAGTTGTTTTAAGAAGGAAGCAGACACTGGGTTATGCCATGCGGACAGTGTAACCAGTTTACATAGGGGGATCCAAGGTTCCTTTTCTAAACTTACTTGGTATTTTGCACTGTACTGTCCTTACTTTAAGGTTATTCCAGGATCCTGAGGATCAGAATTCATCAGGGAAAAAAAAAAAAAGGCAACATTTGTTTTGTAGTTTAGTATTTCCTTACTGTCCTTTTATTTTCCTCATATAAAACAAGGAAACACACTTTAAGAAAGAATACAAACACCACTATCAAGCTAAAACTACAATAAAAATAAAAACAATTTTCAAAAAGAAAATAACCCTCTTTTTATAAAAGTTCCTTCAATACAAACAGTATGTCTGTACTCCTTTTATTTGATCGGGTTTGTTAACTGCTTAACACTACTTGTACAGTGTGACTTGGTGTGCATGAGGAAACACAATGAAATTGCTGTCAGAGAAGGATCATACAGAAAAAAACAGATGTAAAGGTGGACAAAGGGTTGTAGTCAATTCATTCTTTGAGAGACTACACACACTATACCACATCTACTTCCATTTTATTTCACAGAGATGTAACTGGGAGTAGATTTTGATTTAAGTTGCCCAGATCAGACAGGTGAGCTAATTACTGAGATTTTGTTCATCTATCTACCTTTCCTTTAAGGAAGATGAGAACATACAGATAAAATTATCCAGGTTCATATAAATGTACTGTAAGAAACATTGAGCATTAGCACAGGAATGGATTGGATGACCTAGTATGGGTTTTTCCATTCCTGATTTCTAAAAATGAGAAAAAAATTGCTGATAGACTATGAATAACCCCCAAAAGTCCCTGGCAACACACTAGATAAAAGTGCGAGAAAAAACATATTATCTTGGCTTTTCTCTTTCGCAGACTTTTTTTTTTGTTGTTTTGGCAGTAACAATTGGCAAAGAGTGAGTCCAAATTATTGCTTACAGCACACATTCAGTTCAGACAGCAAAACTGTTCACTAAATGGAGCAAGGAAACCTTCAAGGCTGTATAGAAAGACAAAGACAGACACAGAGGGTGTATGCAGGAGTAGAAGGAAAAGACTCAAAATACAAGGAAGGACATTGCAGTGTTTGGAGTTTTGACAGCTCATTAAAAAACAATTGATTCCTTGAGGGGGGGGACTGTTTGAAGTTTAAAGACACAAAGTTCACAGAATTCCCTCTCTCACACACGTTCATCTTTTTCCTCCAAACTGCCAGTTTCAATCCTAATGTCCCATCCCATTCCCTAATGAGATTCAAGCAACTCAAGTAGCTATTCTTTGCAGCATTTTATAGGAAAAGAAGCTGAAGAAAAGATATCACTGAGAGAAGCGATGAGTCTGCCAATCCATGTGAGGAAGCCTGAGTTCACAAAACATACTGCTGTAGGCATAAAGAACAAGTGGGATTATCACATTTAATGTTTCAGAAGGGGGAAGAAGAATACAGGTAAAGTCCTGAAAAGACCTCAAAGCAAAGTCACAGTGTGTTGACTGTACTCATGAGGAATTTGAGCTTAAAAGACAGGAGTGAAATGATTAAAAGACTAATACAGTCAGAGAACTCAAGAAAGACTATCCTAACAGCAAGGTTTTTTCCTCTATTCCCACTGCTGACTTCAAATTCTGGCAACAGCAGCAACCCCAGAACAAACTGAAATTGAAGCATTTGCATAACAGAATGTTAATGTAGGTTTGCTCTAGAAGCTTTAACAGCAAACATAGGTAAAACTATTTTTTGCTTGACCAACAGCCAACTTTAGCCATATTAAAGGAGAATGCTTTCCTGGTTCATAAATAATACTTAAATCATAATGCAAACTGAGTGATGATAAAAATATAAAGCAGTCTGATGCAGTAACCAATTGTTAATGAACATGGCAAAACTTGTTGAGGTAAACAATCATCAGAAGCTACACTGAGAAGAAAAAAATTAGATATGCGAACCATTGGGAATATTGTGCAGAATGAAAAAATATTAAATGGAGAACAGTAGAACTCACAAGAAAAGTAGAATACATGCCAAAATGCAGAAAAATTAATGATCTCTCAGTATTCTTTCTCTAATGAAACTGCTCCAAGATAAATCCTGAGACAGCCTGTCTCTGAGGATTCTACCACTTACCTACTTGATCCTCAGTAATATATTATTCTAGGCTCTTTTCAAAAGTAAAAATGAAGTAAAGACTTCTTATGCCTTTCCTTTTGCTCTGTGTCTGATGAAACTAAAGAGCAGTTACATTATCATTATTTGTTTGCACAGCCAAGTCAATCAGGGGGATTTTTACATTTTCATCTACAGTAGCTGGGTTTGTGGAAAGCTAGCCCTGGAATTTTGAATCCCAGGAAGAAAAACTACCTTTGCTACTAATGGTGTCACTGTACTCCCTAGGTGAAAAACAGTAAATTTCTGGTTTGAGGACTGAAAAAAAACCATGCAATAAAACCTCTTCAGAGATTCCAAAATTTCCATGGTCCTTTATTATTATTCCGCCACAGACCAAGTACTGTGAAAAGTTTTTTTTCACTCCCCACCTGTAACATACCAACACTTAATTTGATGCAAATAAGCACTCCATTGTAATGAGGCCACAAATCTACTTTGTTTGCTGACTGAACAATACAAGGCTGACAGGCTTACCTCCACCTCACTGGGCACTTTGCATGTCATCACTCACAACTCACCTTATGCTGTGCGAGTTGCATCTTTATTTTGTCAGGGTCATTTGCAATTTCAAGATCTGAGTCCAAAGACTTCTCTGACTCTTCCAGCCACTCCATAAGTTTGTGCCAGGCTTCATGGAACTGCAGGGAAGTGAGATTTTCATGGAATTTAAAATTCACTGGTTCATAAAATAGCCTGAAAACATTAAACCCCAATCAGTTCTCTACAGGCCAACCAAGTATTTAGTGGAATTTGGAAAGATTTGGTGTGCTTTTTCCCCCTGGTCTCTCAAACAGGACTAGCCCAACCACATGCCCACTGGACTTAGCCTCCCTTCTCCCGGGTGAATTAGCAACCTTTAAAGTACATGACCTACATACACAGTATGTATCTTTCAGAGACATAGTGGTAACTTCTGTTGATGCCTTGCTTATTTAGCTTCCTATAGTCTTAGTAATGAATTATAAATACAACAAGAATGGGACTTAGCTATTGCCTACATGGGACAACATATTGGCATGTCCCATAATAGTAATAAATCATTACGGAAAACTCCTGTCTGGATGAATGCCCAAGATTTTCCCTGGGACACTCATAAATGCTCTCGTTATATCAAATGCTATCTTGATGGGCAAAGACCATATTCTTGATCTTCCTTCCTGTCTAAAGAAAAAGAGTGCTTCAGGGAAGGAAACAGGGAAAGACTGAAGATTCAGCCAGCTTTCACAAAGTGGCATCCCTCTGGGATTCAATTTTTCTAAGCTGGCTGTTTCTCTCTGTCTCTTTTGAAGATTCTTCTTGCCTAGGATGCCTACAGATGAAAGCACAGAAACTAGCTCAGAAATCTCTCAAGGCTCCTGGACCCTGTTGTTTAAGGGCTGTGGCTCAGGCCTTGACACCTGTACCCTTCAGTACTCCTTCCCTGCTCTGCAGAGATAGGTGTCATCCTAAATTAGCAACTTATTGTATTCAGCTCTGTAAATGGATACAGAGATGAAATCCATCTCATTGCAGAACTGCTGTGTGTGTGCATCCACAAGAGAAACTGCTGGAACACAAATATCATTTGATTGGCTTATGGGCTAATTTATTGCTCAGAGTAGTTCTTACCCTGTGAGCTGAGTGGTAGTAGCAGTAAACATGGCTATGTGGTTTGGCCGTGAACATTACCAAATCTTGAATAGACATGTTCACTTCAACAAAAAGAAGCTAGAACTTCCTATTGACATTTAAACAAATTATACTCCTCTCACACATTCTGCATCTTATCATTTTTGTTCCTGTGAGGGGAACCTGAATCTAATAAAAAAACATGAATGCTCCCTGGTGAGGAAAACAGTATAAAAATGAAAAACAAAAAACCAAACCCACTCAAACCCCAACAACTTTCCAGATTTTTAAGAAAATAAATGGAGATCTCTTACCACACAGAAAATATTGGTCTAGTAACTAACACAGGAGATTGAGGAAGTGATGAGCATTAATCAAAGCACAAGACAAACACAAAAAGAAAATATTAAGGGATACTCCCACAGATTACTTAAAAGCAGTTCACCACATTCTTTAAAATATAAGGGGTTGATTGTGAAACTTCTTTTTGAGAATAGATGGCATTAATATACATCTGGAAGCCATACTGTAACTTTCTTCCTTCAGACTATACTGTATTGCAGACAGAAGTCACTGCTTGGGTTGAAAATGACTTTCACCTCCCAAATGAAGTGCTCTATGATTGAATCACAGAAATTGCTCCACTAACTCAACACTGTCTGTTACACTAAACCCAAGACTTACTTGAAAGTGCTTTAAGGCACCATATTCTTCAAGTCTGGATGTAATTACAGCCGAGTTCAAAGAAGTGTACAACAGCTGTTGTCCAATTACCTGTTTGGCTCTTTTCCTTGCATCATCCAAAGCTCTTCCCCTTTCAACTAAGCGTTGAACTACTTTTTCCCATCGACTCTGTACACTAATCAGCAGATTCTTAATAAGGACAACATCCTGCTTCTGGCTGAAATATTTCAAGTGGGTTCCAGTTTTGTCCAGCTCTATGATCTGATCTCGATGAGAATTCACTTCTGTGGCAAAAACCTTGGAAAAAAGGGAGAAAAGAGCTCTCAATATTATGTTGCTCAAGCACTGGGTAAACAGTGAAAAAAACCAGTCTGATAAAAATATGACATAGCAACAAAGACTATAAAATCCAATTCTAAACAAATTAAATGTTTCTTCGAGTGCCAGTATTACAGGGTTCATTTGGACATTGTTGAAGTATCTACACAAAGTGGGAGAAAAATATTACACATCTGTTTCTTTGCATACCTTGTGTTCATCAATTTGAAACAAGACAGTGTCCAAGATAAGACTTGGCCGAGAAGCTGCAGTTAGAGTTTGCTCAGCCTGAGTAAGCCAGTTGATGAAATCTTGAAGTGAATTGTGGAACTCCATCGCTAAACTGAGGGCTTCTTCCAGTTTGGTCTGTAAAGATAGATCGTACTTTAATAGCAGTTGATATTGTGTAGAGCTTCAGCCAAGTAAACCATTTTAGTTCAGCATTTTGGAGTAAACCATTTTAGTTTAGCATTTAAAAACATTTTTCCAACTCAAAGTTTCTGAGTTCTAAACTAACAGCCTATATTTGAGCATATTAAAGGAGAGAGATAAAAGAACAGCAAAATTATGCATGATAGATGAACAGAAAATACAGCACCTAGTATCAAGATAAAATTTTCCACATTAGAATATTACATCTTCTGCTACTTAACAGGACACATGGATTTACTAATTTCAAACCAAAACCAGTAGAACAAAGAACAAGTCTGCCTACACCACTTCTTTCTAATGAAGTCCAATTGCCATTTAGGTTGCCTGCATTTTGAATACACAATTTCTATTGATCATGAGACAGCAGTCAGTGTTTTTAAAACATTTGCACTGCTGGCAGAGCTGAGCACTCTAACCTTACAGCTTCCTGCAAGAAGGTGCTCATATTGGGTATTAATTAGTTTGATGTTCTTACATTATACAGTCACCTTAAGAGACACTGGCATTCTTACATTAAAATAAGACTGTATCAAAATCAGGACTGTACAGAGAGTTACCCTGTTTGTAATTATTGATATTCTTCATTGTTTGATTGAGGTAGAACAAATGGACTATAGTTCGTGAAGGAATGAAAGCAAAATGAAATGAATAAGAAAACGTGTGTTGCGTATCAGTGAAATCACGCCATTGATCTATGTTAGAACAGAAGGTAGTCACTTGAAGTACATGGAAAAAGGCCAAGCATTTGGGAAATTTAAGAAAAAACAAATGGATAAAAGCTAGGTAAATTAACGCAGCGATTCTGTACTGAGAAGGAGAGAAATCTGAATGATCAAATAATTTTATTCACTCTCTCCTGTCTACGATTACTGTAATACAAACCAGAAAAGCCCTGAGCATTATCAGTATCATTTAACATATTTCTACGGAACATATGGAACAGACTTGTGCCATTCTCAAACATCCTCCCACCAAATTATGGATTAATCATCTTCCTCAGTCCCATTTTTCCCCAGTACTCTCTAAATATACCACTGCATTTTGCATAACTGTCTCTACAACTGAATTTAAACTTAAAGATCAAGCAAGTATGCATGCATAACACACTGAACATTAACGTTCTTACATACATGATTTACACTTTATTTTTTTTGTAAAAACACATACTTTTCTTTCACTGAGCTTTGTTTGTACTGATTCCCATTTTTCTTTTAAGTTATTTATGTCCTGCTCAACGTTTGTTTCAGCAGACTCTGGGCATCTTGCGAGCATCTGCTGGCCTTTCTGCATTAGACACTTATATGTCTCTTCTTTGGCTTCAAAGGCAGCACAAAGTTCCTAAATAAAGCAAGCACCAAAAAATAAGCCAGGTGGAAATTCAATACTCTTTACAAATGCTAGTATAACATTTATTTCTCCCTCAACATTTCAGGCATATTATTAAGACTAATAAAGGAAATATATATAATTCATAAAAAGCCAAATGAGCAAAGAAAGGGCTCAATTCTTCAGGAAATGAGAACTTGTATTTTCTGTCAGATGTTTTCTCTGAGACCCAAAGTTTGGCAAAGAAAGTACTATGTGCTTATTGCACAAGATTTGCTACAATTTGGTTGGTTTAAAGTCCATCTGAAACACAAAAAGCGTCTGCATTATATAGCACACTGAAAGCCCAGACCTATTCAATACACCTTCAAAAGTGGGCAGGACAACTTGGGAGGGCTGCTCATTGTCTCTTGTTTCCTACCTTCCTTCAATCACCAGGGAAGAGCACTGAAGACATTTTACACATACAAAGAATAATGGTAACAACTGTTTTACTTGCTAACTACTCTACTAACGACTGTTTTTTAACCATGCAAAAAATGAGGTGTATTGCATTCCTATGATTCAGAAGGCTATGTTCAATATTTGTAACAGACCATACTAAATGTGGTAATGAAGCTGCTGAAGACTCCAAAATGAGGAACACCTTCCAGAAGATGAGCAGTAAGTGGCTTGCAAATAGGAGGAAAAAGCTTTTTCCTCTGATTCCTAAGACAAGGGCCCAAACCCAACATTTTCTTTAGGTTAAGAGAGGACTGTACATAGGGTGGCACCTGATCACAGAGAAGGGCAAAACAAAGCAGGAAGCAGGTTCAACTATGAGCTGAGGTTTTAACAGCTTTTTGCTTTCTTTCTGAGGACTATGAACAGTGGTGTCATCTAGCCTGCTTCCTCTCAAACTCCCTACAGAATTTCTGGTTTCCATAACTCCCCAGAGTATCTTATTTTACTGCAGCACAAGAACCCCTCAAAAGTAAACATAAGGAGCACAGCACAGGTCAGACATAGCAAGGAGTATGTGGCAGGACTGGCCCCAAACACTGTGTCTGGACTCAGCCTAAGACAGGGGCTTATCACAGTGATTATATCTGCAGTACAGTCACACTCTTAACAGGGCAGAAACAAAGTTCTTTTTAAAGGAGGAACTAAAAAAAATTGTCATAAGAGAGGGATGTTCTAAGCAGCCAAAGAACCCTCTTTTTAAGCCCGTTTTCTGCTAGTGTCCTGTAATGTCTCCTCATATCTTTTGTTTTCCTGGAGTTGCCTTAGCTAGAAATGCTACTCAATACCAACTCCATTTGTGAACCGATTATGGTTGACTGCCCTTTTATTCTTATCTGAAGAAACGGACCTTATAACTCAAGAAGATGGTTCATAATATTATTTCCAATGAGAATCAAATCTCACTTAAAATATATCAATATATCTCAAAATACAGTACAAAACTTTCTTCTTCAGTTTCATGTCACAAATTAACATGGTTTATATCACTTAGGAGCAAGCTTAAATGTGGAACTCATGGTAAGCAGCACTCAAGATGACAAGTGGCTTCAACATTTCAGCTGCCACAAAACAAAAACAGAGGGAAAGGGAGATGGGGAAAGAGAATTTACAAAGATGCACTGGGCTTTAACTAACTGAAATACTGAAATCAAGCCGTATTTCTTAAGGGTTATATACATTAAAGGATGGCAATTCCATACCTGCAGTTATATGATAGTAATCTTTGAAATGTACATGTACAGTTAGGAAATGATTGTACACATGAAGTATATATCACTAGGACACATTTTATATTTGTTCCAACTATAACACTACATTCAGTTTAAAGATTCCTTAACTAATCTATCTGTAAGTATAAGTATAGAAAATCTGTGTATTAAGAAGAATGTACCAAAGAAAACCCTTACATTTTCCAGGCAATTTTTTTTTGTCTTAATCTGACTTTAAGTCCAGGATAAAAAAAAAACCAAAAAGAGAAGGACTGGAGGGGTTCAAAAGTTCAAGGTTATTTCTGTGGTGTCATTTTCTATCATAACTGATTTTAAAACATTAAATTCTTTTCCTTCTCAAAGAAAAAGTTATTCGTACATTTTGGATGGAAAAAAACCCAAACAAAACAGAAGAGAAAAAGAGTGCCCTACATTGGTGGGCAAGGATTTTCAGCATCATTCCAAAATAAATCTGATTTTTAAAGCTTTGACAATACAGCATTCTAATGGAAACGGTGTCAGGCATATTTGAGTTCAAGGACAGTTCAGTAAATATCACTGTTACATCTGAGCCAGGAGGTCAGGAGGTCAGGAGTTTAGATATAAACTTGGTTTGAGTTTATATCCTGGCCTAACAGCACGGCATGATCTTACATGAATGGAACACTATGAACCACCTTCCTCTGAGGTAAGATATCAAGTTTAAGTGTCTTTTTTAAGCCCTATGGTTCTGTATGGCAGAGAACTCCATAGAATGTTTCTTAAAGATAAAGGAAGGGCAGGAAGGGAATAACTCAGGCATCTTGATCAGCTTGCCATTTCTGAAGCTGAGTCTTTATATGAGCCAGCAGTCCTTATTACATTTTGCTGATGACTTTAATGTCCGCTTTGCTTAGGCTGAGAATAAAGGATCGAGTCTCTTAATTCAAAGCCCAATGAATGTGAACCACTTTTAGATTCATCTTTATACCTTAGAAAAGTATAAATGTAGTTATGAGGACAGAAGGAAAAGAATAAGAATGACTGAAAAATTTATAAACATTTCTGTTTTTCTTTCTAAGAATAAAGATGGAAAAATTCTTTTATTTCTGTCTCCACACTATTAATGGCTCAGCTTTGGGCATCTCCCAAGCAGCTACTTTTCCTACACTGAAAATAACAGTGTTGTTTTGAAGGCTATTAAAATTTTTTAGGATATTGTACAGACATTGTGATATATAGAACATGCTCTGTATTTATCATAAACACTCTTGAAAGATAGTTAGTCCTGAAATGCAATTTGCAAAACATTCTAATACTGATACTTACCATATGGGTATTAAGCTGCTCTCTTGCTGTTTCTGGTAAACCTCCAACAGGTTTTGATGCCAACAGCTGACGTTCTGTGTCTGTCAGCCATTGCTGCATATCTTCAACTTCACCATGGAAACCTTGGGCCTAAATAACACCACATCATTTTAGATCTTACTTACATGTTCTCCATTCTAATATCAGCTCAGATGTAGAAGTATACTGGCAACAGATTTAACCAGATATTTGCAATAATCAAAGGAAATTAAATAAACAAAAGAAAACAAACAAAAACACCCACCAAACAGAAAGAAACAAAAAACCCAAAACTGAAAGAAAAAAAAAAGACAACCCAAAATTTAAACTAACTCAATCCAATCTAATTGATAAAAACAAAAACAAACCCCATGGAAATCTTAAAAACAGGCTAAATGAGCAGCTCTGAGATCAATCTTTTCCCTGAATAATATACCTATACAGGAATTTCACCCTTTAAAAATATGCAGGCCAAAGCTGAAATCTTGATTCAGCAATATAAGCTGTGGGGAAGATTTAGCTGCATCGAAACTTTCTCCAAATTCAGGAAGGTCTGAATTATGGCTTTGATTTAGGCCAACTTCTAATACATTTATCTCTGTATTTCATGTAAAAAGACACTTTTCCTGAGTTATCTCTTTACTTGATCATTTCCTTTTCACCTGGATCAAGGCACTGTCCAGCTGCTGTTTCCTTTGTTCTGTTTTTTCCAACAAGTTTTGCCAGCGCTGATTCAGAAGTTCCAGCTTGCTCCGTAAATTACTTGCTTCTTCAACAGCACTTGATTCAATCAAGTCATTTCCTGCTTTCTTAACTGCTTCCACTGTAGACTGATGAGCTAAAACATCATTTTGTAGTACCTACAATTGTAACAGAGCATATAAGACTGGCCATGTTGATAAATTATTGAATGAAAGCAATCACAGTGACTGAGCTAGTCCTAATCCAGTGACAACAGTTTAACATCAGCAAAGGTACTAGGAAATTAAAGCTAATAACTAAGGTCTCCAATCAAAAGCCATAACAGACCTTTCTGCAATACTACATTTTATTTTTAGATCTTAGCAAAAACTATATATTATAAAAGAATATATTCTAATAATATGTATTTCTGAAATAATGAAAAGTTTTTAGTACTGCTAGTGAAGAATTATTTCTTCACTTTCCTTAATTTGCTACATACTTTTATTTAATAGGATTTTTCTTTGGTTTTAAGGGTAAGGTGTAAAAAAGTTACATATAGTAGTGCCAACTACTTGTTTGAAAATAGAAAATTAGAGAAAGAAGGACAAGAGTACTATGTGCCTACTATGCCATACTGTGACAAAAAAGAAAAAAAAAGAGAATATGCAAAATGTTTGGGAAGAGAATGGTAAACTCCATCTAAGAAATTCAAGTTTATGACTGTTGTCTTCCATGGGACAGGTTCAAACTTACCTCCCACAAAATGCTGGCACAGAGAAAAAAATATAATGCTAAACACAAAGGAACTTTAGAATAAACTATACAGAGAACTTGATGAAACATGAAGTCACAAGTAGCCTATGTATACAAAATTCACATCACATTTGCTTTACTTCTTCTAAGTAAGGCACTGGAAGATGCTGGTTATTTTATTTTCTGAACAGGGGGAAAAAAAAAAGGGATATTCAGAGAAACGGATTCATCCTATCCCTTCCTTCCTGCTGAGGCTCACTAAGAACAAGGTCTATTCTTTCCCAAGTTGTTCAAGAGATGGATGTTTTTACAGGCTACCATAGCAGGATGCACTTCTGTGTGAACTTTCTAACCTGTAAACTCTGTTTTATGAAAAGGAAGTAGATTAGTTCACATGTTTGCTGAACTCCTTCAGCGTAGACATAAATGACGCTTGGATGCTTCTTCAGTAGTAAAACACGTCCATTGAATAAGAATATAGAAGGTTCACAGAGCAGAATCTAGGCCTGTAACTTCTTTTTTTTTTTTTAGGGGCCTGTTTCTAACATTAGTCATATAGAGCATGTAGATATCACACTGGGCTCAAATTCCAGCTGATCACACAAAAGGCTTCAGAAGCTGCCATTAAAATACACACTGAAAATACTTTAATTATCTGTGTATTATCAATTTTAACCATTCTCTCTAAATCCAAAATGGATTCTGAATACTCTTCACATCCTACACAGGCCAAATATCACAAGGCAGATTTAAAAGGAAGGAAAGTATTAATGAGATGACATTGAAATCTTCAGTCCTAGAAAGAATACATTGTCATGAACAGCACAGAGTCACACAGAGGTAGTGAAATTCTCTTGCTCTCAGGAGATACTCTTCAAAATAAAGGCACAATGGAAGCATTCTTCTGTGGGCTCCAAAGTTACAATAAAGTTTGACAAGACTTTGAAAGAACTGTTCAACATGTTAAGTTGGATTCAACTGAGATACAATTTTGCAAAATTCAGGACAACAAATCTCTGTTTTCTGAGAAAGAACAAAGAATAAAGGATATGAAACAGTCACGTGCATTTTGTGAGACTTGGCTTTAACAGAACTAATCAAGGAGTTTATTGCTTCAGCGAGTAGTAGCTTCAATAACTTTTGAGTTCTCTGGGTCAGATGAAGATGAATTAATTAATGTGGAGACTAGGGTGAGCTGCTCTTTCTTCGGCTAAAATCTGTCACTTGCATGGCATATGCAAGGAATGAAAGAATATGGAGGAGTAGGAGGAAAGATCTTAGCTATTCCAAGCCTGCATTTCAGCTATAATCTGCATCTCGAAAATCTCTATTAGAGAATTGTTTCTCAAGTGTTAAATTTTACTACAAGACTCACAAACTAAGATAAACATCAAAAGAACATTTCAGTTAATATTCATTATAATTACATACATGATGTTTGGCAAGTTCAATTTCAATGGCCTTGGGGTCTCCACCCACAGGTTTCTGTTCATTCAGCAAGTCTTCTGTATGTGTCAGCCATGTCAGTAACTCATCCAGGGCATGCTGGAACTGCCCCAAGGCTAACAAGGCACCTTCCAGCTTGTGCTACAGTAAAAATAAAATTAACAATAAAATGGTTTCACAATGCTATTGAATTGGCTTATATTACCATTAGTCACTGTAATCCAGAGCAGAGTACATGCATATGATAGCATAAAACCTGGGAGAAACAGTTATCCAAAACAAGCAATTGCTTTACAGTTAGAGCTGAGTTAGCAATGCCCCTGTACAGCCTTACATTCCAGGCTTAAATTCCTGACCTTCACAGAACCCATGCAACCAGAGCCAAGTTAAGTTTGAAGGATCTCTTGTCAGAGATATGACAGTAGTTTTTCATTGCTTAAAACATAATTCCAATATAAATGCAATCTGGTGCATAATCTTTTAAAAACCTTTTCTTTGTTGTGAAATGATTCGGTTTATTAAAAATAATACACTTCAAAGCACTGCATCTTTAAATCTCTCTTTTGTCTCTATAATTTAAGGAAAGATCACTGAAACAGTTTAATACTAAGTTGGTGGTTTGTTATTTTTTTTCCCAAGTGCTCAGTTCAGCTGCTAATATTACTTCTACACATATAAACATGTTTCAACTGCTACTTAAGATGTCACCAAATAACCAAAATAGAATAATAATGATTTGACATGGCATTGCTGACAGAGGAAGTGACAAAATTACTGCTAAGGGTTTAAAAACCATAAAACCAACTCAATAAATTGCAAAATTCAAATTCTATTACATATAGTTCTGTAATTTCCAAACAAAAAGGAATAAATGTGTAAATTGATAAAAACATCATATATAATAAAAATCTTTTTTCAAAAATCCAGCTCACAAATAAAGCCCCCATGTTCCAGTTTATTTACCTGTCTGCTTATAATTTTTTCCTCTAGGCTGTCCCACAGTAGTTTAAGCTCTGAGAGAGGGTCTTGAACAGTGTGCTTGTCACTCTCCTCTGTTACCTTCTTCAGCAATAGTTCTGCCTGATGGTTCAGCCTTTCCATTTCAATCTGCTGCTGATAAGCTTCTGTCTTAAATTGCTATGGCAATAGAAAAAGAACACAAATAAATATATCACAAGTAATGATCTTTTTGAATACAGCATAGTACAGCAATATTTGCACTACTTATGCATCACTGCCAACTTTCATAAATTTGGGGGGTTGTTTTCCAGGGTCAAAATGTTTCTATTAATCCAGACAGTCCCAGGTAACTGACAATATGCAACAATGTCTTAATATTCCAGTGCTTACTTCTATGACATGAGCATGATGTTTTTTGCCAACAGGAAAGTATTCTCTAGTGATCTCCCTGGTCTTTAAACAGAACATATCTTCAGTAAGTTCTAGCTCTTGTGCTTGTGACAATATAATACCTTAAACTTTAAACAGAATTATTTTTCAAAAGAGCTGAAAGTAATTTTTCTTTAGTAGGACACCCTCTTGTATGTGCAATTTGGGCAGCAGTCTGAATACAACTTGCAAACGTGTGTCCTTCTGAACTATGTGAGATTGTGATTCACTTGAAGTTACATCATCATATAGATAGATTAAACAACCTGCCCACAGCCAAAAAAAAATAATGTACTAGTGAGCAACAAAATCTGATCATTATCTACCTTTTTTTTTTTTTTTAATATACAGCATAATAGCCTACTAATGTCAGGAGCACACTCAGTCACGGATCCATACAGACAGGTTTCTAATTTAGACTGAAATTTCTATTTTTGCCTTACTCATGTTATTGGGAATGTTGTGATCTCTGTAAGCATTTAGACAGAAGCCTATAATGGTAGAAATGAAGCTTTGGAGATGTTCTCTCAGAGCCTCAAGAAAGCTGTTCATAGCAGAAATCAGCAAACATAAAGGTCATAGCAAAATAACCCTGCACACAATAACCTTAGAGCCTTTAAAAGAGAAGGAATGCTGTTACTAGTATTTCTGGGCTATCAGAACATATTCATAAAGTAAAAAGTAGTCTCACCAAAATTTGGAAGAGATTTTAAAATGAAACACATTTGTAAAGGAACAGACTGCAAATACATGTTATTTGAAATTTTCATACAGATTCTCTTTACTAGATATTGAAAATTACTTTGGACTCTTGAAAAATATAGACTAATACTGAATAACACAGGAAAATGCAGACAGATAAAATATATGTGAAATAAATTACTAGTTCATACCTTAAGCTCCTCAGTTTGCTGCTTCACTGTCTCCAGATCTGTTCCAACTGGGGACATGGATGCTAACTTGCTGCCAGCAATATCTACCCAGTCAAATATTGCCTGAAAATCACAGTATGAAATTCAAGTGTGAGCAAAGAAACAGTCATGTTTAAAAGTTTTATTAAACAAATATCAGTTTTTTTTTTTACTCCAGAGAAAAATACTTCTGTATCTTTGAAAGAAAACAGCTCTCTTCAGAAAACCTAGGTTTCTTCATAATACAATGGATCAAATATTAACAAAAGTATTTCACGTAGTGGTTACAAGAATGTACATGCTGCAAGACTGAGTTTCTATTAGCAGAAATATTCTGCCAGTACTACTCATGCTGAGTGGCAGTCTACTTCTTGAGTAAACCCAGCAATTTTTATGAATACCCTGAAAGGTAAATACAAGACAGCTCTATTGTGTATTCCTTCGGGGAGAAAATAGAAGACAGTAGCTGGGTGGTAACACACTTTAAATGATGATTACAAGCTTCTTTTGAAAGACAGGGCTTTGAGCAACCTGATCTAGTGGAAGGTGTCCCTGCGCATGGCAGAGGTGTTGGAATTGTGTGATCATTAAGATCCCTTCCAACCCAAACCATTCTGTGGCTCTCTGATGATGTGCAAGCAACATGGAACACAACCCCCATTCATTACATATTATGTAGTAAAGGTCCATGGTGAATCTCCATAGGATAAAAGGGCTTGACTGAATCTCCATAGGATAATGCAGTTATAACTTTAAAAAACACATGAAGCCTCCCCAGTTCTGAGGCTTTGTGGATACTTCTTTTGCTCCTGATATAATGCAGAACCACCTCAAGAATACTCGCAGAGTAAGAACAGCTGTATCAATCTGGGTAACAGCATAAGTGAACACCTCTGCTAGCCCCCTTTCCTCCTGCCTGTTATCTGTAATTCCTTACAGAAAAAAGCTTAGGACAGCTTGTCAGAGCTGCCTACTGCTTCACAGCTCCCCAGGAAAAGCAGACCTACCCTCAAAATGCCCAACAGAAGGAGGTAGCTGCAGCTAACAATCTGCCCACGATACTCTTCATGTCTACTGAAATAAGTATAAGAAGGCACTCTATTTACAGTTCTTTCACAAACTTTGTAGAATGAACGATGTACAGCCACAGGGACTACAAAGCACTTAAACCAATGTCAGTGTTCCTAATGTAACCCTACAAGTCAACAAGAAAAATACATAGAGAGGGTGCACTGTAAAGTAGGCATGCTATCTTACTATTAAGGAGTATTCTGCTGCTTGATCTGCACTGAAGAGACAAGCAACTGCCCTCAGTGTCATGTGAAACTAATTTTGAAGGTTTAATGAAGCAAGAAAGCCAATCATTCCACCAAGCAAAAAATAGGTTTTGCAAAATCTGACCATGTTTGGAATCTTTTCAAACGTTTCAATCTTTTAACCACTCAGTGACAAAAGATAAGAGGCTTGCCACTCAGCCAAAAAGTACAAAGAACATGCAAAAAAAACCCCACCCAGCACATAGAGGGAAAAGATCATATAATTTTAGAATAGTTTGGGTTGGAGGGGACCTTTGAAGGTCATCAAGTCCCACCCCCTTGCTTTGTTTTTTCTTGGTTGTGGTGTTTTTTGTTTGTTTTTCTTTTTTTTTTAAACTTTGTCAATTGTAGGATGTATAATGTACAAGGTATCTTAAAATATTGCTGGAAAACTTACCTACAGATTTAAAAAGCAAACAATCTTCTAAAGTATCGTGACAGGATAAATTATACTGAGAACTGGTATAATGGAAGAATTAGTATAATGGTCCAGCAACATTATGTTAATAATATTTTTTGCTTAAAATGTTAAAACTTAAATATTTGACTTATTTAAAAGGTGGAATAAAACTGAAGTTCTTTGACTGTCCTCCACAGAAATAAAATAGCAGCAAGTGAGTCTATCGACCTATTCTGTTTCTTTCAGATCATGTAAATGTGTCACAACTTCAACTCGCCTATCATATGAAGTACTATCACAAGAAAATATGAGCAGGATTACCGTGAATGTGTAGTATCAGAAAACCTCTGCTCTTATCAATAAACAAGGGGACATTAATCTTGAATTTAAATACAGTGCAATGTATGAATTACATGAAGAAAACAAAGCAATGGATTTATCCTTTAATGCAAAAAAAAAACCTAACCCAAATCAAAAAAAAACCCCACCAACCCTGAGAAAAATTTGCTTATGAAGAAAATAGTCACTATAATCAGAGTGATATATCACTTGTCACCACATCACATGGCATTTTTTATTACAACCACATTAAATCCTGTTGACTCAGGAATGGGTAAGGTACACAACATCATCTTACCTGCAGTCCATCTTGGTACTGAACAGCTGCCTGCATAGCTTCAGCAAGCTTATCCACCCTTTCTTTCCATGTTTTGTTTAAGCCATCCCAAGCAGAATTCAGCTGCAAGTAAGCACAATTTACTCCAATAGATAAAAGAATATTACTGCTGTATAATGTGCATTCACTAATTATTCACGGATCAATAAAATAAATAAACTAAACATGACTAGTCCATATTCATTCCATATTAACACACTTGTTCTCCCCATCACTGCATAGTTTCCCTCAGAATACACTAGAGGTTCTGGATTAACAACTTCTGTAAACTTTCAGTACTGATTACTGAATATTTTTATAAATATAGGGATTATAGTTAACATGGGAAATAGTATTATTAAATCATTTGGAGTTACATCGTTATAATAAAGGTAGCTTCAAAGAAATGTACAATGTTGAGTCTTAGAGAAATTCAAGTATTTTGTAATCATCCTAAACAGGATTGTCTCAGTAAAGATGTCTCGCTTGGCATAAACCAGATACAGCTGAAATTTATTCTAGCATTACTTATGCAAAGAAATAGCCATCTACTTTAAGTCAGTGAGGATTTAAAAAAAAATAAAATCTTTCTTTTACAAACATTTTAACTCATAAATCAATAAAATAAAATTGTTTGTACATTCAAATCTGAGTCAAGATTCATGTACCCAAAAGGCAAATCTTACTTTGACACAAAGGCTTCAGGGGTGTCTCACTTTTGCCACAAGATTTTTATTTTCAGACTTTGTTGGGGGCAGGTGAGATATACAAATTTCAGCTGAACAAGCACCTAACATAACATCTTTAAGCACCAGCGCTTCCCATACCTCATCTATACTTTTGTTGACAATAGGTTTGTCAGGCTCTCCACAAGCAGCTCTAAGTTCAGAGCCAAGGTTCACAACTGTTTCTAGTTCTTCCTGCAGTCCGTCTATTTCTTCTTTAACAGCCTACAAAGAGAAGAACATACAACACTAAATTTAATCATCCATGTACAGTTTGCTTTCAAGATAGAACACAGCAGGATTACCACCTTTGTTTTCTTTAAGGTCACCTGGACTTACAATTGGATGCTGAAAATATAAGCATCCCTTTGCAGTGTGAGAGAGAAATCAACTGACATCAGTCTAAATAATAACATGAGATGGAAAAAATAAACAAGAAGTTTAATCAGAGTGTTTTCTTTTCCAGAGGTTATCATTTAACTTTCAAATCTTTAACTATAAATAATTACAGGCTTAGAGCATAATACATCTGCACACCTTTCATTTATATGTTACGTATTACTCAGGGAATCTAAAGCATGTGTAACTTTCAAAAGCCTTGGTGACATGCTTACTATATACATGTTTATAAACAGGTATGTAAATATAATGACAGGCACATGTTGCATGCTCACTGCAATTAAGCACTCATACATGTTATTTACCACAGACTCTTGAGACATCATTATAGTAAATTTCTATACAATTATCCCTCTTGGTCCCTAAGCCAAACTAAATATTCTCCCGTAATTCTGTATATTCTATATACATAAATATTCTCCACAGTAATTCTGTCTTTTCTCTGCATGCTGCAAATAAAATAGCTCAAGCCAAGAAAATACTTTCTACTGACCTCAGCAGCTTCTTGCTGTTGCTTGACTACAGATGGGTCAACTCCAGGTCCTTCCAGTTCTCGAATAAAGTCCTGAGTATCTTTAATAGTAGCTACAACAGCCATGTGATCACACCAAAACTTTTCAGCTAGTTCCATTACATCCAACAATTTGGCCTCCCTTTCCTCAGTCAAGGTCTGGATGTCTTCCCAAATGAGGACCATTTGGTCTAGTTTATCTTGAACAGCTAAACAACAAAGGAACTAGATTACTACCTTGGCAAAAAATTCTAGGCCATAAATCTCTCTACAGTTCTACAGCAGAAACATATGTGTACATTTTAAAATTTAGACTCTAAAATTGTTTCTTTACAGGGCTCCTTATAATGTTAAGTAGGAACAACCAAAATGGCCTTTAAAAATAAAACAAAGGTCAAATCCATGACGAATTATTTTAAACAAATGCTTTGTTTTTATAAATCTTTAGCAGCTTCTCCAGCAGAACACAATCCACAGATCAGTGGTCATCAGAAATTAAGATTCTTTTATATACTGCACCTTGCTGCATTTCCCCTATATGAAACTATCCTCAGTCTACTACCTTTAGCAGATATATCCTTATCAGCTCCTTCTGAGCGAGCAATCATTTCCTCCCCTCTCTGTTTAAGCGTCTCATACACTGGCTGAAGTTTTTCCAGATCCACGGACACATTCTTATTTTCACTGATTTGCTCTTTAATCTTCTCAACCTCTGCTGATATCGAAGGTGGCTGCCTCAGACGTTCAACTATGCGTTTCAGACTCTCAAGAGTTGGATCTATCTTGTCATGAAACTGGGAGAGTGGTAAAGGACAGAAATAAGTGGCAGAGAAATTAGAGAAAAAAAAAAATCCAACAAATGAAAAATGGCGTGCAAAATTTTCTTGGAAAAAGGAACAGTAAAATTATCATACTTAACATCTCTATTCAACATATATATGTGTAACTTGCAACAAATACTCTCCTCATGGTTCTTCACCTCTTTTAATATTTAAGTTACAAAAATGACCTTACAAATGGTACTTCCTCTCCAATTTAAGAATTTTACTATTAAGTCCTGAGACACTCCATCTGAAGGTACTATAAATATGTCAGAATCCACTTGGATTTAGTCCTGTGTAATTCATACATAGAATCATAGAATCATAGAATTGTTAGGGTTGGAAAGGACCTTAAGATCATCAAGTTCCAACCCCCCTGCCATGGGCAGGGACACCTCACTCTAAACCATCTGAAGAGCCATGGCTCTCTGATTTCATTCTTTTAAAAAGGTATTTACCTTAATATCAAATACATACATTTTCATACCAGGACCAACATACTGGCATATAACCACGATTAGATCTGATATGTAAGGTCATTCAGAAAGATATTTGTTACTGTCCAGGTGGTGCTTGTTAGTGCAGTAAAGGTACATTATTTTTGCACCTAAAAGGGCACACTAGTGTGTATTTTATGTTCACCCATATTTGACTGAGCCCAGAAGCTCAATGACAGCTATGTTAACATGGCACACGGTCTTTGGTACAGGTCCAACATTAGTCTTTACAATATGGTTTGGATCCATCAAGATCCCTAAAAATATCTCACCACCATGCCCCTTTCAAATTAAAGAGATTAATAAACTGTGGGTGCATCTGATGATCCTCCAGGACCTAAAAACCCACTCCTGGCTACACCTGGGAAAGGTGCTAGAAAGAACACAAGATTACCTTATGCAAACAAATAGCTACACATCCTTTCTATTCAAAGGAATATAGGCAATACAAGTGTAATTACTTTTACCACCATACAACCCACTTCAATCAGACTCTGTGACTAATGTTATAGACTCAGTGTTTTTGTTAGAAGTGTGAATATCATACCAGCCAGCAAAATGTGCTATGAAAGATAAGTAGACGTCCCACATTCAAGACTTCTGAAAAACTGATTGTAGCAACAAAACCTTACATAAGTGATAACAACTGACATATAAATTACATTTTAAAGTTGTCAGTACACTCAGCAGGCCTCCTTGTACTCACACTTCAATGAATGAGACAAAGTGTTTGAGAACTTAAAAGGAAGAAATTCAAGTTGTTACAACCTCTCATTCTGGATCCATATGTTATGCCCTGCCTTTGATATAAAATGCAATTTAATATAATTTAAAACCTGAAGAGTTAAATAATTATTCTTCCAGGACTGTCTAGACAAACACTGACATAGTCATCACAGTACAGAGCTCTGAAAATATATATCTATGTATCTTAATAAAAAGAGATGATATAAAATTACATTCTGGGCATTACAATGTTTTGCTTTGGCATCTGCATATACATTTAGGTAAATAAAATTAACATCAAAGTATTGCATAAATCATTAAGTATTTTCTCAACATCTGATTATACTCTAGCTGTTACCAAAGAATGCATTTTTATTCTTGCTTTCTGTACTTACCCAGTATAACACATTAATGTCTATCACATACAAAGCAGGGACTTGAATACTAAGTAAATACCTTAAATTTTCTAATGTGCAGCTGCAAACAGGGGGAGACCTGAGCATTTATGATAAACACTGAATCTAAATAATCAGGCATCTTTCCGAGGTGTGAATAAGGAAGGTGTTATATAATATCTGTAACCAGTTCAAAAGCAGGATGTTATCTGATGTCATTTTTTGCCTCAGGTTCTTAAACTCAGTCTGCAGGGGCTACAAATATGACATCAAGTACAATGGCCTATGAGACTTGATGAGAACTTTAAGGTGTATATCTTTATTATTTTAGACCTAAGCAGAATATAGCACTTAATTGCCAGTGAATAGAAAAAAATTGGAATTTCCTATAAAAAACAGCAGTATAGAACAAACCATTCAGGGTTTTGAATGGGCTCGCGTACACTGTTATACTGAGTTCTTTTCTGAATTTGGGGTTGAGTAAAAGAATTTCTGTTTGGGTTTCATGACAATTAACCCAGTATTTAAAAGTTTTTAGAATGTGACACTTAATACACTATCAAAGTTCATTGCATAGGGTGATGAACCTAAGATACGCAACTTTTGTGGACTTGATCTGAATTTTATGCTTATGATGACATTTTGTGAGGTCTAACTTCACTCACAATACCTTTACGTAACAGTTCATGCATGTGTTGCATTAAGTTCTTGTGCATGTGCAAAGAAGAAAATCACTATTACTACTGCTAAAACACCCACTGGTTCCACTGGTAACAGATCATAAGCAAAGCTGCCAAGTTCTAGATGTAACCATACCCAAGTTAACCAATCAAGAGTGACATCCATATGAAAACAAAGCATCAGCTAGCAACAGACCAGCAAGAGAAAATGGAAGTAAAGACAAAATCCCACGTTTCTAGACCAAATGTGGTGGGGTCTTTTTTGCTTCAAAATTTTTCAGCTGCAGCAGAGTTGCAATACTGACCAATATATAACATCATAAGCCCTTGAGAAATAAAAAAATCAGTGCCATAGGCAGTGATAGGAACATTCACAGGCCATTAGGTTGAAAAATCCAGATAAAATGGTGGTTTAGCCTTGATGTATACATGTAGGATGACAATGTCTGTGTGCTTTTCCATTTGAATGAATCCAATTATACTTTAAACTTAAACTGATACCTGGGTACACTGAGAGATGGCTTCATCCAGTGCCAGTGCTCGCTTTTTAACATCTTCCTTAATTTTACTGTAAAGGGTGTCAGCTGCCACATACTTCTCTTGGATAGAAAAACCTTCTCCTGGGCTCAGCTCCAGCAACTGAGGCCCAGTTTTGTTCATCTTATCTATATGAGGCTTGTGCTCAGCAATCAGCTCACGCAGTTGCTATAACAAATGAAACAACTTATCAGTTTCTTATGCTTACACCACCACATTACAGATGTCCACACTTCTAACACATCCAGCTGGCAAGAAATTCCAAACAAATACACTTCATCCTAATATAAAGTGCAAATAACATCAAATAAAAGGTAATGACTGCTTTGCCAGTGATCGCTCCCATTCCAACACAGAGCTATCCAGGCACGAAACACCACAATTAGAGATGCACTGGAAAGGTCTGTACAACACTCTTGTGTACGATTACAGGTAAAATATAAGATGTTAACTATGCATATGATGCTGGCAACAGACATTCTCCATGATATTTAGTACCCATAATGACAGAAATGGTGACAATATTACAGATGGGTGTAACACCACCACTTTTCATGTTGATATCTGTCACTTGCTGCAAAGCCTTTAATTGTGGAACATCATAGGAAGAGGCACTGGCACTTCAACATTAGTAATTCAAATTATCCTTGATTTAAGAAGAGGAGACTAGCACAAAGAAGGGTCAAAGAAATCAGTGAAAATGACAAAAGGACAAGAAAGACTGATCAGTAGAGATGTCTTAACTTAGTTTAGCAGTCTCCCCTCTGGCCACCGGACCCCTCTATCTTCACAGCAGAACTATTACTTAACCAAGTTTAACAAGTAATTAGTAGGGAAATTAAATCTCAGCTGTCTACTCCCTCTCATCATCCCCCTGCAAAGTAAGTCAAAACTGTGAAGAAGACTGTGCAGAAGCTTATGGAAGTAGCTAGGTCACAAGGTGTCTTCCAACTTGCCTAAGGATTTTGCCTTTGTTTACTTGTACCCATAGATCTGACAAAGGGAAAGGGGATTTTTTTTTTTTTTTTTTTTTTTTAGGAGTAGCCCCATCCTTCCCTCCAGTTTTATTTATTTTCCCTGCTCATCCCTCCCTTTTCAGAATAATACCACTGTCTTGTGAGACGCTGTCCTTCTTGGTGCTGTGAACTCTTGTGAAGCCCTTGTGCAGGAATATGAAAGGCACATGCTCTGTCCTCCCAGCTAAGAGTTTGTTTAAATTAATGAAGACTCACAAAAGGGCCTACACCAGTCTCAGTGTAAATAAATCCTCTTCTCTTCAACTAAGGTCCTTCCCTTAAAAAGAAATCCTGATACTGGCTTGCTTACTCACTCCTTCCCAGAAGAGGAGATGCTGAGAGGATTGAAATGACAGTGACCATGATTCTCCACAGTCCCCTGATGACAAACAGCAATGAAAATGCAAACCCCCCTGACTCTAGCTACTTACTGAGAATCTAAGTCTATTTGTATGCCTTGCAACAGGAAAAATAATGTTGACTAGCAGACATGAGGAAAAGGGAAAGCTAAAAGCAGGTTGAAAGCTTTTAGAAAATAATTTTGTGTGATCTATTTTTGTGCACAAAAAACTTACACAAGGCCACAACAGTGCACATTTCTGGGTCCAAACCTTATGCTACACATAACCACAGCTCAGTTCAAACCAAAGTGACTGCATGTTACTCTCACAGACTCAAATCGATGAATTCCATGACTTGGAACAAAGACAGTCATCAGTAAATACAACAGAACAGAAATGTAAGTGAATATAAAAAACCGTTTTCAATTCACATTCAGAACTTTTTTTTTTTTTCTTTCCTTTTCTTTTACTAGAACAATAAATGATTTGGTCTTCTCCATGATCTACTATTGGGTAAACGATTCCAGTATTTCAGATCAGAACATGTTAAAATTGCCTGACATTAATCTTCTACTTAACAAACAAATCTCAGCTAATGGCATAGCCCAGAGAAAATGCAAAAATAGAAGCTCATCTGAAGGGCCTCTCATGCAAGCAGAATGATTAAAGTAGATGAGGAACAATCCTGTAAGTAAAGCAAGCATGATTTGGTTTACGGTGACTAATCAAGATAGTTTGTAAAGCACATGTTATATAGCCAGCCTTAATAGAACATGGTTGTTCATTCTGGACATAATAGGAAGACAAATGAGTGAACCCAGTATTTACCAGTACATAAGAGTGGCACATCTTCACTAACTGGTCTCACAGTAAACAAGATATTGAAGACAGGGTTCATCCTATCTAACCTGAGTCACTTAATTGAGGCAGCTAAATTAAAATAAATCCTGGTTATTCTGTGCTTAGTAGGGAGAGACAGGTACCTCTAATAGCCATATGGGCTTCGCATGTGCCAACCTATGCAGGTTTTTAACCTCAGTGGGATACACCTGATTCCAGGTAATACTAGTAGCTATAGATGAAACATACTAACTTTTACCCCAGCTGATTATTCCTCCATGTAAGAAAGCCCATATGGTGGCCAGCCTACAAAACTGATGCTTCTATTTTGTGATGTTATGGTAAACATTTATTTCTTTTAATTGTTACATAACATATATACTTGACATGAGAAATTACTATGGAATTGGCTAGAACCCAAGCAATCAATTCTTGGCCCTTTAATTGTGCATCTTCCTGGCTCAGCTAAATTTAGCGCCACTGTTACCAACAAAACAAAAGCCAACGTTTTTACATGTATGGAAGATAAATGGATGCACATATTTGTACACAGACTGTACACAAACATAGCATTTCACTTTCAGCAGGCTGACAGCAGGTACTCTAGTTCTTTAGATAGTCATGTTTTACCCTCTTGTTTCTTGCAAAACCATCCCATATCTGTTCTTTCTATTTATAGGTCTGGATTGTTCTAATACATTAATTTGTACTTTTAAGTTTACTTAACTATCAACTTTTGTGTGCTCAGCTCTCACTTCAATGGCAGTTTTTCCCCCTTTCACCCTCTTTTATGCTTATACATTGTTGCTGCCTTCCACAGAGAATCTTGTTTGCATGCACAGTTTGGGAAATGGTAAACGCCCAACTGAAAATGTATTTATTTTCTATTACTGATTTAAAGCTTTATTTTTCAACAGAAGTATAACTGTCTGGGTCATAAACATTTAGCAGAGTACTCCACAGCTCTAAGCAGAATACTACTTGGCTTTTGACCCTTTGTTTTTCAAAATTGGCAAAATGCTTACCCTATGCTCTTCTTGTTGTTGCTTTAAAGTTTCATATTCAAGGGCTGGTGCAGGAAGCTGAGAGATGATCATTTCTGTTTCAGTTAACCATGGCCAAAGCTCTTCATAAGTCTCCCAGAACTGGTTAACCAGGGACTGAGCCCGTTCCAGCTGGAGGTTTCTCTCAGAGTTCATTTGACAGACTGTATCATATTTCTGTAAGAGGCTTTCCATTTTTTTCTGTAAAATAATATTAACAAAAAATAGCAATGTGTGTTTTTCCATGTCTATTACCTTCATTTATAAACAGTCTTTGATAATTATAGAACCAAACCACAGTGAACCACATTTTACTTTTGATAATGTTTCTATCGGCATCAGTGTTCAAGGTGGACAGAATCAGTATTGTGGGAGATCATACTTTGGCTGAGTATTCTCAAAGTAATTAGAACATATTTAATAATATCGATATTTACAAATAACACTTTATCCATAGGGCTTCCAGTCAAGCTGCAAATGATTTGACTGCAGATCTTAGCCCCACTTCCTTACTGAAGAGCCTTATCTTCAGTGACACTTGGCAGAAGATTAGCATTTCTGAATCAAGGCATCATGAACAATATAAAAAAACCCTGTTGTTTGGGTTTGTTTTGTTTTTAAATCTGGCAAGAAAATAGGGTGCAATGTTGTGCTTGTAGCTTACAAACTTGCAACAGCAACCACAAAGCATTATTTTCCAGGTTAGCACACTTTAAGTAATGAGGATATGTTACCATTAATAATATGATAAAATTATAAAGCCTAAACATTGTAAGTCTACTGCATTGGGCATATGATAATAAAGTATCAACTAGCTATGCATTTTTCCTGTGGAAGACTGCCCATGTTATCATTTTAATGAAATATTATATGTGACAATGCACATAAATACTTAGCCTTGGAAAAACTAGACATATAAGCAAGTCATTGAATTGGTGAAGAATCTTTTTTTGCCAGAACAAGCTATCCTTTCATTTGTTATGTCTTGCATGTGAATTAAGTATAAAGATATTATCCAAAGGACAAAACATAGCCTAACACACATATATACCGTATTTTTGACAAATACAAATATTGAATAGTGTCTCACGTAAAACTGTGTTCTCTTATGACAACAGTTTCATAGACAGAACTTCTCATCTATTTGAAATTCACTTAAGAGCAAATCAGATTTCTTCAGAAATCCTCCAGCAGAGCACAATTAGTGTTGTTGTTCAAGGAAGGCAGTGATTGAAAAGACTAAACTTACACTATATATCCAGCCTTACCATAACTCAGCAAAAAAACCCAACAAACCCAACCCCATAACTAGCCCATTCTTAAATGCTAACATGAAAAATCTGTCTGTATATATATGCAGCCCCAACATTAGGCTTTCTCTGTGTGTGCAATAAATAAAGGCATAAGAATGCCTCTCATGGACTGTGTTAGTCAACAGTATGGAATAATCTTGGCAAGTGAAGTCCACGCTGAAAACGCCAGAAATGAAAGATTCACACTGAGGTGCATAGCCATTGAATCCAGCATAGAAATACACATGGAGTGTCACTGACCCAAGAGAACTCAGGAAGATGAACCGCCAGATTCCATACACACTACCCCAGATGACTAACACCTATTCACTCAATTGTCCATTGGCTAAAATACTATTTACCATGGATGAAGATGATAAATGTGGCTACAAATTAGTGTCTGGCAATGAAGCAAGTACACAGTGCTTGATCTCTGAACATCCTGAAGGAAGAAGAGAGATACACAACAGCATTTCTTCTAGTACTACAATCCTTAGACTAGAAGTGGCTGTAATTAATGCTTTTTCATTAGTATTTCAAGACACACACTATAGGAATCCTTCTATTTATATGTTGTCTGCATATCTACTGCTGTAGCTGCAATTTAAGAAACTTTACCTTCATGGCCTGTTTTTCTTCTTCGGTGCACGTGTTCATAATCTTATCCCCAGATTTAACAAGTTCATCTATGGTATCTTTGTGCCTCAAAATCTCCATGGTAAAAGCCTTGGAACAGAATAAAAATTGGTCAGGAAAAAAAAAAAAGAAAAAAGGGAGTATGTTGAGCAAAAACTATTTTTGAAGTGCATTATGATGGACTGAAAATTAAATCGTGCCAGTACACTTTCTAGATGGAGAGTGTGCCGGCCAATAATTAATGTGACATTTGGAAATGCATTTCTTTTACCTTTTGAACTTGTAGCTGAGCCATGGTCTGGTCTTGCTCAAGCCTAATATCACCCAGAGACATCAGTTTCTTTTCTGTTTCTGCAATCCAGGCAAATTCAGCATCAGCTGCTTGATCAAACTAAATGAGGGAGACATGAATTAGTTCAGTGGTTCTATAGATGTGAAATTAGAATGATTGTTTCAAAAAAATTTAGAGAAGATTAAAAAGCATACTTTGGAATTCTTAGAAAGACAGCGGCTCACTTTCCATATGAGAGTTTTATATAAATGAAATACGAAGCTCAAAATGATTCTGAGGGATTGTAACACAGCAGCTTAATTCATAAGCATGACAAAGCAACAGAAGCAAATATATTTTTCCAAAGCCTACAGCTCTCTAACAGACATAAGAAAATAAAAACGGTTATAATTTCAGAATTGTAAGTCAAGTCATTGTTTTCATTTCAGTCTACTTCCATGTCTTTTCCATCTCTATGTTTATTATTACTGCTAGTGTTGCAATTATCCTAAGAAACAGTTGTTTGATGTTATCCTTTTAATCTTAAGAGATGCTTTGGTATTAAATGATAAAGGCAAAAAAAAAAAATCACAATTTGACTAAATTGGTGGAAAAACCTCACTGAACTCAGACAAGACAGGATTTCATCCAAAACTAGACCTTGGATTAAACGCAAAAACTCTTTGAGGCATTTGGGTGCAGCCAGTCCTTTTCCTAAAAGATTAACTTCTGACCACCATTAATCAACATATCAATGTTTCAGGAATTACCTCAAAGCACTAAAGTAATGAGAGGATTTAAAGGATCTGTTTCTTACTAATTTGTGATGGAGAACCTGAAATGTGTGGGGATCCAATTCCCCTGGAAAGTAAGACCAAATTAAAGAAAAAAAAAATCATATATTCTCTCTTCAGTTCAAGTTTATGGGCACATATTTTAGTCCCCACATGGTGCAGTTCTCAGCAGAGGCAGCTTTGAGCTTAAGCCATAGAGACATATTACATGGGATGATGAGGTGTACAAAACAGTAACTATAGAAACTACTAAGAACTAATTTATTTCTTTATTTATTTTAAACTCTGACCTTCACTGCAATTAGCTGAATATTATTATGGCTATGAGTTATTGTGACAGTCTATCAGGATGTTTTAGGTCAGAACCTGCTCCTTGTGTTGTTGATAACCATGCTTTCCTCAGAAGTCTCTTTCTGTCCACAAGAGTCTGTCCCTCTTGTCCTTCAAATATGTTGGTCTGTGCCTTTGTGGCTGCAGACCAATGACAACCCTGCTCCTGTAACACAGCTGGAGTTCACTTTAGGCACTAAACAGTGCTGTCTTAGTGATTAATCATGAGTCACACAAAACCAAAAGAAGCAGTTCTGAGATTTCATTCTTTACGAGTCAATCTTTTTCAGCCCTTATAATCCATGTTACATGAAAGAGAGCACAAACATTCTTTTTCACTGTATGTCACTTCTCATTTAAAGTAACAGAAAGTTTTGTCCTAAATATTGTGAATTCCTAATAGAAAGGTACATTCTGAAACAATCAGGACTGTAAACATCAGCACAAAGCACATACACCAGTAACAGTTAATTCCTGGCTTTAGAAACTGCCAAGCTCTTCAGAAGCCCATCTATTTATGATCCAGGTCAAGGAAATTAAGAAGGTGATTCCCAGTGTGTTAGATGTACAAATTAACTGCACTGTGGCTTCCTGATACCAAATAACCATGGATATGTGAGTAATAATGAGCAAATATTTAATGGAAATAACAAAATCAAGGCATGGCAGTGGAATTTCTAGGTTACATACCACCGAGGAAGGACAGGATTCTAAACTCCACTTGCTGAGGGTACAGGATTTCCAATTCCAAATTCAAATTTCAAATACAACACAAAAGAATAAAAAGCACAAAACTAGTACTCTCTGCATCCAAATTTTGAAGTGTTTTCTTCCCATTATGCAGGACACTTATTTATGAGCACTGAACTCCACTTGAGTCACTATAAAATCATTTATTTCATCCCCACCCAGTTTAACCAAGCATAGTTCATTGTGGCACTTTTACTTCTAACCAAGAATGATTGATTTCCAAATACAATGACATTGTGATTTGCTTCATGAATGCTTTCTGAAGTACTCTCTGTGGCTGCTTTATAGTGAAGAACAACAAGTAAGCCAAAAGTAGAATATCATAGAATCATAGAATAGTTAGGGTTGGAAAGGACCTTAAGATCATCAAGTTCCTACCCCCCCTGCCATGGGCAGGGACACCTCGCACTAAACCATATCACCCAAGGCCTCGTCCAACCTGGCCTTGAACACTGTCATATGAATATGACCTATTCTATGTAGCATGCCTTTACTAAGGTAAGACACCAGCCAATGCTTTCAGTATTGAGAAGTGAAAATTACAAGATGCAGCTAAATTTATCCCTAAGACGATTCTATCCATCTGGGAGCATTTTACCCAGGTAGTTAAAAAACAGGACATTGCATTAGTCTATTAAGCCTCCCAGTTTCCACCGAATAAACCGCTTCCATGTGAAACAATATGCTTACATGTTCATATAGCTTGCTGCATTTCTCACCTTGACCTGGTGATGTCTAGTCTGAACCCTACACTACTCCCATTGAGCCTTTGTCTTCGTAGTGGCTTTGCCTTCCACCCAAAACTTTGTAAAAGCACAGGCACTTGAAACAAGTTGCCACAGGATAAGCTTACAGAGCACTAACTTCTCCAAAAGCATTTTTTATTTTGCATTGTCTTTCTTTGAGCTAAATAGAAAGTACCTTATCCTTCACTGGAAGTGTGTTAAGCTTCTTGATATTTATCATAGGATATAGTGTATAGGAGTACAATGTGGTGATGTGAGTTGGGCTGAAGTGGAGGTTAGGGATATGCAGGTCTGGGTTGCAAATGTGCCTTTGCCACATTAGCTAGTGGAGCTAGCTCTGGACTTCTTATGTGTGGACCTGAATTTGCTGAACTTGTGCTAGGAGATGCAACACACTCACAGAATTCAGAAAAGTTTAAGGAGAGCCAACATACACTCTCCTATCTTACATTATCACTCACTGAAAAAAATTATCCTTCATTTCTGAGGATTTGATTAATGAGACAAGATAATATTCATAGCAAACCTCTTAAAAAGAAATATGAAGTTACTTTAACCTCAGTTACAAGACCTGAGTTATTGCCAGGCTCCTTCAGTCAACTTTCAGCAAATGGAAAGTATCACACATGCCTTCTCCTACTCCTCTTACAACTGTTTATAGGAACTATTAGTAGAAACAGAAATCTGCACCAACATTTCTATGCCTGAACTGTAGCCAGACATTGGCAAATTGTGTTTCCACAATGCATTATAAGCAAAATTAAATATGGGACCATTTAGTGATGAAATTAAGAGTGCCAGTTCTCAAAGTGTACTCATATATACAGCTCTGCGAATGTATAGAAACTTCCACGTATTAAAGAACTCAAATTTTTGAGCCCCAAGAAGAAAAGCATTGTGGATATGAATAGCAGTGATTGTTATTTAAATCCTCCACTACAGCCTGAACAAGATGATCCAGCTTTTATTTGTGAAAAGTACAGAGCAGCTAGACAATCAACTGATGCTAAAAGGTGTGGCAACCCTTGTGATTTCAGTGTGGCATTCAGTGAATTTTTCTGGGGATCTCGAGCATATTTTACTTAACATAATAAACATGATCTACAGAAGACATGGTCCATTCAGTTCTTACTTAAGCAAACTCTCATTTGAAGAGCCACAGAATAGTTACAGCAATTTCAGCTACAAGCCTGATGTTTGTGTCAACAAAAGGCAGAAAACTGTAACAGTGTACAGATTAGCCAAGTTCCAGCATTCATATCTTAACAGTGGAGTCCCATTTCATTCAAACAAGCCTTTTGCTGCTCAAGCACAGAAAACATTTGGTAACATTATTAAATGACTTCTTTTATTCAGGTACGCATGGCCAGAGACTGTTACTGCAAAAAGAACAGTTTTCAGTACCTGCTGGGATCTCAGAATGGCAGCATCAATCTCATCCACCTTCTGAGAGATCATGTCACTCACTAATCTGTAACGTTCGTTGTCCTCTGTTATCATCCTGTCAAGCCCCTCTCTGGCCCTCCATGGCACCAGCTCCAGGAAGGCACTGCCAACTTCATTGAGAGTGTCCAGTAAGCCTTTGTTGTTCTTTGCTTCTTTTTTCAGCTCCTGTAAAAGGACATTTAAAGTAAACATGTCAGCATATGAGCTGAACACACACAGCCTGCACATGCTTTTTTTATTCTTTCAACCACTCCTTAAGTCAAGAACTGAAATGTCTGCACAGACCAAAGGGATAAATTAGCACACTTATTTTCATCTCTGTTGTATTAGGTATTAGCTTTTTGATATTATAAGCTATTTGACAGGAAGGTGGGTGATTCTTGAAGAAAATTTTCTACAGAATCTTATTATATATCTTGCATATATTCTTCCAGTCAGTATAGCAGTCTGAACTCTTTGTAATTTTATATGAGTTGTATACAATTAATTCAGGTGATTTCTTAAATGTGCAATGACTAAATTAAATTTCACAGCATCACACAATGCTTCAGGAATGACTTTTTACCCACTTAGAAACTCCCACTGCTGTTTCACTTCTTTTCATATAAGAAAATGAATGGAAAGATTATTTTTTTTTACTTCCTCTCTCCACATCATCTGCACCATCCAGATTTTACTACAAATTTTCTTTTAAAATAAATATTGTTAAACAAGATTAGTAATACATATTTTTAAATGCCAACTCTTTTTACACTTTACAGGATTTTATCTATGTCGCAACTAAAGAACCAAAACAACTTTGCTTGACATCTTAAAGAGTTTTCCCAGGATTAGGTAGCTGCTTGAATAAAAAGGAAATGTTGTACTTCTCTTGTGCTAAAAATAAACCTCAGTCTGATTTCATAAGTGATTATAACAGATGACTCTGGAAAGTGAGTTGGATTCTTAACTACTGTTACATTTAGTCAAATGATGTGATGCCAAAATTTCTTATTCACAAAACAACTTCATGCCAAACATAAGTTAACACAAAGCCTAGCTGAATCATACAGCAATAAATAATTCACAGGTTCTAAAACCTACTTTTTGTCTTTCTTGTACTTGGCTTAATTCTTCACCCTTTGGTATTTGACTTTCATATGAGAGTAACTCCACCTCCACTTCATCAAGCCATTTGCAGAGTTCCTCGTGAGTTGAGTGCAGTTGACCTGCAAGCTGCAGAGCCTGCTCTAAGGTCTTGTATACATCAGAACTCAATTTTGTAATGTCTTTGTATCTTGCTTTAATGCCTTCCAGTTTATCTTGAATTATTACAACTTCATCACCTAAAATAGAGGGATGTTATTTCCTATGATCACAAATATTTAAAACAAAACAAAACCTAACCCAAATCACAAGACCCCCGTGTACCAGAGATCTCAGTATTTAACTTGTAGACAAGGTCAATCTTCAACTACTGTAAAGTATCCTACCATCACTAAAGTTAACAGAGCTATTAAGTTTACCTCAGCTCAGGATCTGTCCTTCTGTCTTTTTTTCTGCTTTACTAAACTATTAGAAAGGAAAAACTTAAGATAAAATATTTAATTCAAACGTTCTTTTTTAGAAAAAATCCAACCTTAAGTTCAAAATACTTCTTAAAATGGCAAAAAAGAAAAAAAAAAGTAAAAAAGTAAAAAAAGTGTTACTGAAAATGTGAAGGAAAAATATCAACAAAATACTAATTAGATTTTCAATTACAGTAATATTTGACATTGCTGTGCACTCCCATTACTATTCACTTGAAACACAACTCAAAAGGCTAAACCAAAACCAATGTACTGAAGTTTATCAGCACATATTCAGACTTCATTATGTAATGTTTGGAACAGAAAAGGACATCCCTCCACCCCCAACCATGTCTGTGCCTTAAAGAGTTCAAGAATGCTAGAAGTGCTGGGAAGTCCGGACAGATGTTGATCTACAGAACACACACGTGTGCAACTGGAATGTAATTTTTCCCACAGTATTAGCTCCAATGGACAAAACTTTCCTCTTGCAGTAAAAGGTAGTCTAAAATCTTGTTCATCTGTGGATGCCTGCAGGGAACTGACTGCATCCACTGCCAAACAGCCCTCCATTATGAGTAATGCCCATAACTTGCTATTAGGAATGGAATGCAGGTTCACTAAAATAATTTTTCACTGAAAGCAATAAAAGATTTGAGGGCCAAACTCTCTACAGTCAAAAAAGGACTTTTGCTTACTTACATTAATAGTAAAACTGACCCCAAAACATATCTTGACCTCAAACCTTTATTAAAATAAGCAACTACGACTGCTTTAACTAGCAAATATGGACTAATATTTAAAAGTTCTACTTAAATTCTCATCAGCACTTGCAAGTACAAGATAAAAAGCCTGATGAATCACAGTTTTCTATAAGCTCTCACCTGTTGTATGCTTGAGAAGCTCTAAGCCATTTTGTATAGCTAAATCAACATTCTGTTTTCTAAGAAGAATCTCTTCCTGAAGATCCTAAGAGAAAAGGCCATTTGTGTTAGCACAGATACAACAAATTATAATATTTTATTTGGAATTAGCATATTAACACTTCAAAGAAAATATAATAATGAAAAATAAATAAAGTATGGGAATACAAATAAAATTTTTAAAATAAACTAAATAATAAATGAACAGAAATAAAAATACCAGTAGTTCAGAGTGCTGTTTCTCAAGCAATTCTCTGTTGCAATCTTGGACTGCCAATTTGCTCAGTTTATCATGGATTTCATTCAGCCAGTTCATCAATTCAACTTCGTCCTCCCCAAAAATCTGAGCATTGCTGTAAGCTTGCTGGAGAAGTTCAGACCTGCTGTTCATCTTCTCTTGAATCTCAATGTATCGGGCCTGAGAAGAATCTAGCTTTTCCTGCACCATATCTTTATCTTCCCTGGAGCTCATAGTCTTTAGAGACTGACCAGTGCTAACGGCCTGATGTAAACTCTTATTGTGAGCTAGGACATCATCTTCTAGGGCCTATATTTTTTTTTAATAATGAAGAATAATGGAAAAGAAAAGCAGAAAAACATAAAAGAAACACAAGTTGAACTCAATGAAAACTGGATGAAAAAGGACATATTACCAACATAAATATAAAAACCAAATTACAGGGAAAAAAAAAAAAAAAAAAAAAAAATGAGCCTGGTAGAACATTCACCGCAACACCTTTGGCAATTGAGTTGCACTTTACAGAAGCATCTGAAAAGAATGACACAAGCAAGCACGTGGTTTGTATCTTACTTTATGCTGAGAAATTTGCTGCTGCAGTTTCGAGGCCTGCGTTCCAACGGGTTCTGCATTTGCAAGCCTCTTCTCTGTGGCAGTCAGCCACTCCACTAGTGGCTCGAGAGCTTCATGGAACTGCTGTGCTACCACTGAGATGCCTTCCAACTGACGGTTCCTATCAACACGCCAAGAGAAAGGTTATTTTTTGTGATGAAGTAAGTGTGAAATACCTAGAAAAAAAATATGAAAGGCCCTTGAATCCTTTGCAAAATAAAGGATATAATTGTCTTGTTGTAGGAACCACTCATCAAATGAAATAGAAATATATCTATGATACTCATGAAAACCAAGGTAAAGTTAAAATCAAATAAAATATTGAAAAAACACTTCCGAAGCTGTTTGAAACTCTCTGAGCTAATATGCAACTTTTGCAAATAAACAAAGTATCACTTTATTCATATACCTACTGCTAAAAGTAATCTAGCACAAAATTCAGCACAACCTTGTTTTGTACCCAATAGGACAATTCTTAAGTTTCTTGCTGTCTTTAAGCATAAAGTTACATTCCCTTCACTAGTAAACATTTTAAAGTTAGACAAAAGATCTACTGAACCAGAACATACTGTCATGCTTCCTCAGCACTGTAAAATATCTTTAAAGATTTGTTCAGTGATGTGAACAAAACTATTTGGCTCTACTTCTGCATCTCTTGCTCTTGGTAAAAGCTCTCAACAAAGTTAGTGAGACAACGTTAATACAGCAGAGACTTGACCTCCAAACTAAGAAAGCACTATCTAAAACATTTTTGTTTCAGATTATTACATTTCAGAGAAGGTTCTTGATTGCAGGAACTGCCTTCTCTACAAACCACTGCTGAACAAATCTCATTCAAGCAGACTTTTAAAGAGAGATTTGTCCTACATGAAGAACATCACAGTATTTCAAATGGGGCTCTCATTCCAGATAAAACCTATGTTTATATGTGCTTCCCAAGGCTAATAAACAATGTAGACTTCACACACTTAGCCACAGAACACTCAGTGAAGTACTCTACATAGTTTTCAAAATCATCCTCAAATCTCCTCTTCATTTCTAGAGACTGACCTAAGAAAAATGGATACAAGCTTGCAGCTAATACATAGCTTTAGAAAAGCTGAAATTCGATTTTTAATCAAATATCATCAGACTGGAAGAATAATATCAAATCAAACATGACATTTCCCATGGCTAATGAGTCAGATGCTTTCAATAAAAAAAAAAAGAAAGAAGGAAATAATGGTCTATCAGTGGTTGACTCTGCTAATTAATCAATCATATTAGTAGCATGAGGTAACAAAAAAGGTTCAGAGTAAATGAACTAAAGAGGGACTGCCAGAAGCAGTAGGAGACAACAAGCTGAATTCAATGCTATTCTAGCACCCAAATCCTAACATCCATTTGCTCTTCACTGCAAAGCTTCACTGTTCACTTAAATTCATTTTTCTTCAACTTACCAAGTCATTTCTTGTTCTTAATTATACGCTTGTTCAGGTCCCCCTGTTATGCATACTCTTCCTCTTTCTACTCTGAACAAGGCTGTCCTTTTTCAGATCCCCACCCAGAAAACACGATTAGCAAACCTTTCAACACAGATTTCTTCAAAGACAATTCACAGTTCAGAACATACCAGGTGTTTTATACACCAACAACAACTCGTAAATCTAAGTGTGTGTATACACAGATACCAAGAGTATGGTTTTGGGTTTTTTTTGGTTTTTTTTTGGGGGGGGGGGTTTGGTTGGTTGTTTTGGGGTTTGTTTGTGGTTTTTTGTGTTTCCTCCCCAGCATAAGTACACCAGCAACCAACAGTACGAGGATAAAGTTGCAGAAACTAATTATATGGACAACACCAAAAACAAACATCAAGAATTGAGTGCTTCCTCCATAGCAACATGTCAAGATTTTGAAGTTCCAAGAGAGTGTTATTATTTAAATGTAAAATTTACACTTGATCCTATACAAAACAAGTTCCTGCATCAAGAAATCTGCATTCTAATCAACTAATGGAAATAAAATATTAAGAAGACACACATGAAATTAATTGTGGCAGACTGTAGCGTCTTAGGCTAAAATTTTTAAAAGCTTTCGGTCTGTTCAAGTTACTTCGCTTTTCCTTCAGAGGTTCTATTATATCTACATCAAGAATGACAGTACTTACAAGATTTCATAGCAGGGAGTTCCACATGCTGCTTCTAATCATCTATCGCATCCTATGTCTACATTTTTCAAATATATGAAAGAATTTCAAATACCTTGTTTCAGCTTTACTGAGCAGTGCATCCCATCGACTATCCAGGAAACTCAACTGTTTCAAGATTTTCACCTTATCAGCAGGTTCTGCTGACTCTGCAATTTTCTCCCCTTCACGCTTGATTACCTCAACGGTAGGCTTGCGGTCATCCAGCAACCTCTGGAGAAGCTACAAAGAAAGCAATCAGGCACCAGGTTATTAGAAACATTGTAATAACACAATTGCTAAAACAGAAGGAATAGACTCTTTGAAACCATGTTAGAGTGATATATTGCCTATATTGTGATGAAACTGAATAATGCTACAGTGCACAGTGCAGTACAATGCACAGTGCACCTCCAACACAAGTTCATTTTAGTTTCTCAATTGTTTTGCTATGAACAGCAGAGCTTCATGAAGCCCAAACAATCTCCTTGGTTTCCATGTGACAAAGATGTACGCAGCCCAACAACGAGTGAACACGTAGAGGAAAAAGTTCCATTTAATACCACTGAGGGAAACAAGATATTCAGAGTATCTGATACATTTTATAGGAACATTTCTGAGAAAGTTACATGCCCTTCTAGATCTGGAAACATGAAGTTAATTCTGACATATAGGTAGTTAGGAAAATACTATTAATAAAAAATACTAAACAAAAACTATTGTACAATCAACTCTCTACTTGTTTGAGATGTGACTGAGTTCACTGATATAGACCAGTAAATTAATTTCTCCGCAAAGAATAAAATACACCTTTGTCTACAGTCCTCCCTTCCTCCTTTCTCTAGCTGCCTTTGGTAATAGTAACATTTTGCCTTTGTAGATATCCCAACATGAGAATCCCCTGACATTACTCACCATAACTTTATATTAAATCTCTGGGTGGGAGTTGGCCACACAGTACAACTGTATGGAATGTATGTTTCATAAGCTACATTTTAGTTCTTTTTGCTATAACCATTATGAATATTTGCAAGAGTTGACAAGACTGATAGTGCTTCTACATTACCACAGACCATTACCCAACAGCATTCCAACTAATTACCAACAATGAAAAGGTCAGAATCAGGATCAAGAACCAAGTATTTAAGTCTGTAATTTGCAATATTACCTTGGAATTATTACAATGAAACTTTACTAGTTTTTATTTCCCACTTTTCAAATGACCAAACACTTGATTTCATGCTTTCTCTTTTTCCAATGGATCTTTAACAATCCTTTCCACATAGTATTAATAATTCTAACCAGAGCTCAAATTGCAGTGTCATAGAAAATTAGCACTTCTCCCAACCCTAAAGAGATTCTTGAGTATTGAACAGATGGCTGCTTTATACAACTTGGCACCCTTCAATGTCATATAATATACTTGACCAGATTTTATGTTTTGCCAAAGCCTAAGAATTTATTCTCATTGATCCAGTGGAAGGAGAGATATTCTGAACTTATTTCACTTACTTTCTGTTCTTGTATTTGGGCCTTCACAACTTTGAATTCAGCAGATGGTGGTTTCTGATTAGCCACAAGGTCTTCTGTATCAATGAGCCAGCTAAGCAGAGATTCAAGGGCATCCTGAAATCTCCCACAGTGAAGAAGGGCTTCCTGCAATTGTGCAGCACGCTGGGCAACCTGGAAAAAAAAGTAGAGGATCAGACTCTAGTCACCTTTTCTTTTCATTTATGTGAAATCAGTAGCCAAAATCCGTAGAACACCTGGCAATATCACAAACACTCATTTTCATAGCTATTCATAAGAGCACTATGGCACAATTTAGCATTCATCTCTCAGAGCTACAGACATCAAATGAAAAGAGGAAGTTGATTGCCAGAAAATCAGTAGTAGTTCCTTATTACAAGAGATGTAAGCCTGTTTTGTATAGCTATAGTATTATGAAATATATTGACAGGATGTTTGTGTATCAGATCATCTTTATTTTCCTTATAGGAAGACTGAGCCAGGAACCCAAAGTAGCAACTCTTAATACGGGGCAATAATCCATCCAATGGGAAGAAGACATAAGAGAGGAGAAGGCACATAGGTGAACTACAGATATCTGCTGTTCTGCTGTGTCACTCCTTCAGGAAGACAGAGTGGAGAAAAATGAGTGCCATTTCTACTTCCCACCCTTTCCATTTTCCAAGAGCAGTTACTGCTGGAAGAGGACTCTTCAAAAGCATAGAAAATAAACTACAGCCATTTTTCCAAAGCAGTGGTACCATCTCATGTCTTAAGCAATATAATCCTATACAATATAATACAATTATAAAGGAAATGTGCCACTAGTCACACAAAGCCAAGCTGTCTCACTGCTCTGTGCACTGCACAGGCACAACAGTGTACATGAACCGATACAATACAGAATGAAAAAACATCTGAACAAAGACTGAAAAACAACTACTTGAAAGTAGCTGGCGACAAATGACATAGCTACCTTTCCCATGAAAGTATCACAACTCTAACCTCTTTGATTGGGTTATCAAACTTCCCTGGTCTGCTTAAGCAGGAAGGAACACCTAGTCCTAGAGGAGTCCTTCCTGAATAAAAATCCAGGACAGACCTACAGAAAGTTTGACAAAACCTTATAAATGACAGTAATAGCTCTGGCTACTAGTGATACAAATCTTATCCTCTGAATTACCAACAGAATGATTGTGTAAAGTAATATAATTCCTATTCTTAGAGAGTATTTAATTTCCTGTATTTTGAAAAACGTCAGCAAGCAAATAATCAAAAAGCAGAGCACAACAGAAGCAGAATAGTGTACAAAACAATAACCTTCTTATTAAGAGTCTTCCATCGGGTGTTGACATCTTCAAGGTCATGTTCAAGGTTTTCTGTGTTGGAACTTTTAGCAGCACTTTGAATAAGGCCTTGACCCAACCAATTTACCTCCTGTTGTTTTACTTGCAAGGGCTCAATTTCTTCTTTCTGAAATACCTGCAGTTGAAATACAAAACACACATGAAACATTGTGTCTTCTGACATGGTGGTTACATCACGGTATGCAACAACAACAACAACAAGAAAAGCTGAAAATTGGTCTTCGGAAGAAAGGAAACCATGCCTCATCAGCACCTTCCTAAGAAAAAAATCATTAATGTCAACAGAAAGGACTCAATCTAAACAGAGTAAATGCAATACACCACAGGGAAAATGACGCTCATTTCCATGAGTAGTTTTAGACAGGAAGGAAAGGGACTGAGAGTAGAGGGACAAAAAATTAGGACAAAAGCAGAAGTTAAAGAAGCAGTAAAGAATGAGCTATTTTAAAGTAGCTTTTAGAAGAATATAGTAGTAATAAGTGAGGAGGAGGCACTACAGATGCTGGTGAAACAGTATCCCAGCAGACGCCCAGGAGAATGGGTTTTCATTCAGAGGGATTTCTTGCAAATTACTAGGGCTTTGAACCTACCCAAAAGGGCAGTTTGAGCAGTTCTCTGTTTGCTTTATTCTACTCTTTCAGGTATTTAAACTTTTTCAGAGCCAGATTATTACCATTAGCAACAGCAATATAAATCTCCATTTGTATTCAACTGCATTAGGCTGCACTGACACCAGTGTCAATGAGATCAGAAAATGGCCTGAAGCCCCTGAATTAATTACACAGGCCAGTGAAAAATAACCAATGAATAAACAATGCTAAAGAATGCTCAACTTTTGACCCTAAATCCTTCTATTTCTATAGCAGCATTCAGTAACAGTTTTGGTGTACACTTAGTGCATTCAAAGCAACCTTTCTCAGCATCCTGAAAAGCAGGAATCGCTTTGAGCGTACCAGTTACTCTCCTCTTTTGCACCAAACACAGTGTGCCAAGAGACTGCTTTTAAACCACCAGACCTCAGGTGGCTGAGCATGCTTCCACCAGCTTGACAAGTCAATCTAGAAGCTAGAGCACTTACACTAAACAGGAGGAGTAAAATAAATGAAGCAGCCCTCAGAACTTTGTTTCTACTGACAAAAAAAAACAAACAACCAACCCACCCTGAAAACTGTAAGACTGTGGTTACATGAAAACAGAGTGGAACCAGCTAGCTGCTCCCAGAAAAAAAAAAAAAAGGAAAACGCTTGTGTTTTTCTTGACTGTAGGGCAGGGAGGAGGCAGAATAATATTTCCACACAGAATCAATAACAAATTCTTTTTTTATGTGCCGTAAAGCCTCGTCTTTCTGAGAGCAATTCCTACCACAGAGAGGACTGATCTCCATAATCTGTCCTTTAAAGACACATGCATTCCTTGCAGAGAGAAGCTTAAAATAAATTACAATTATTGCTGAGGCCAAAGTTTACCAGAACAACTTAGCAACAAAGCCTGAAGTATCTCGGATTTCAACCAGAGTGGGAAGAAAAAAATTACAGACCCGACAAACACCCTTTCCTTATTACAAAGCTTCACTTCTTACTCTCTTACTTCATCCACCACTTTCAAAGCACTGCAAGATCCTGTGCTTGTAAAATACTGCTGTAATGTCAGAGCTGCTCTCTGGCAAAAGGCAGCTTTCAGAAGAGGCGATGAGCCTTTAATCTGCCTGCTTTGGAAACCACAACCACTCTTGCTTATACCTTGATGAGTAAGGCTCTTCAGGCTGAACACATGGGCTGTAGCTGCCCTTGAATGGCACTGCCCATAACAAAGCTCTGTACAAACAGCCAGCGACAACACGGGTGCATGGAGGATGCACTTTGCATCGGGACTAACAGCACCAGCTGGTGATAAATAAGCCTGCCCCACAGAGCTGGGAGTAAACACCCCCTTCAGAATTTGTCCCCAGTTCATGTGCTCTACTGACCATCTCACTACTGTGGACATGCCACGTGTGCTATGCAAATGACACTGATTATTACATCTGCCAAATTAATAAAAACCCCCATGTTTTTGAAACAACAAAGTCTGAAGAAAGCTTTAAACAAATATCTTTAAGGCTGCATTACAACTATTCAAAAACCTATGGGGATTTTGGTTTTCAATTTGTTTTTTAATTACCTTGTTAGACAACAGGCCATTGCAGACTGTATCTAAGGTTTCTTGGATGTCAGTGGTCCAGATACTTCTTGGGCAAGCTTTTGGACAGTTTACAGTACTATCTAATTCAAGCTGTTGAACAGAAAATGCCACTTCATTTGAGCCTGCACGTGCAATACTGGATTCCTCTGTATCAGGTAAAATCTCATATTTTGCTAAATCCAAGTCACTAGTATTTACAGCAACATTCATGTAATAAACATCTACGTGAGGAAGTGCCTCATCCACGTGATCCTCCTCTACTGTTGTGTCTTGTGTTTTAATTTTTTCATGAACTTCATATCCATTTTCCACTTCATTTTTGTCAAGGGAAATACTTCCATTACCTTGAAGAGGATCTTCATGTGACAGAGTTTTCTCTTTGAAACCTTGTAAGTGAGAGTATTCCCCCTCCAACTCTTCCTGATCACTTTCACATGTCTGAGCATCGCTTTGTTTTACTTTTCCAGCAAGTAAAACATCATGCAAAGCCAATCTGCAGCTTTCTTTGACAGGGAGGCTAGTAGTTGCAAGCAGTGGGGTGTGCTGCTCTCTGCAAATTGCTGGAAAATATGGTCTGAACTGACCTACTGCATGGATATCTTCTGCAGAAGATAAACTTCGGGTCTGAGTTTGCTCCTCTGCTAACAACGTATCTTGTTTTTCTTCCCTTTCTGTTGGAGGGCTGCATAAACCAGAATCATCCTCTTCTGAGGTAAGAGAGTTAGCACCCCATTTGCATTTGCCCGACCTAACTGTATCTGACATATCAGCAGTTTCATTAAAGGAGCTTTCACTTTTATTTGTGTAATCCGAAAAGTTGGGCGGAACAAGCATTCTCCATGATCTCCTATGCTCCTTCTTTTCTGTGTGAGACTTTGCTTTAGGTAATGCAGCTGTCCGAATTATATCACTGTTCAGTTTGAGTGCATCAAAGATCATTTTTTCATCTAGCTTGTTAGCTTCACGGCTTCGGAGCTCAAAAACACTGGAAGAAGTAAGGGCACCATTGGAGCACAAAGTGCTGATGTCCAGTGTTCTATGACTGTAGGGTAAAGTCCGATCAGTGAAATGCCTCGAGGTGAGGCTGCCCTTGGAGCCCGAATCGATCTGTTCATTCAGCCGCACAGTGTCATAGATGGACCTCTGGGGAACATAGCAGTCTTCAATATTTAGATCTTCATCTTCTTCCCCTTTGCCAACACACGGGGGATTCTGACGTAGACAGTCTGGCCTGCTAAGTGGCTTCCCCATCCTGAGAGTACACCACTATACCTCTGTTTTCATGGATACACAGGAAACATTTAAAAGACACTAGCACTCTACAGAATTACAGTAAACTTGTCCTTAGCATAAGATGCATAGATACTAAATATACACCATAACTTATGAGGTGGCTGAGGTTGTTCATAATCAGTGCATCAGTTTAGATGCAATTTTATCTGGATGTGAGGTTCCTCCACCCCCCCCAACCCCCCCCCAAAATATAAAGTGCTTCAGTAAGAAAGTAACATAAATCTTCCAATGTCACAGAAAAACAAAGTATAACAAAACTCAGCAGTGGCTCAAATATTGCAAACACTCCGTGGAAGGCTTCATTTATTTTTCTGGGTCAGAATCTGTATCTGAAATCTCCCAAATAAACCTTCTAAATGAACAAGCGTTACAGAAGGCAACACATTATCTTCTGTAGGTGATGGCTTAACTGTAATCCATTTAACTGGTTTGCAGAGTCCCATCTCCTTTATAAATAAAACATGGTGCGGCAGCTTAACAGGACAGAATCCACAGTAGCTGTGTACGGTCCAGAAAAAGGCACAGAGAAAATCTTTAGGGGGATGGGGGGAAAAATAAGTTAAATCCAGAACAGTAAGAATAATAGACTAGCCCTTTACTTTTTTTTTGGCAATAGCTATAAATAACCTTGATCCGAAAGGCAGCTTATCCTCCTCTTGTACCAGGCTTGTCCGTGGTGCCCCACTAATGTGCTGTCCCACAGGAAAACATCACTTTCTAAGCAGCCAAACCAACGCGTCCTTCGAGCAGGCAGTCGGAAAACAAACGTTTTACACCGATTCTCCCAGTGCCATCCCAGAGAGCCGTTTAAGGCAGCTGCAGAGCACAGCAAGCGTGGCGGGTGTTTCCCGAAGGCACGGCAGGTTTGCGTTCGGCAGGTCCCGACTACAAGCCGCAGCCAGCGGTCTGTACGCGCTCCTTTCCCCTCATTTCTGAAGCGCGGCTGCCAAGGAGGAGCGGCTGGAGGTTCGCCCCGGCCTCCCCCAGCGAGCCGCCCAGCTCTGCGGTTCGCCCGCTCCCTGCGGGCCGGCAGCGCCCGCCCAGCGCCGCGCTGCGAGAAACGCCCCGTTTCGCTCTTGAGGCAACATCTGCTCCCGGCCCGCCCGCTCCCGCAGCGCCGCTCCGGGGGCTGCCCCCGGCAGACAGCCCGTCCTCCTCCTCCTTTGCCTCAGCCCCTCGCGCACTCGCTGCCCGCACCTCCACCTCAGGCGGCTCTGCCGGCGCCGGGCGGTGGAGCCGGGCGGGGCAGCGGCGGCCGGCCGGCCAGCCTCAGCCCACAGCTGAGCGCCGCCGCGGCCCGCAGCTCCCAGCTGTCACCGCACCGCACCGCACCGCTCAGGCCGGCACGCGTTCCTGAGACAAAGTCTGGTAACAACACAAAGCGCTGCTCCGGGCCACTCTGCACCCCATTTCCCCACCTCATAAAGCTGTCGTCTAAAAGAGATGCTTCCACTCTGAAATTAAAAGTTTATCTGTGCATCATTTTAAAAACATCCCTCAAACTCATCTTTAGTGATCAGAATGGCTACATATTACTCCACTCGACATGCAAAGAGAGTCATTCAGCCCAGTTGTGACTCTCTTCAATGTGGCTCATGGCCCCTTGGCAAAAGCTTAGGGTGGCGCTGTCTGATGGGACAGCCAACATCTCAGTGCCAAGCCAATCCCTAGATCCCACCAAAAGAAACATTAACATGTTGGAAACAAGTATCTACATTTGGAAAGCACCTTTTTCATGGAACTCAGAGCACCACAAAATCAGCCTAACAGCACAAAGGTTCAGGCCTTGGACATTCACATCTTTTAAATAAAGTTCAATGCTTTGCACCTACAACTCTTGCTCATAATCATGCAGGTGAAAGGCTGGGCAACTCACAGGTAACTCACCAACAGTACAAGAAGCTGTCATGACCAAGCTGCTCTGCTCCAGCAGAAACCATACCCCTAACCACCAAAGACCTGCATTGCCTGTGTGACAGTGGCCATCAGTTGTAGTGGCAATTCAGACCTCAGCCTAAGGACAGCATATGGCACTTAGAGCTAAAACTTAACATGGTATTAACTACAATCAGATGAAGCTTTCCCCGTTAAGCAACCAGCAGGATACACTGTATGCAAGAAATACAAACATACCACACTTCATGTTTATTGATTTATGTGATACACAGCCAGCTACATATCCAAATACTTAAGCCTAAATACTGGAAGTGCAGGAGACAAATTATCTTTTCCTCTTCTCTGGTAAGCAGATATTACATAAAAATTATGCCCAAATGATACTCACCTCTGGATTCTGTAGTTCAGAATATATACTATAATGGTAAAGGTGAAAAAAACACATTTTTTGAGGTGCTGTCACCTGTGGTTCTTCTCGCCCAAAACACCCACAAACAGATCCTTACTGAACTCAAGGAATGCTGCACCATGTATAGGGCAAGTGTACAACCAAAAGTGGTCTGTATTTGTTCAACAGCAAAATTATTTTGTTAGCATTTACAAAATATTTTACCATTTTCACCGTATCTACTGAAGACTTCCGCATGGTGCATCAGGGACTTTCAGATGCAACACAGAGATTGAAACAGCTGTTTATTTCACTTTTGCTTTTCAACACAGACTCTTAACTGTATTAAATCCCAAGACAGGTTAGTATCTTATTCCAGGGTTTGTAAATCAGTGCATGGGAAATGCAATGCTTTTAGTTTCTGATTGATTATAAAGAGAAAGTTTATTCTTTCAATATTATCTGCCTTCAAAGTTAAAATCAGAGGACATACACACTCTACATAACTAACATAAGACGTCTAGATATGGCGCTTAGGAACACAGGTTAGTGCTGGAATTGGCAGTGCTAGGTTAACGGTTGGACTTGATTATATTAAAGGTCTTTTCCAACCTGAACAATTCTATGATTCTATAACATAAGCCAATTAAAATCTTAGCTCAAGCACATTGGCAGGAATACTCAGGCTAGCTAAAAATTCCCATAAAGTCCAATTAGAAGGCAACCTCTAATGACTACATCTCCTTTTGTTCCAAAAATAAAAGGAAAATCAAATGAACCATACCCTGATGAAAGCTGTAGCACTGCTATCCTGGTTTTACTAAGAAGAACGCCTTCTAATAGCAGTACAAAGAATTGTGCAAAGTTTGAAGTAACGACATTCAACTTCTGGGGTTTTTCTTTCTCTATTTCAGAGAGAAACTAGCTGTAGATACTACTCCTACCGCACACATCCCAAGTACCGTGTGGCTATGCACACCCAAGGCATTCGGTTCAGCCCATCTGCACAATTCTTTTGTGTTTTGCTTTTGAAAAATGGTGGCAAACTCAGTGTAACTCAATACTAATTTACCTAATTTACTGAAGCTTCCTTTTAGTACCAATCTATGCATTGCATACAGACTGGGGGGGGAAGGGAGGGAAGTCAAAACATCTGAGTTAATTAGTGATCATATTAATTGAGACAAATTCTCAAGTTGATTATTCTCTTCCTGGAGTTCTTTGTGAAGTAAGAGTCATGGCTGTACCTTTTCAAATGGATTCTGCTGCAGATTTTCGTCTACAGAAAGCATCTTTTATATCTGCATTGTAAATAAGTATAGTTTAACACAGAGTACTTTCAATTTGACACTCTGTACAGAGCAGAGTAAGTAGATTACAAAGAAGGAATATAAATAAAGCAAGTATATATATGTATATATATATTTTAATAAATATATACAGAATACAACTCAAAGCCTGTTTTGGGTTTGGGTTTTTGTGGTTTTTTTTTTTAATAACTATACATTTTAATGTCATGCCAAGAAGACTCACAAAGCTCTAACTCTTTGTACATAAAAATTGGTCAAACCACAAAAACCACCTTTGGCCCATTATACAAGATCCTTTCCTGAAGAGAATGAAGATTTCACGTGAATAAATCTATCTACCAAGGAACAATTCTTTTGCTTTACTCGTGAGGCACAGAAGTTGATTGTACTTGACTGCAGAACCTAAAGCTGTAAGGAGCCAGACTGTGGTTTTGTGGCCACAGCCGCATTTTCAGGTTGTGTTTGCGTACGTGCACAAACATGTGAGCAAATACACCGCAAGTGGAGCAGGATTTGTGGGAGCCAGACTCCCTACAGTTTGCTGCCTCAGGTGAAATTGCTCTCTGGGAGGGTAAAGAATATGAAGAGGTACATTACCAACTGTAATTTTCCTGTGCCCCAGCAGCACTCACACTGAATATTAGCAGAGTAATCATTGACCCTTATCCTCCTGCTCTAAGTATCCCTTTGCTACCTCATCACCTTCATGTAGTAAAATTTTCCATTCTTGGTCTTCCTATTTCATTTCTTCAAAGGCTCACCTTCTGCTTCTTTATTCCTCCATTTCCTCATCGCTTATTCAAACAACCCCTTCACCTTTTCATCATTTTTCACCTCCTGTTTAATGGCATTGTGTTTTCACTCATAAGCAAAAGCATGGCCTAAAATAGTTGCTTCAAGCAAAACACATTTCTAAGCTCATAAATATCTAATATAAATAAAATCCTGGAGTAGGCTTCTGGATATAAACATGCCAGTACCACTCTTCTCCTTTACATTTCTTCAGATTTTTGGGATTTAACATACAAGCTCTTTGGTTCTATGTTTTGGACACTGTCTCCCTCCAGGTCTGCACAGACCAGAGAAGGCTCTCACTCCTGAACTGTGGAATTACTGCATCTTTTCCAAAGCCCTAATGAAGTACAACACTCAGACAATGCACAGGGAACTGGATTCTTCTACTGCTGGCGCTTCGGATTGCTTCCCCCTAAAAGCATTGTTCTTTGTAGCCAAAAAAAGATAGCTATACATATATACAAACACACCCATAGACACACAAAGACCTAATGTTTGAAAATGTAGTGAATGTGGTAAGAGATCACAAATTGGCTACAACTGAAATCCTGTACAGTCAGTGTAAGCAAGAGTAATCACAGCAGGAGCTTTTGCTCTTTTCCAATATCCAAAGTATTTTACTAACCATACATATATATATAAATAAGCCATTTGTTTTTCTTTTAAATTGAGATAGACTTCTTAGGACAGACTGGCATACAATTTTAATCCTCCCAGTCTAATGGAATCTTCTCATAGTGTAACTATTTGTTAAAGATTTTTGTCTCTATTTATGCATTCTGAAAGATCATAGCAACCCACAGTAACTTGCATTGGAAATTCCCAGATCAAACTTTGCAGTTTTATTTTTCCTTTCTAATGTGGTTTAATTTACCAAGCAAAATGCACCCTCTGTTGGGCCAAGCATGTAATAACGTTTGTCCAAGGTCATCTTTTTAACAGCATGGTTTATCAAATCCTGTTATGAACGCTTGCTTTTATGATTAATTGTGAACTAATGTACGAGTCTTACAAACATTTAAATCAATATTAGACTGAAACAACACTAAAGCAGTGCAAAATATTCAGTGCTACTATATAGCCATTAGAAGATTTATGATCATTTTTAAACACTGCTTACAACTGCAGGGTTTATAAATCTTTCCAGTGAGCACTGGAAATTCATTTATTGTAACCTAAACTAAACAAGTATCTATCTCATTTCAGTACCAAAGCACAATCAACACACTATCACTGCAATGGATTTTTCTGATCTGGACAAAGATTGCTAACTGGCATATTAAAAAAGCTACACACAGAAGCTCCAAAGTGTATTTTGGGTAAGCTACAGTAAACTCCCAATATAAAAAGGGGCTTATTTTACCTGATTTCTTCTTACTAGGGTATTTCTAGGTAAGGGTGGGACTCAGGGAGGTAAGATTGGCCAGTGTATTAGAACAGAAAATGGCAAAAGGTCTTAAACCTACAAATGCTGAAGCCTATACACATGTGAAAAAAAAATATATACTACTCAGATGAGAAAAGTGAATATGGGCTAGTATGTGAACACTGGAGTCTAGAACTCACACCACAGTGAAGAAGAAACTTTGTGTAATACATGGACTTCAGAACAGAGACAATATGCAGTTCTCAAAAACAGTAACGGCAGATGGACTGCACAAGGAAACAAGATAGTGAGGGGAGTTTAAGAGGGAACTGGAGGTAGCACCTGCGAGCTGTGATGCAAGGTTTCCAATGTCTGCTAAGCCATAGCGAAGGAAGGCTTCTCTGGAGCACAAGAAGATACCCCATTTAAAACAGATTAAAAACATACAGGTAGAACTGACTGCTGTGAAATAAGACTCCTTCAAGGTCTGCACTTAACCAGTTCCTTTCACAATGATATTTAATAAAATTGCTTTGTGGTAGAATACTTTGTAGCACTAAGAAAGAAATGTTCCTACCTTGAATGTATTCAATTGCTGATTGATAGTCTCTGTTTCCATTCCAACAGGACCTTGTGACTCTTCGTGCTCTTCAGCTCTCCGAAGCAGACTGGAAAATTCTTTTAGCTTACTGTAAAACTCCTCCACACGGCAAATAGTACCCTCCACTTGATTTTCCCTGGCTTTTGCTCTGTCTAGTAACTTGTTGCACTGTTTATTTAAAGCTTCCAAGTCTCTTTTTATACCAACAAGATCAGGAGAAGCTTCAGCTTCTGTGGCTAGCATAATTTTACAGTTTTTATTAGCATTTTCAGTACTCAAGATAAGATCTTCCAGCTTTTTCAGGAAACATTTTATGTCCTCTCTCTGTGATTGCAGTACCTTGAGATCTCTCCCCACTGCAGCCATGCTATCAAGTTCATCATCAAACTCTGCAAACTGAGAGAACATCTCTCGGATGCTGTTTTGAAAATGGCCAATTCCCTGAAGTTTTGTCTCTAAGAACGAGCACCTATCTTCAACCTGCTGGTTCACAGCTGTGTATTCTTGTTCCAGAGATTCAGCCTGGAGCAAAAGGTCAGCAACACCTGCTGAATCAGATGCTTCTACCACCAGGTCCTGGGCAAGCTTTTTTGCTAAATCAACATGAGGCTTTAAAGCCTGTAGGGCTTTCTGCTGGGCCTGCATCATTGTCAGGTGTTTGTTACTGAATGACTGAGGTCCAAGTGAGTCGTGAGCTTCCAGATGTTCTTTGGCACTTTTAAGTTGTTTTTCAGTTTCCCTGGATGACTCCTGAAATTGTTTCAGCCTTTGTGCCATGTTTTCCAAGCACTCTCTCTTCTTATGTAACTCTTCTGTGACCACATTCACTTTCTGATTCAGCACCTTAGTTTCCTCCTGAACAATTTCTTTATCTGTTTCACTTGCACTGAGCAAATTTTCAGCAGTATTATTTAATAGCTCCACTGTCCCATGGTGTTTATCCAGGTCTTTCTGCCAGGCCCTCACCTGAACAATAGAATTCTCTATTTCAACAGGGTTTATGCCAACTTTTAATTCACACAGGTTGCTTTGGCATTTCTCTATCCATGGCTGCAGAATTTCTACATGGTGCCTGTATTTCAGAGCTTTCTCTAGACAATCTGTTAATTTATCTTGTCTTTCTTTTACCTGCTTATTAATTTCATCCCAGTTACTTCTGAGTGTAGCAATTTGGGATTGTAATGCTGCTTTGTCAGCTCCTTGAGTCTTCTGTAAGATACGTTCTCCTTCTGCAACAATTCTTTCATATGAACTAATCTGATTGGTCATGGTCTTCTTAAAATCTTTCTGTTCTTCAATTAGTGATTGCAAAGTATCAAGTTTGGCAGACACAGGACGAGCCTGGTTCAGCTCTTCTTTCTTTTTACCTAACCAAGCCTGAAAGTCCTTAGACATTTGCTGGAACTGATGAGAAGTTGCATATGCTGACTGAAGCTGCTGAACATGGTTATCTACAAAAGAGAAGACAGCACAGAGGTTTATTCTCAGAACCTGCTAGTATTCAGTGAAGAAAGAATAATTAATATTGATTCTATCATGAATGATCATTAATGTAAGGGTGGTGTTCGAATGGAAGACAACCAAGTCAACCAAGTTTCTTGCAAGGGACAGACTTGTGCCTGTACTACAGCAGAGCAGTGAAGACTTTTGGACATGAATCCAATGAGGTGAGTTTAGCTAGTCTGTTCCTAAATGAATTGTGTCCAGGCAGACTTCAGGGGTAAAAAGCACAGAGTCATGTTTCATGGTCTTATGAAGTGTAAGCACAGGGAATATGACGTAATCTAGCCTAACAGTGTCTAATTCATGGCCTGCAGGCAATACATGTTCTTAGGGAGATCCTTTGAAGTTCCTTGTGACCAGAGGAAATTGAAAAGCTAAAACTGAGGCTGTTAGGGAGAACAAAGTACAATACTGCTTGCAGTGTATTACTTGCTCAGTTCTTCGGTTCACAAGGAAGGCTTTCTATTACCAGTCTCCTTCTGTCACAGGCAGTTTTATACAATTACCACTGCATTTCACTAAGCCTTTAACTGGTCCTTGCTCCAAAATACGGTTTTGGCTTACACTCTGCACCTATGCAGTTAGGTAGCTCAATGAACAGAATCCTCTTTTGGTATTCTAATTCAGTGAAGAATGAACCTGAAGGAAGAGATGAGAAAAGCAGCCCTGCTATTGTGCTTCAGATTCTCTTCCAAACTGTTCACTAGAGATCCCAAGTATTCCTTTTACCTTTTTAAGATAACGGCACTCTCCTAAATTCTAATGTACAACTGCTTGGGGGTTGATAAAGAACTGACATTAGACACAGCCCACTCAGCATCTGTGTAAAGTGATGCTTTAGTTTATGCCTTAGTTACTATTTCTACTTCAATAAATACTAACCTGCTTTTTGCTCAATATCCTTAAACGATTTTAAGAGGCCATCTAGCTGTCTTGTAAGTTCCGCTTTCAAATACTCTTCTCCAACCAGTGTGGATAGCTCTTCACAAAGAGCTTGAGCTGCATTTATATTCTTCATTTCCTGTTCTATTTCCTCCTTCATTTCTCTAGCAACTTCCAGCTGTTGTTTCACAGCATCAGGTTGTGTACTCACAGCCAGGCTGCTGCTTAGTTTGCTATCCAAGGCCCTTAGTTTATCAGACAGACTTCTGAGTAGACTTTGATACTCTGTACTTTTCACAATGGCTTGGTCAATTCGGTCACATCTATTCCTCAGTTGGCCAGTCAGGCTGTCCCATTTTTGTGCCACAGCTGTCAGTTGCTCTTTTACAATTTCAAGGGAGGGTGGATGTTCACCAGGTCTCTTCAGAATCCCTTCACCAGCCATAGTTAATTGCTCATATTGCGGCTTTCTGGTGTCAAACTCTTTGAGCAGAATCTGGGAAAAAGAAAAATTTAAAACAGCATTTAACTTCATGAAAAAAAGAAGCAAAGTGCTCCTGACAAAAATCTTGTGGAATCTGAAGTAGCTAGACTGTCTTATTGAGTAATCAATCCCCAAGTTTAAAAGCCAGTGAAATAATTGCATCTCCTACACACAAGTAAAATGACTGCTGTTTAGTTTCAAGCACTGCCTTCCTTCCCAGACAGTTGCAATATTTGTCTTCAGATAGAACTTCAAAGAAAGCATATTATAACATTATGTTGCAATGTATTATTATAGCACACAGGATATTTGAATAATTCACAAAATGACAATGTGCACTGTAAGAACTTTAAAGTTGATGTCACTGCTTCCCAGAATTTTTTATTTTTAGTCAGTAAGTCACAGTGCTTGCAGAAGAAGGGACAAGTATCATGCCTTTATTTTACACAACATTCCAAACCCTTTCTTTCTAGATCAGTTAGATTTAACTGTCAAGGACTGTTAAGTGATACACAAAAGTTTTATGCCAGCTGTCTAGATTTTTGAAGCACTTAGAAACCAATATTAAGTCATTTTCACACAGTATTAGTTCATTTCACACACACAGTTCATGTTTTAAACACTTCATTTTAATCAATATTGATATGCCAGCTTTAATAATATTTGTGCAAAATAAAAATGTTATTTCTTATCACAGTTTAAAATAACTGGCAGCACTATAAATGTTTGAAATTAACATTTCTAGTTTCTGCAACTTTGTCCACTTTTCTTTCTTTTGTCTGCAGTTGGCTGTATTCCTGTATATTTCATTATACTTTTAGTCTTTCATGCTCTTGGCTCCATATCTACTCACAGTACTGCATTTCACTTGCCTTCATTGTTTTGTTAGCTACTGGCACAACCAAGTGAATAAGATCTCAATAAGCTAGTTCTACAACATCAACTGTATATGAAGACTGACCATAAAATGTAACATACACAATCAAATTAATAAAACTTCAAAGGAACATTTACATTTGACTACAGAGAAACTACAGTATGGGCAAACAAAAAAAATTGTATCAGAAGATCAGTATCTCCTTTAGTTGTTCTGATCTCTCTTCACTTTTATGATAATTTTTTCTTGTCATTACTGTAGTCAAGTAGGACTTAAGCTGGTATTTGCTGATAAAAAAAGGTAAAGTCTCATACTAACTTCACTGTACTCTATCCAGATGCAAATCAGTACTTTGCTAGGAGCAAAAAAGCAGAGGAAACTTAAATCAAAAATGAATGCTGGCACTACTCACCTGAACTTGTTGCTTTTGTGTATTGAGCATATTAGGATCAATTGATAGCGGTCCCAGCACACTGACCATTAGCTCCTTTTCCACAAGCCAGTGTTTTAACTGAGTTTCTGCTGTCTGGAACTGGGTCAGGTAATTTGAAGACTCCTCTAGTTTTTGTTGTCTTTCAGATGCAACTTGATTGAGTTCTTTCCATTTGGAATCTAACAACAATAATGTTAACATATTGCATGCACATTCTAGCAGATGGGTTGTCAGACAGCAGACTAGATATGAAACATAGAGCTCTCTAATAAGGCTTCTTGCTTATTAACTCCAGATGGCTTATTGCAGTGACTCAGCAAATACATCTTTTAACAGTCAGATCCATATACACTTGGATGAAGGTCTGCAGTTTAGCACAGCCACATATGGAACTTTTAGAGCAATGAATATACAACGTGTCATAAAATGGGATTAGAATATTACAAAATGAAATGCCACCAAATTCAGGCACTGGTATCAAATAATGTAAAAGCCAAAGGGCTGTACTCAGTTATAACTTAGCTGCTTGATTTAGATAGACAAATCTTTCTGCTTATTCAGTAAAAAGAAGCAGACACCTTTACAGGGGTGAGCAGAAGCCCTAATTTAAGCTTCTACTCTGAGCAGCCCTCTGAAACAGCACACACCTCTTTTAAACATCTATATTAGGAGCCGGTGGAGATTAACTGCCTCATTTAGACATCTAAACCAGGTACCTAGTGATAGGCAATGAGAATACTTCTGCGCACACCTATTTCAAAAGTGCTGTGTCAGGTTAGGTTCACACCTAGGCCAATCTATGGTCTTGTAACCTCCGCATTTCCTCTGTGATACTCTGTGATACTCAGTGCTTGCTCATTCGGCTTTGATCTTTTGGTAAGTCTCACTGTCCCTGAATTTCACCCCTGTTTTTTCAGGGTTTTTTTGCCACTCCCCTGTCTTTGACCTCTGTGCATTCTATAGGTATTCCCTTTCAACACTACTCAAGTTCTTTTGGAGACCTTACCTGCTACTTAAACATTTCAGAGTTTCACTTACAAACAGGAGAGGTCGGAAAAATTCTCAGCTTTAAAATTATTCTTGGTGTAGCTATAGAAATGCTTTTCAGTATGAAACAAGACTGACCTATGAATTATTTAAAATATTACAAACCTAAGAAGAATTTTTAGAAGATCATGATGATTATGCACAGCAGTATCTCGAAATCTGTTGTACAGAAATGGTAATTTCCATTTTTTAGAGAAAAATTTATGGAATCAATTTTAGAAAATGGCAAAAAGCCACCAAAATCACAAAATGACAAAAGCCACCAGTGCATGGGAAAAAAGCATGAAAAAGAGCATTACCAAGAACTCAAACTGTTCTTTACATGAAGAAACTTTACAGTTTTCAAGCAGAAACTGAGCAGTTGAGTTTTAGCTGCACACTGTTCGAAAAAGAGAAATCCTTCTCAAACAGGGCATCAACCTATAGCTTTTCACAATTGCAGTATAAATTCAAAACCATGGACATATGTGTAATTACTCCAGATCTACACTCTTGTAAAGGGAGTTATTTCCCCAAAAATTGAGAGTAAGATACTAAAAATAGTAATGATTGCTAATACATTAAAAAACTCAGAATGAACCAACTTCTAAATCAGTCTGAGCTGTAATACAGCTTTACTGAAGTACCTATTTTATCCAGTGTTTGTTTCCACTTAGGTGCCTCAGGAGAGTCGGGGTTCTTCTCCAACAGCTCTGTCACTTTGTCCTTCAGTTCCTGCACTTTATTCGCACTTTGCTTTAATTCAGTTTCAAAAAGCTGCAAATTCAAGTGATAAAATATGTAAATAAATAAAAGACTAAAGAAGAAGAGTAAAGTGTAAAGTTTGAAGTCCGTAATACTGAGATGCTAAGCATGAAGATAATAAGTATCTAATGCATCCACCCTACTTTTCTGCTATGACTCTCAAAACAATTTATAATAGCATACGTTGCTGGTCATGGCTTTTTGGGGAGAGAAAATCTGACAGATTTAAACTACAGTAACAATTATTGTTTAATTTGAACAAATAACAGAACTAGAAGAATTCAAACAAATAAGATCTACTAGGTCTCATCATATTCACGTATACTTGGATTCCCTTCTTGTACGAAAGACAAACTGACAAACACACAGTACAGTTCACAGCAGAAATAACTCAGCTAGCGCCAGCAGAGAGGAGCATGGTGTGGCCTCATTTACCTCAGTGGAACTCCTGCTACCACAGATACACTGCTTCTTGTAGTTCATATAGAACTATAGTTAATGACCACCACAGCTTAAAGTGACCGAGATGCCCCAGCAATTCCTAATTCATGCTGTTCTTGAAGAAAGAACCGTCCTTACATGCCTCGCAAAGGGCTCTTACATGCGTATTTTTAAGTAACAAAGCTTGCCCTGTGGAGCTACATTTTAATTATCTAAAACCTACAGGAAGAAACATTGAACAAACTGTGCTTGATTTAGAAATTAGTAAAAGGTCCAGCTGCTTCAGAAGGATGACCTTTGCCTAAGCACTCACTCAGTTTTCCAACTGTGAATACTTCTCTACTACTACACCAGGAGTAAGATGGTTATGTTAGCTTTGCACATTCTCTGTTGAAAAATAAGGAGCTAGCTTTCTTCTACATCTAGTCTGAATTTTAGGCCTGAATGTAATCCAAGTCTGAGGAAAGCTGGTAGCTGTTCAGCTTACTTTTTAAAGGTGACCCCCCCAAATATAAAAGAAGAACCTCAGCTGAAGCAAATTCTGTCCTTATTTATCCACATTCACGGAAAAATTTTCTCTATCCCTTACAGATCAGATTACCCTTTACAGATCAGCCTTTATACATGTAAACATTGCCCTTCGTTGCCAGAAAAGCATATGTCTCCAATGCTGAAACAGGACAGAAGCTTACTGCTGATTCAGTGCTTTTCTTCTATCAATTAAAAACAGGGAGGAGATTATTGTGCAGCTATATAACTTAACAAGCATAACATGGCTGCTGAAGAGAAACACTGCCTTGGAACAGACATAAGCCACTACAGCTGCAGCGACTGGGAGGTCTGTGGAGTGTCAGTGAACCAGCAGCTGCAGAAATAGCTTTTGGATAGATACAGCTCTTCAGATCTTACAAGCAACCTGGTATATATCTCTAAACCAGTAAAGAGATCAAAAAAGTTTACTGCATAATCAATACAGCCTCACCTATTTAAATTGGCCTCCAAAATTATTATTTTCTGACCTACATGACTCCTCTCTGACACAGTGCTCCTTTTACTCCACTGACACAGTTTGCCAGATTTGCTCTAAGCCTGATTGGCATGCTTACTAGGATCATTTAAATATCCTCTGCAACATTAAGCTAGGCTGAGATATAAGTTATTCAAATACAATTTGCCCAGTAACTGCAAGAAAGAGTATTTTTTAAAGGCACAAAGCACCTTATGTTGCTCAACTTGGGCTTTAACCATTTCACTATCAGTTGGAGCAGCTTCCCAATCTGATGCAGTTTTGTCCATTTTTTGCAACCACTGCATCATTGATGTGGACTCTTCCTGAATATTCTGCATTTTTGAAAGCATACTCTCTAGTTCTGAAATCTTTTCCTTCAATAAAACTCCCAAATCTTCATAACCGTGATTTACATCAGACATGGCTTGTTGAACAGTTGTCAGTTCTGTAAAAGGAAAGATGCACAAAGACTGTGTTACAGGTTACAAGCCCTTCAAACAAAACTTAGACTTCAAGAACTTCTAAACAGTGCTCTAAGTTACCCAATAGTCCCCAAATAAGAAGTTACTGAACATGTTAAAAGTTATTTCCAATTCACTCTAAAAGTGATAACATTACATCTGAATGACCTAATATAAGTTCCTAGTTGTAAGAGCTTCAGGTAAACAAATACTTTTTGACCTTTCTACCCATTGTTATTTTAGTATTTTAAGCAACAATTCCGTGACAAAAAGTTGAACATACTGGACTGCAGTTTAGTTAGTTACACAACAGCCTAACACTACTGCAATTATTTTTTGCTCACCATTCATATATCATTAGAAATGTGTTTTATCACTGAGAGAGCACAGCAGGCAGATGGTGTATTACGTAGACTATAGTTTAGGAGACCAGACACTGCAGACTTGGGATGTGGTATGCATAAGCACATATAAAGTGCCTGTGTCAATTGGTCACACACAGTGATAAAAATGTAAGTAAAATGGGTGTCTTTGTATGTCTGTGTATGTGAGTGTTGTGAACACTGGTGGGTGTTAAGAAGTTTCAAGCCACATACACACATATTAGAATTTTCTCCAAAGCCATGCATACAACTATCTCTGTACGCATTTACAGAAGTGCATATTGATTCAGAAAACACAGCCAAATTTGATCTGTCTTCAAAGAAAATACTGAAGAGAAGTATTTATACAGTTCATTTTCGTATCATGCCCTAGTCAATATAGTTGCCTTACATGACGATAATGTGAATTTTCAGTCTACTAGTGACTGCTACAAGCAGATTGACATACACTATTTAAAAAAAATAAACGTTTAACAGTAATTGGCAAGTACATTTCTTTATCACATCCTGAAATTTTTACTGACCTTTATTTTTCAGGAAATCCTGAGCTCCTGGAGCTCCTCCATCACCATTTAACATTGTGCCACCTGTGGATTAAGAGATGAAATCCCATGCTTACTTGGACCTTTTCCCACCAAAACCCCAGCACTGCATTTCCTCTTCAAAACAGTGTGACACATAGCTGTCATTATCATTTTAAAGAAATATCTGAATGCTAACCTTGTAATAACCATTTTTTTTAGCCTTTAAATATTTTAAGGTTCTTCTGTGTTTAAAGCTGCTCCAGTCATCTAGTAATATAAGTGGGACACATACGCACAGCATGTGCATAGCGGATGGGTGTGCACATGGATGCACATGCAAGTATACACATATGCATGATATATTAGCAGTCTTAGCTCTCACAATACTCTGCTGAATAAATTACTATAGTAGCCAAAGGTCTATGCCCTAACTATGATGCCTAATCACACCCATATGGATAACATCACTTCCTTCTTCTCTCCAAAAGGAACCTCTTCCCTACTCCCTATTGAGAGCAAGATTTTATCCATCCATCTTTGGATATGGCCTTCGGTATGGGTATGGCCTGTGAAAGGGCTAGCTGGCAAACACCGAGACTCTGAGGAGAGCACTAAACATTACACAGCAAAGCAGCATAAAAGTGGTCATTGCATACACCACATCCAAAGGCACTGCTTACTCAGGACACCTGTACCCACCAGGGAAGTGGCTGAGTCACCACCCCTGGAAGTATTTCGAAGACATGTAGATGTGGCGTGCAGGAACATGAGGTGGAAAATATCTCCCTATTTTGTCATAAGCACATGACAGGGATTGCAATGTGGTGTCATTGTTATCACTTGGAGGCAGCTACTCACCCAGGTAAGCCCTACTGGTTATACATCGTTTCAAAGCCTCTGGACCCAAGGCTACATGGGCTTTGTAAAACACTATCAGACTACAGAGCTGGGGCAAATGGTCAAGCTACAGAGAACTGCAAGGAGAATCACTTCCTGCTCCCCTGCATATATGTATTCCCAGATGAGCAATTGACAGAGACAGATTAATGGTTGCCTTGGAAAAGGCATCCACCCGACAGTACCAGCTGGACAGTGAGGACCACATTAGTGGCAGCTGGAGGATGGCAAGAGAAAACAAACCAGATAAGAGAAGTCACAGGCCCCAGCCAGAGCCTTGTAAATCTTCATGCTCTGTTAGCTGGACTCCAATATTTGTAACTGCGATTAACTGATACACAGTACAACTCTTGTCCAGGAGGGCAAATACTCTCTCATCTGGAGGACTATAGCAGCTCTCATATGCAAGTTATTCCATTATTTTTCTATCTGGATACGAAGGAATAGAGAAAGGGGCCAAGGAAGGAGGCCAAATATCCCATGTAAGATTCCAAAATGTTCTTCAAATGTTTTTTACTTAAAATTCAAACAAGAATGAAACCAGAGACAGATACCACAAAGAGAACTGAGAAAACGCTCTACTCTTGTCAAATAGGTATCCTCCAGCAGTCCCTACCGTCCCAGTCTTTTGCAGATGACCAGTGAAGGCCAACACACTTGAATTTGTTTCCAGACCTATTTCAAGAACTAACTGAAAATGTGCTTATGGCCATTAAAACACCTTAGGTACCACATGCCTTGAACTATGGCTTGAATGATACTTGGCAGAATTGCTGGTTTATGTAAAACAAATTAACATCTAAACAGTAGAATACAGAAAATCATGGAAATGGATTTGCTGTCTATAAAATCAGATTAACAGTAAAAAGGATTTAGCTGAAGCTCCAGACTGAAAATACATTTTGGCCAAGAAAAGTCATGCTGAGATATGGAGCTGATTCCCTTTCATGCTGTTGTTTCCACTAAATCATTAACTGGCATTAATTATGCTATTGTATCAGGATGAGTAGACTCACTTTTTTGGATAAAACATGTCCTCATTACCCTTCTAACAAAAAGTCCATGACTCTGTAAACCTTTATATGCTTCTTTGGTGTCACACAGAATAGCCTTGTGGTCATTAAGGAGGTATCTCTGTGGCAGCAATGGTGTGCAGTGTTTACAAAAGCAGGGCTTGTATTTGGCCTACTTGTGGGTATGTGAAGCACTGAACACTACTCACAGTAAGTCCATTTCTCACCGTCAGAAGCTTTCTGGAATGAGGTGAAGGTGCATACCTGACTTTGCAACTGCTCTCAGTTTGGCAGGAGAAGTCACAGCAGTAATTAGATTACACAGCAATGTTCCTCTGCTATTCATTTTCTGCAGTTCAGGGGCTTTTGATGTCCATTCATCGTTTAAATTCTGGTTAAGAAAGACAGTAATTTGTTCATTACAAAACTGATTTCAGAATTAAAAGATTTAGTACAGAGAAAGAAACAACCTTGCTACTAGGGAATCCCCTTAAGTATATCCAAACATGCGAAGGAAATGGGAATGTAAATGCAGACAGCAAGCTCCCGTGTCCCAGTCACTGTGACTGCTTACAACTTAAGTCTGTACTTTTCTGTTAGTAATAGGTGCCCTATTTCCTTCAGCTGTAACTCACTTTCCCTCTACAATGTCTTACCAATGTATCTTCCAAAGGTTTCTTTAATTCCTCTGTATTCAGAGAGGGTTGTGCTGCTGGAATTCGTTCTGTCGTCTCTTTTATCCATTTCTTTAATGATTCTACAAGGAGCTCAAAAGTATCCATTTGCTTCTGACAAGATAATACATCCTCTTCTCTAGACAATTAAAGACAATTAAAGGAATGACAATGTTCCTTCTCATAATCAACCCAACAGATATTATCAATTTGATATTGCTATTCCCAAATTCAAAGAGTCACAAAAGGTAATTCTATGGATATGAGCAGAATGTGGAAAATCTAGTCTTGCTCTACAGGAAGTTTGTAAGGAAGCTCTAATAATTTATCCAGCAGGCTGATTCCAAACAGTACTCTAAAGCACTTTGCGCAAGCAGCAATTTATTTTCTACCAGAGAAGAGGGGAAGGAGGGTTTTCTTGGAACTGACAGGACTACAGTCAGTGTCACAAAATTTAAACAGCACTTGTCTTTACAGCCCACGTTAGAGCTCTTGAACCAGAGAGACTAACTACAGAGGCATTTCCAAATAGAATCTTGTTTTGTTTTTAAATTAGAAAGCTCTCTTACTAAATGGTTAACTGCAATCTCTTGAGATTGCATGTGAGAAGACAGCCGTCATCACAACATGCACACTGTATTATTAGCCAAAGTGGAAACACTTTCATTGTTCAACTTACTTTTCCTTTACAGTCTCCTCTACCTCCCTGAACTTCTTTGACAAAGCATTTACTTTTTCTAATACCAATGCCTTATCTCCAGGAAGAGCACGTAATGAAAGTTCTTCAAGAAGCTGTTGCAAAACTTCTAGATCCTTCTTATGTTGTGCCAATTCTACACTAGCTTCCTGCAAAATAGAATTACATTCTTCATATTAGACTTTACAATCACTTGGTCAAAACTGAATTCTTGATTTTAGCTAACCAACTGAAGTTGGGATACAAGCATGCCTTATTCATTATTCAATCACTTAGATGAGTTAAACTAGAAATGCACAACATATTTAAATGGAATGTTATAGTACCTGCATATATTGAGACACTTCACTAACATCCTTTCTTGGTGCCTCTGTCTCACTGAGTGCCTGGTTTTTCTCATCGATAAATGACTGAAGTTTCTCTGACAGACCTTCAAATAACTCCACTTTAGTCTTCAACTCCTCCATTTTCAGAAGCTTCTCTTTATGCCTGTTACTTGCTTCAGAAAATCGTCCTGAAAGTTCACTCATTTTAGCTTGCAGTGTGGATGCAGTAGATGGATCTGATGTTTCTATGAACTTCTTAACTTTTTCATTCATGGTGTTTATACTGCTTTGGCGGCCCGCAATGTCTTGTTCTAGCATCTGAAACAAACAAGAACTACTTTGTATTGCTTATAACTAAATTTTAAGATTTGAAACTGGTCCACCCATAGGAAGTAACAAATCATTACAGCTAGATCATCAGTGTAGATCTATTTCAGGTACAAAAAACCTTAGGTACAGTTTTGCTTCACAAAACAGTCCTCTTTATTAAGTATTTGGAATCTGTTATAGATGCTAAACTAAGATTTTTATTATCTCTTGAATTCTGATTTATCAAATGTTTCTTTTTTCAAAGAATGCTACTTACAATGCTTTTACTAATAATATCCTGAATAGCAGCAGAATTCAAAGGCACTTGATCTTGTTCTTCAAGACTCTTTTCAACTCCTTCCATCCAATCCAGCATTTCATCCAAGCCATCCTGCACACTTAGAGATCGTGTCAGTGTTATTTGGAGCTTCTCATTCCTTTCATTCACTGATTTGGATAAATTGTCATACCTCTCCACAATGTCATCTGAAAAAGAGAAAATATATTTAAATGTTTTCCTTTAGTAAAACTAAGCTTTTAATTAATTTTACAAGTTCTTATGAGGTGTGAGTCAAATATTTCCAATATCAGGATGAAGCAAAAGCATCAGCTTTATTCAGAAAGATCAGAATCTTCAAATAGAGCCAAGAAGCCCATAGGAGAAGGGAAATGAAGGAGCAGCTTACAGCTGTACTTCCCAGCTTTTAGAATCTGGTTCCCATGCAGATCTAGCTTTTGATAGCTGTTGATTGTTCCCAAGAAATACAATAGTGTAAGACAGTTCTTCTACGATTATGTCTCTTATCTTACTGTTACAGCCGCAAGGTTCTTCCAAATGGTTCCTCATTAGACCTTCAACACTTTGGGATAAGCCTCTGAAAGTTACAAATTCCATGTATGTCCCACAGAATTTCATCACCAGCTCCAAAGAGGCAAGCCCATGCTTGTTTTATTTTGTTGCTCTGCAATTTACTTACAGGATTCCAGTAACAGACAAGTTGTGTAACACACATAGAGAGTCTTCAAGCTTCAGACAGTGGTGAATGTCATGCTATGCTATTTCTCACAACTGACAGGAAAGAGTATTGGTTGTAGGTGGCAAGGTTTTGGGCCTCTGTGAGAAGAGGCACGGGCCTGCCCTATGATAGACACAAGCAGTTCCAAACAGCTCCAGATGACCCACCACAGAGCAGAGCAGAGCTCCTCAGCCAAGCTGGTGGTGTCTCTGAAAAAAAGTATTCAAGAAAGAGGAAAGTGCTGCCTGGGACTGAGAATTAAGGGAAAAGAAAGTGTGAAAAGCAGCACTGCAGACATCAAGGTTAGACAAGAAAAAGAGGGAAAACGTGTTCCAGGAGCAGAGATTCCCCTGAAGCCTGTGGATGACCATGCTGAAGCATATAACCCACTGCAGCACATGGAGGACCCTGTGCTGGAGAAGGTGGATATTCCCTGAAGAAATTGCAGCACACAGACAGCCCAAACTGGGGCATGATTATCCTGAAAGATTTCAGCCCATAGAGAAGACCTACGGTACAGCAGGTGAAAAGTGTGAGGAGCTGTTACTGGGCTGACCACGATTACCCATTCCTCACTCACCTTGCACTGTTTGGCAGGCAATGAGTAGCTGGGAAAAAAGGAGTGATGGTGAGCCTGGAAAAAAAAGGCAGGTGGGAGGAAGGTGTTGCTTCAATGGGTCATTGTTTCTCACTATTGAAACACGTCTTATTTGGCAATAAATGAAATCTAATTTTCCACAAGTCAAGTTTTTTTGCCCATGACTTGTAATTGGTAAGTGATCTCCCTGCCTTCATCTCAACCCATGGGCTTTCCCATCGTATTTTCTACCCCCATCCTGTTGGGCAACAGGAGTGAGAGAGCAGCTGGCTGGGCATCTGACAGACAGCCAAGGTCAACCCCATCACAGACGGCTTCTTGAAGTCAGAAGGAAATAGTTCCTTGGCTAAGCAAACTCCAGATAATTACTTGGAAACATAAAATTGGAGTCAGTTCCTTGAACCTTACCATGCTCCTTCCCACAGGAAAATTTACTGTCCTCAGCAAATAACTACCTCTGTTTGGCATGCCCATCAGTAACATGAGAATTAAACATAATCCCTATTTTGGAGGTGTGGGGTGGAGGTGAGAGGGTGTAAAACTAAAATGACAGCTTTTAAGTGAAAGTCACATGGATCAATGTAGCAGACAGACCAACAATGAAGTTACTGTGTTGTAATAGCTTACGACTCAGCAAAACATGGACTTGAACGATGACACAAGAATGTTAAAATGCTGTATTTTGTCAATTCCAGTACCTGCATGCAGACACAAGTGATAAAAAGGGGTATTAAGAAAAGTAAACATTTTACCCAGTGTTTTCTGAATCTCATCTTTGTCTGGCATCAACTCTCCCCTTGTATCCAATAACACTTCAGCAGCTTTTTTCAGTTTTTCTACAGCAATTTGGTGGTTTGAAACTTGTCCCTGAAGAACCTGTAAAATTCCACAATTATCAGTTATACTTTTCAGCACAGCCAGTAGTTATGTTTGCAAGGCTTAAGATACAGCATACAATTTACACTTAGCGCTGGGAATAAACTAACTCAACTTGTGACCTCTTCTAAGAAGAATCTTTACCAGTGGCTATGATTGCTGTTGATTATCTGGCCCTTGTTTTAGTTTATTCACCATCTTTTTCATCTTCCGTTGTACAGTACTCCTCTGACTCAACTGATTTCTTGCATGTGACTTTGAAATGTGTCCTTTGATGAACTGTTTTTAAAGATCATTTGTATAGATGCATGTACTATCAGAAGAAAAATAAATGTACTTTTCAACTCAGCATTAGACTACAGTTGGTGGGGGAGGTGGAATACACAGTCATCTGCAGTAGTCGCATGTTCAATGTCAGTTGCATTGACAAAGGATCAGGCTGATATCATAGCATAAACAGCAATAGACTGAAACCAAATGATTGACTTCACAGTTTACGAATCTCCTGGGGCCAGCGTCACTGGATTATGCCTAGGTTTGTCCATCTAACCAAGGAACACAGGTTTAGAGATTAGGCCAACAGTCACTTGCTCCAGAATCAACAGAAAAAGACAGGAAGGCTGAAACAACTTCTGAAAGTGTCTTTCTCTTCCCAGTGTATAAAAATACTTTAGGGTCAATAGTCTTTAAATTATTTCAGGCATCTGTGCTAGTGTATATGATGTATCTTTGTTTTGATTTCTTACTTTATACAAGTCCAAAATGAAGGGACTTCTCATTTATCTTTTGATACATACTAACTCAATGAACATATGACTCAGAAGGTAAATTTATTTGCCCTGCCAGGACAAAGAAGTCATGTCAGTGCATTCAGCACTGGTATCCAGAGCATAACAGTATGCCAGAACATAGCACAGTGGGTCTTTATTGACCCACTTGACACAATAAAACTCAGATAGGCCTGAGAAGAATTTTTCCTTACACTAGACAAATACAGTATACTTGCAGAGGGAGAAAACAAAACAGAAAGTACCAGAAAACCTTGTATGCTGTCAGAAAGCAAGCAAGTTGATGCTAGGAGCACTGAAGAACAGTTAATCCCTATAAACAGATTAGACCCCACCATGGTGCCAACGTCTGTGTCTAGCTGGATTATCAGCTGCATGTGTTGCCTATGAGGGACGGCTCTTAGTTGCAACACCTGACTTCGTCAAAAATACTCTTTGTTTTGCTTTCATTAATTGGCTTGCTTTCTTCAGCCTCCTGTTTTTTCTGATGCTTTGGATCTTTTGACACATTGTACCCTCTCCCTTCTTCCAAGCTCATATTCACTGAATATCCTTTTGTGTGGCAAGTAATCCATGTAGGCGTCTCATAAAGATCCCCAGTACTCACTCCTTTTGTATTACTTGCATGAAAATTGGCATTATATAGGATATAATTCTCTTTGGCATAAGGAACAAAAAGTTTAAACAAAGCTTCAAATTGTAATACGTGTTACTTCTACTTTTCTAGCCCTTGGAAACAAAAATGTACCTAGATTGTCCCACTGTCAGGAGTTCAAAATTTAGACTTTCAATTTTGACATCTTAAAACATCACTGGGATTTGTCTCCTTTGATGTGTCATGCACCAAAGTGTTTGGCAATACCAATGACAGGTTTGAAAGATACTATGTGGTAAAGGTAACTATTTCTCAGGCAAATGCATGGGAAATTGCCTAAAGCATGTACCTTCCAAGAGCCACCAACTACCATTTGTCAATAGTAAACATATCAGACCTTCACTGATACTCCACATATCATAGACAAAACCAGTGAGGAAATGCTCAACTAATAGCCCTGCTCACTGAAAAATAATCTTGCATTTTTTTATAGATGAATGAACGTGTTCATGACTATGATCAAGATTCAGTTCAAAGCTGACAGACTGTATGAAACTTTATGTAGCTTACCTTATAGCTGGGTTCCTAAAGCCTTCTGTAAACCTACATTTTATGCAGTTAATTGGAGTTTTACCTTCAGTCTCCATCATCAACCTGTCTTGCCTCCAGTGGGTAATGCAGAAAAAAACCCCAAAATACTGTTTTTTTTGTGCAGTGCAAATTATATTACAGTCACTCTCTGCAGGGCATACAGCCCTGGATACAACTGGGGCAGGCAAACAGGCTGGTCACAGCACACTGCGTATTCAGTAAGACCCCTTGCATAATGCAGTAACACACAAATGTGAACATAAAAAAGCAGGTCACAGACAACAAACATCAAATAGTGTTTCCTATCAGGAAGTCTGTCCCAAGCCCTACTCTATTGCAAACTATAATCATTAAATCCTTTCTTAGTTCAAAAACTTCCCAGGTTTCACCCTATCTTTTGCTAAGTGATATGAAAAACATCTTGCTTTCATCACTCCTAATGGCAGCTTGGTCCCCCAATTTTTTTCACCCTGGTGCTTTTCAGGTAACACTCTGAACAACTGAATTTCAGAACTATGACAGCTGCATGCCCATGTGTAAGGCAAGAATTTGGCCTGCAGCCACTTGGATTACATTAGATTAGCCTACTTTTCAGACAAAAAGCAGCTCCTTATAGGAAAGTACTTCTGCTTTTTAAAGCTTTTCACCTTGGTTTCTTCTAGTTGTCTCTGAAGATTTCTGGGATCCACTGCAATTGGCTCTGATAGTTGTTTGTTCACAGTTATTTCAGAGGCTTGGAGAGCTGACAAAAGTCCAGATGATGCATCTTCATAATGCTGGTATTTATCCACCAGGTCTTTAAGGTTATTTCCAAGGATGCTACACTAAAAGAGTAGAAAACAAACAAGCAAATACCCAGGTGTTAAAATGTGTGCTGCATTTCATAGCAATCTCAAGGTCATACTTTCCTTCCTGAAATACTACATGATTTTTTTCCTATCATCATTCCACTGTCTAACTGATTTCTGAACTAAAGTATGACAGCTGGACAGGCTACACAGGTCATCCCAGTTTGTGCTCCTCAAGTGTGAGTTAGGTTGAATTCACTGATGCAGGTGGGAAACTGGAATCTAACCCATTATACTGGAATAAGAAAAGCATTAGCAATACTTTCTGATCCATCAATGTAAAGATTATCAGCACTCTGACACGAAAAATGTAGCCATTGGAAACTAGAATTTTTCTTCAAAAACGGAAGATACATGTATGTTCACTGAACTACAGGCAGCAGAATATTGCTCTCATAAATACTCTACCTGCATAGCAAATCCAGAGTGATATGGCTCAGTATTTCAGATACACTTTGTTTTGGTCACTTAAGAATGTCATCTGACCAAGATCGTACTAGTCCTATATGTTACCATGCCCCAAAACATATACAGTGAATAATCATGTAAAAAGGTCAGCGGAACTCTTTCAGACTTTTTTGGAGATATTTGACAAGCAAATCTGATTGTATCAAATCATAATATCTATAAACAGTTACTTTCAAAATTCATAGTCTGAACTTTCCATACACTACTTATATATGACACTTGGTCTCCATCTGCTGGGCAAACACAGAATGCACTCATTTTCATAACCAGTTAACTGACTTAAAGATTCCTTCAACATATAAGTTTATAAAGTCATATGCCTGTGTGTGTATACAGATCTATAAAAATTAAATCAATAAAAATATTTACTGAAAGCAAGAAGCTTTTACAAAATGCAAAACACTACAAACCCATTTTCAATTTGGAAGATCTCACAAATTGCAGACCTCACTTTTTAGAAGTCAGTCTTTCAAGACTCAATTTAATAAGAAAAGTCTACTTGCTGTCCTTATTTATGGTGAAATGTTTAAAGTATGTCTATTATGTCTGTGCTAGATGTATGTACAGAAGGGATAGAATATGGCGAGAGTTGACAAATCTGAGACCACAAATCAAGCTGTTGGCATAGGATTGTTATGCACATAAAAATAAGCTCTCTGAAAAGTTTGTGATGAAATCTTTAGATTCACACTCAAACTAATCCAATAAATCAACTGGAGGAAATCTAACATGTTAATACAAGCTTTTAGCTTCCCTGGTTGTCTAAGTGAAAAGTGAAAATGTGTTTCTGTAAATGGAGATCCTGCTTCACAGACTGTTTGAGAGAACAGGGTTTATACAGTTTTTGTAATCAAGTGATCAAATCCATGTCTTTATAGAATTTACATTTCTCAGCAAGAATAACATTAAAGTGATGAAAATTCGCATACAAAGATGGCAACTGCTGCGGACCAGCACTGTATCAGTGAACACTGAAGTCCTACTAAGGAGTCTGAACCTATGATCTTAGAAAATTATGAAATGGCATAGTCAAAGGATATTGACAGCAATGACCTCTTAAATGGTTTAATTCATCATTATCAGAAGTTTAAAATTGCAGAATATTATCAGTATCAACACTTTGTTTCCCTTAAAACAGCTGGAAATTTGGCATGTGAGACCAGCTGGTGATGTTTGTCTAGTTCTATCAGATAGATTCCACATGTGCACCTGGCACAAACAGCTGGATTATCTTCCTTCGCTAAGGTACATAAAGGATTTTGCACTGCTAGTTTCCAATTAGTTAGAGACTAAGCTCAGACTGTTAAGGATAAAATGCTTATCTGGCAGAACAGTGGAAAAGAATTGCTATCCTCAAATCACTATGCTCTTGCAAGCCAAGTGCTGACAACAAAGGTCACATTGGGACAAAGTATTTCAGGATAAAAATCAAATTGAAATTCTGAATGTTAATCTTGGCATAGTCTATCTCTCTACTGATTTTATTAGTAAGAAGCCAAGTAAATAGTTGTGGGAAAATTCACAAGGAACTTAAAGAAATATTATCCATCTAAAAGTATCGCAATTTATTTCCACAGCAAAATGCTACTCAGGTCTCCTGCTCTGTCATAAACTCCAAGAGATTGTTTAAGGCTGAAAAGAACAATGGAGAAATCTAATCTCATTTCTCCCTTGCAATAGATTTTAGAAAATTTCATCCATTCAGACCTTAAGCAGTTCAGCACTTGACTAAAGCAACCTTCTAGAAAAGTATCTTGTGCTGTCACCTAACTTTACAAATCAAAGAATTTACAAATTCTCACAGTATTTGTTCCATCAGCTAACCCCTTTCAACACAAAATTCCAAATTATAGTAGTCTTTCCAACTCAGTATAAATAAATCTTACCTTGGTATAGAGAGATTTGAAACGATCTGAAGCACTATCCAATTTATTTTGCACTTCAGTATACGTAGCCGAAGTATCAATGCCATCTTTGTCAACCTTCACACCATCTCTTTTGCTACATGACCTTGCAGCATCTAAAACTCTTTGTCCAGAAATTGTAATATACCGTAAATCACCTTTGTGAGATATAACATCTTCTGAAAAACTCTTTTGCCTTTTCAATTTGACCATAATACCACTGAAGTCAGAAGCACCTGCCTCCAAATTGTCAAGTTCTTGTTCTGCCTGCTGCAGCCATGTTTCAAATTCACTATAGTCTGCATCAAATTTCTCAAGTTCTTCTCTTAGAGAACGAGTCAATTTCATTTTCCGTTCTGATTCAGCCAAAGCAGTCTCATACTGAGCCTTCAGCTCTTTCATGTTCCTTTGCATCTTGTCTTTTTCTTCAGGGGAAAGGTAATGCCCTTGTTTCTCAAGCAGTGCCTGAGCAGACTGAGTTGCTATAATGATAGCCTGCTGCTGGGAAATAATTTTCTCATGTTGAGCCTACAAGAAAAGAAAGAATAAATAATGACCATCACCTTCTCGGATAGTTCTTTGGAAACAATGAGTAAAATAAAGTCCACCAAACTGACAAAAATCTTTCTTTATTTTCCTATTATTTATTAAAAAAAAAACATTTTGAAATTTAAATGAGTGACTCCTGATCATCATATTGCTGTGCAGTTTCAAAATTTTATGAAACATCCAATGGCAATTTTAGTCAGGTACACAGCCTATGACTCAGTGGGAATCTTTAAATATCACTGGAACTCAAAAATACTAGGACATATATACACCACGCAAACACTTTCCCCCATATTCTGTCTCGTACAGTAAAAGTAGGTGTTATCAATCTTTTCCATTTTTTTCTTAGTAAAAATTATTTGTGTATTACTGAACAGTTAGTGTGCTTAGTGTGACCAGACTTTCCCTAATTCCCTGTCTCAAAATAGGATTTATCAAAGAACGCAGTTAAAGCTAGGCAACTTCCCAAATCAAAACTGTTCTGTTTCGTGTTACATACATTGCAGCTACCATTTCAGGCAAACAGACCAAAAGGAATGAAAGCACTAAGCAGTAAAGAGAATACAGATACTTTCTTCTTATATTGAGTGAACAAAAATTATTATTTAATTATTTTAGCTTGATTTTTCAGTTTCAAGAGCAGTGATTCTTATCAAATATATTCAGTCCTTCTGACATCAGAAACACATTCTGTGCATGTAAATGGTTTCAATCGCATAAAAAAATAAAGTCCTAGGAACTAGAACTGTCTTCCACATAAAAACCCCATTTCAAATACATTAAAACAAACAAACGAACAAAACAAAAAACCCTAAAAAGCAAAACAAAACAATTAAAACTCCATTCTTGAAGGTCTTCCACTTCCACATAAAATTGCTATGTAAAATAGACCAGTATGCTTTTCATCTGTGATTACAGTGAGCAAGTATCCTGTAGGCATCAGGTGCAGAAAAGAACTATTGAAAAAGTGGAAGTAAAAGCCTAATGTACACAAAAACAAATGCTCTTACTTTCTTAGGTTTCCATTCCCCCCCTTTCTTTTCATAAGAAAGAAAATCCAAGAATCAGCTATCAGCATAACTGTTTTCATCAACATGGCCATCAAACCACACCTAAAAGTTCTCGGCTGCTCAACTGTAAGTCAACAAAACCCATAAAACTGAGCTTTTATTATTTTAAATACTTCCAATTTTATCTTACCTGGAAAACCCATTTTTAAAATGCTGCACTGTGGTTTTATATAATTCATCCTTCTGGGGCCTACAAATAGTACTTTGCTCATATGTTAAAGTTACAGGGAATGTAATTTCAGCAAACCTTTATTTGCAGCTACTGGCAACCAGTGTTCCCAGGGTTTGAATCTTTGGCTATTACAAAGATTTTTTAAGAAGTCACATAAAGGTTATGAATTTATGTTGCTGCTTTTCTTATTTAATTTACCTGCATTAGTATTTCACTATAAAAATTAAAAATGGACTCACCATTAGGATTCTAAACATTTACCTTCAGAATGTGTCCTTTTTCTTATTTTGTAGGAAACAACCATAGTAACAAAAAAAAAAAGTGACAAATTCTAATACAATCTAACTAGTGAAAGTGCTACCACTGTATGCCACAAACTTTCTAGTGTCTGTCCCAAAGTCTATGACAGAAAGGAGGAGACTGAATTCACTCATGCTGAATGAGGACAGAAACGCTTAGCACTTAGGTATTGCATAGATCCAGTAACAGTACCTTGACTTTCTGATACTGCTGGTTCAGATTATCTTCTGTGCTTTTTACTAGTCCATCCACCTGAGTTTCAATGTCTTGCTGAATTTCCAGCAGATTACCATTGACATCATCCTCCTCTCCTTCCAAAGCCTTCACATCTCCCTCTTCATAGTGTGTTCCATTCTGTTCTATCGCCTGCTTGAACTTCTGGCCATACTCTGCTTCTTTATCCACATTTGATAACCAATCCAACAGATTTTCTATTGTATTTTTACTTTCTTCCAGCTGTTCTATGGCTGCAACCTACATTGAAATTTCACACTTTCAGTTTAGAAATCTTCTTTAGGCACTATAAACTATCACGTGCAAATACACCATTTAAAATGCATTAATATTAAATAAAAATGTCGATTGTCATATATGTTGCTGTTTATTTTATAAAGAAAATAAACCAGCAAACAGTTTATAAAGTCATAATTCATTTGGGTGACTAAATCTCTCCAGAGTATATCAATATGTATGGATTTGCAAAGCAAGGTTTCGGTAGCAGGAGGGCTATAGGGTTGGCTTCTGTGAGAAGTTTCCCCCAGGTCCAACAGAGCCAATGACAGCCAGTTCCAAGAGGGACCCACCACTATCTACGGCTGAGCCCATCAGTGACAGTGGTAGCACCTCTGTGTTTAAGAAGAGGGGACAAAAAAAAAAAGAGCAACTGCAGCTGAAGAGAGAAGTGAGAACATGAGAGTAACAGCTCTGCAGACATCAAGGTCAGGGCTCAAGGAGGGCAGAAGGTGCTCCATGCAGCGGAGCAGATATTCCCCTGCAGCCCATGGTGCAGCCTATGGTGAGGCAGCTGTGCCCCTGCAGCCCATGAAAGCCCATGGTGGAGCAGATCTCCACCTGCAGCCCATGGAGGACCCCACACCAGAGCAGGAAGATGCTCAAAGGGGGCTAACCCCACGGGAAGCCTGTGATGGAACACGCTCCTGGCAGGACCTGTGGCCCCATGGAGAGAGGAGCCCACAAGGGAGCAGGTTTGCAGGCAGCACTTGTGACCCCATGGGGGACTGACACTGGAGCAGCTGAAGAGCATGAGGGGTCCTCTTCTGCAGAGGAAAGAGCCATAGAGACTGTGTGTGATGAACTGACCACAACCCCCATTTCTATTTTGCTTGTGCTATTGGGAGGGAGTAGGTAGAGAATTTGGAAGTAAAGTTAAGCCCAGGAGGGATGGGGTGAAGGTGGTTTTTATTTCTCATTATCCTCCTCTGATTTGATTGATAATTAATTAATTTCCCCAAGTCAAGTCTATTTTGCCCATAACAGTAGTTGCTGAGTGATCTCTCCTTGTCCTTATCTCAACCCATAAGCCTTTTGTTATATTCTCTCTCCAGCTGAGCAAGGGGAGTGATAGAGCAGCTTTGGTGGGCACCTGGTGACCAGCCAGGGTGAACCCACCACACAATAGTAAGTTGCAAGTCAGATTCTGTAAGAAACATAGAAAGCTTGAATAAAGGTATAAAATGGTTGCCTAAAAACCTTTTCTGTTTCCTGCTTAATTGCTGTTGTCATTGCTTTATCCAGTTCTTTTTTGGACTCTTCTGCTTTCTGGCTAAGAAGCAAACACTTTGTCTTAGCTTCATTCAGTTTCTGTTCCAGATTAGTCTTGTCTTCTTGTGACAGCCTTTCTCCATTCTCTTTCAAGAAGGATTCAGTATTTTTCACAATCTCTGCCAATGTCTGAGCACTCATTTTCATGTCTTTTTGTATCTCCTTTTGAGAAAAAAAAAAAAAGATTAATTATTGACTAGACCTTTCCAATTACCTTTATTTGAATTATCTCTGTTCTAGGGATAAGCACCACAATGGTCTTTTCTGACCTGGGAGAGCATATGATACATTACACATGATACAAAATTGCAGATAAGATTATTACAAAAATAAAATCAATTCAACATCTGACAATGTTGCTGCAGCTCGATCTGTCTTTTTCTTAAATTTCAAGCCTGCTGGCTTACACTCCTATTCAGAATGAGGCCACATTTTTCCTTTGTTTAGCAGCTCAAATATTGTATATCCATGTATACAGGAGAAAATATATACTACTTTTTAGGTATCAAGAGATAAAGTAAATCTGCTACACTGTAGTTAGTGAGTCTGCTGACAAATTCCATCCCATTACCATCTCAACAGAAAGCTAAAGACAATAAGGGGACTGAAAAGAAGTCAGAAACTTGTGGTTGTCTTTCCCAGATGGAAGTTCTCAGGATTTATTCAGGCCAGAAATGCTGTGAGAATATTTTTCTTTACTTGTAAAATCATAATATTTCAATTTCTAAAGAATGCTTAATTCAATTAAATTCCACAGAGGACAGATGTTTAGTTTTAGCTTATCCAAAGCAGTTTGCCCAGTCCTATAGGAGTCAGATGAAAAAACCCTGCCTCTCAGTTATCTGAGGAGAGCTTTCATTTTAACAGTAACTATGCTACTGAATACATTCACTCAGTTACTGAAACAATGAAGGGTTTTTTCTTTATAAGCTGTGTAACACTCTTGAAGCTGCAAGACAAAACATTTGATTCCCATCCTACACTACATATTTTGTAGCAATTATAGAATATAGCTTGGCAACTAAATCTGCAGCTTATTTTAGCACTTCAGCACATATGTTAGATTTTTCCTGAGGACACTGTATCAAGACATGATTCTTCTTCTCTGACAAAGCTCTCTGTGCTCCCTTTCAAACAGCTCACTGAAGATGCAAACTCTGTAAAAGCTATAAAATACCTTTTTTAAGCCCTCATTTCACTCCTGAGACACTCGTCTACAATGGTGCCTCCACAAAATCAGTCAGCAAATAACAACTGGTCTGCTAGGCTGTCACAAACAGCTGATGGAAAAAAAAAATTAACCAAATGCTATACCAGGTCTTCACTCCCATGGGTACCCCATGTAGGCCATATATTCTTAAGACAGGTAATTGATATTAAAAGCTACCTCAAGGGTGTCTGTATCTTTCTACTGACTATAAGAACTTCAACAAATTAGATTTGTTACTTTGGAGATAAGTAAAACGAGGCAAATTGAATAAGGAAATTTCTGCCTTTATAGATTACTAAACCTGACCTGGAGCTTTAGGATACAGTAAACTACTATTAGGAGAAGGAAGAAGAGTAGCAGGTCCTTCAGTCCTTTGGCTATCATAAATTCAATTAGTATCGATCAAGACAGAATAAAAGCTGAAAGACAAGGTCTTAACAGGAAAACAAGCGAACTGAGAGGGCTCTCTTACACCAAGGAGACTGCAAGCAACACTAGAAAAAAAAAACTCAAACCAAAACAAGAATGTGGCAATGGAAAGCCTCAAGCAAGAGAAAGCCTCCAGCAAATTTCTTCAAGATACTGCGAACAGGAATAAGCACCGCCTGATAACCAGTTAAAAAGCTGGTTACATTATTTTAGCATAATAAATGACTGTGATTTTATCACATCTGACAGGAACAATCTTGGGTAATACATAACAAATTTCATGCCTGCACCAAGAGTACTTCTTGAAATGCCTAGTACATATTCCCTATTCTAGGGTCTCCTAGGTTGAAAATTCCTTTTCTCCCACTGGCACATACTAGAGTGTATTCATGGGGAGCAGGCCAAATGCATGCCATTAAGCCTTTACTTTTAGTAGGTCAAACAAATCTATTTTACTCTCCCATGGCAAGTCTTGTTATTCAACAAAAGAGTCTAGTCACTCTCCTTTGCACTCGGGCTTCCTTAACTTATCTAAGTAGAATTGCACATACCTCCTGTTTGGTCTGGTATTGTTCCAGCTCAGCCTTGCTGTCTCCAATAACAAGGGACATTCGCTGTCCGATGAGCCGATTTTCAGTCTGTGTAAGCAAATCACAGATTTCCTGCAGTTTCTCTTTGCATTCCTGCTGCCGTTCAGCCACATCCTATATTAGAGCCAAGTACAATTGAACAATAAAACAAAAACATCCTCACTTCAGGAACCAAAAGGCACTCTAATTGGAATTACCTTTGAACATCAATACTACAAAGCAATCATTTAAAAAGTATGCTGTAAACATGATAGCAGTGGTACAAAGAGCAAGATGAACATACAGAAGTTATGGATAATAAACCTCAAGTATGTTGTAAGTAAAAGAGACCATGTTTGATGGAATTGCCCAGTAGAAGTCTGGCCATGCACATATGTGAAAGATGAAATCTCCAAACGACAGGAGTGAAAATCCAGTCTCTTAACCACTTGAAGCCTGTGACAAACACTATTAATTCTGAAAAAAGGATATCAAAACAGAGGTTAGTTGTGATTGTGAGTTAGTGTTTGTTGGTATGGATAATATGTTACCTGAATAGAAACATTGACTTTTTAAGCAGCAGAAAAGAACAAAACATGCAAACTCATTATTGTTACTATGTCCTAGAAGTTATCTGTGCCTTTTCTTTACTCAGCTTCACATTTCTTTCACAAAGTATGGTGGAAACAAATGTTCTTAGAATGGCAAAATAATACAAAGTCTTCAGAATGCTAAAACACCTTTCACCATGCATAAACTGGAGTCTGAGGTGGTTATTCTGAGCCTTAAAAAGGCTTTTATGAGAGAAGAGGAGATGCAGTTACACTGAACAACAAACAACACCTATGAGAATCCTCAAGTAAATTTCTCTCCCTGCTAGGAAGAGCAGACCTGGTCACCTCAGCCTCTACAGATGCTTGTGTCCAAAACTGTGTCTGCCCATAATCTAACATGCTGTTTCTGTGACCGTACCAAGGAAAGACTAAAATGAAAATTCACCAAGTTGATCAATACCATCTCTATAGAATCATCTTAAAACTTAAGATAGGAACACACTTAATACTACATGCTGGTATTAAAATTCCTCATCCATAGACAGAAACACCCAGCACACATTCACACACAAAGGCAAACCTTCTGATCACCCAGCTCTTGTGCTGCCTGTAACCGAGTCTCTAAACTTTCCACTTGAGATGTTATTGCCTCCTGTACTTCCTGAAAAGATTTCTGGGTGGTATTTAAGAGCCTCAGCAGTTGTTTGCTCTGATTAGGAGAAAGATCTTGAGCATGTTCGGAAATGAAGAACTGAACATCAAATGCAGTGGAGTCCAGTTGAGTTTTTTTACAGCCAAGCTCTGCAGCACTGCCCTGTGAATGAACAGAAGGAAATGACTAGCAATGAAGACAAATTCAGCACAAATAAGACACAAGTATCAGTACCCTCTTTTCTTAGCCCCTGACCCAAGATACTTTTGAAAGACAGTTTGGCCACTGTAAATCAAAACTCCATGTCAAAATCATTCTGACACATTCAGAGACAGCATATGAATTTATGCATGGTTTGCCTCTGGGATAGTCCATGTCCAAGTAACAAATAAGATGACCTTGAACATCTCTATTTGCTTTTACATGGATGCCTGAAAACTGGCTGACCTTCAACTCTGGAAGATTTACGGTATGCTAGGTTTAACAATTCTAGGTTCTAGGTCTGAAGATCCAATAAAGTTAAAATATTTACTTGAAAGCATTCTTATTCTTGACTCCACAACGAGACGCCCCATTTCCAACAGTATGGCAAATTCTGCCCATGGTTACGCACAAGACATTACCATGCATACTGGAATCCTATTAAAGCACCATAATGTATTTTTTATCATTCATACATACAGAGGTGTATGAACGTTATTAAAAGTTTATATCATTTGGTTTTTGAGGTATCTTCCCTCATCTTCCATTCTCACATACAGTTGATTTGAAAGCTAACTGAAATTCAGGAAAGTTTCTGGACCTTACACATAAAGATCCAATTTTAACCACTGAAGTACCTGTATTATAAATTAGATTTCCAAGAAAGGGTCAGATTTATTGCCACAAATGTAAGCAGAACCAGTAGCTTTCTCAGTAAGCCAAACTATATCAGAAGTTTCTTCAAGACATAAAGCAAATCAGCAAGATTTTATTACAGGATTATAAAGTAGTTGTCATCTTAATGAATTAGTTCTAGCCATCTGTTCAGTAAGAGAGATTAATAAGTAGGCATAAAAAAACTAGGTAATAGTTCATAGCAAGTAGCAACATTTGTCATTCATAATAAGTGCCAACACCAGTCATAAAGAAAACCTACTTTAAATAGCTGTAAAATTTTCTTCATCTCTTCCATATCATTAGTATTCACTGTGAAGTCATTCATGGTTTTCTTGTTTTCTGTGATCCAGTCTGAAAATCTCTGCAGTTTGTTTAGAAGTTCCTGGTGTGATACTGCAAGCTTAGACTAGAATGGGAAGTTGTATGTTTATTTATGTTTCTGGAGTCTAGTCATATTTTCTATCATACGAAATAGAATCATAGATGTATTTTTATATTAAGATAAAACAAAATAAAGAAAAAACAAACTCATTCTTAACCAAATTATCTTTAAGAAGGTAAAGATACCTTCTTCAAAAAGGTTAAAATGTACACTGACAGAAACATACCATTTCCAAGTCAATAGCAGAGACTATTTGTTTTGCTCGTTTTGAAGATGTATCACAGACGACCAAAAATGCTTCCTGCAGATAGTTGTAACTTATATTCAGCTCTTTAAGTTTCTCTTCAGGAATATCCCTGTTACAAAGCTTTAAAAACTCCTCTGTCAACTTCATATCCTTTCTTAAGGTAATTGCAAAAGTAGCCAGTCCTGACTCAAATGACTACAAAGAGAATATATATAAAATGTATTAAGTTACTAAGGAAGAAATACATTTAAATCTGAATAACTTTAATGATATTTGAAATCTCTTTTTTTTTAATCCAAGGGCTTTTCCTAGCACCCATCACTGAAGTACAAGCACAAAGAACATTTTACTTACCTCTAGTTGTTGCAGTTCATCTTTCAATATTTCCAGGTTGTTACTGATAGGCTGCTGGATATCCAGGTGACTTTTCTTATCTTGAAGCACTGCCAAATGTCCTCTCATTTTCTCTATTAAGTTTAAACACTGCTGTATTTCATTGACCTGAAAATGAGTTTTAAAGAAAAGGTTCTCCAAATGGACAGATTTTAAAATAAGCCATAAAAGTCCTTGTTATAATCATAATTTATTTCAAATTTATAATTTATTTTTTAAACTATTTTTCCAAATTAGTTATTCTCTCCAGCACTTGGAAGGATTTATGCAGTTATTTTCACAAAGGACACATACCATGTTATCAGTTGCAGTTACTTACTGTGCAAGTGGAAGTGTCTTCCTGGACCGCTCCTTGTGCTTTGAAAACAGGCTCAGTAAAGCCTTTGGACAGGCTGCCCATATTCCCATGCTCCTGGTCATTTTTCCAAGCAACAGATGGGTCATCTGCCAAAGCTTTCTCCTTAGCAAATTCTGATCCAAACCCCGACTGTTCTGTTGAGAAAAGAGTACAAAGCCCAGCTACTTTGCCTTTACTCTCACGTTCTGTGGTGATACCAGCAACCTGTGAGCTTGTAAGCAAACCACTTATCACCTCCTCTAACTTGCTTGTACTTTCATCTCCTGTTGAAATTTGAAAAATCTCCAGAAGTTCAGAAGCAGTAAGTTTTGAAACAGGTGCTTTCATGTCTGTTTCACTCTTCCTTTCATTTGGATCGACCATCTTTTGCTTGCAGGATTCCTGCTTGAGTATATCATGAAGAAGGTCAGGACTTCTGCAGTCAGGCCAAGGCAATGAAATAGCATCACTGTCCTTTGGCTCTGTACATGGTGTGCTAACCATAAATGCAGTTCTGATAGTATCACTTATTTGCTTGAGATTTGACTCACTAGATGTGTCATTCCCAAGGTGGGTGCTTCTAACCATTGCAAGTAAATTCTGCATTAAAATTTTGGTATCAGAGTAACTTAGGGGTTCACCCTCCTGCTTGCAGTAAACATGTCCCATTTTCAATTTCTTCTGTAACATATTCTTTAAATCTTCCATTAGTTCATCACACATTTCTGGTGATTGTGAAATACCACCCTTTACTGGAAAATCTTTGCAGGGTCCTGTTTCCTTTTGCAATGACTCCACGGACATTTGTTTTTTGAAACCATTTTCAAGGGACGAAGTCTCACTGATCATGCAACTTTCTCCCTTTGTGTTTTGCAATGTCTCATGTTCATTCTGAACACCGTAATTCAATTCAGCCCCTGTGCTGCTCAGAATTGCAGAATAAACATCACCAGGATAGGTATAACTCCCAGAAGGCAGCACTTCACTCCCATCCCTTGATTCTTTGGCATCCTCAATACTTCTTAGAGCACCTGCTTTTATTGTGGAAAATTCACTACCATTGTTTTCTGAAAAGTCCGTAAGAACATCGTCAGTATTTTGACAGATAACTCTCCCTGTTTCTTTGGTTATGCTCATTTCCTTTGGTTTCACTGTATCAGTTGGGGGAAAAGAGCAAGTGGTAAATTCACTTGAATACTTTTCCTCCACATTTAGCAGAAAATCCTTTTCATTCTCTATACCCTTTCTCCTTTCTTCCCTGTCCTCAAAGAAACACGATTCAGTTTTATCCAATTCTGAATAGCCACCTTCTCTTATGTCTGTTGCGTGTTGTATTAAAGAAGCAGAAATGTTAAAATCTCTCTTAAATTCATCTGATTTCAGGCCATCTCCAACATCAAGCAAAACTTGATCAGCATTTACTTTTCCTTTACTTGAAACAGGAGTTTCTCTATCAGCTCTAATTACTGATGCATCAAATATTTCCCCAAGGCTTTCCATCTGAATGGGACTTTTACTTGGCCCCATGATACCACATTCCTCTGTAATATTTACTCTATTTTCTGTAAGAATTTCAAAACCTCTTCCCCTCTGACCATGCTTCGAACCAGTGACTGGATGTACTTGGTCACTAACTGAACTATCACCATCACTTACATAAGGCACTTCCGTAAGAAATTTAATGTCCACTCGGGATGAAATTTCCTTTAGTTGTTCCATCCCAGTCATATCATTTAATATGTTTTCCTCTGCAAATACTGCTTTGCTCTGTCTTTGCCCTTTATCTGAATGCAACATTGGCATGGTATTACTGTTTTTATTCATGCCATCAATAAAGGACTCTGAGAGAAGCAAATCTGTCTGAGTACTTTCATCACCATCAGTAGCATGCTTTGCAATTATGAAGGCTGTTACACTAACATCAGGTGCCACAGTATCATCAGATTGAGAACTTGGAGCCTTAAGATGTGTTTTATCATTTGCTTCACTCTTACTGGATGGCAACTTAGTGTCAAAGGTATTTTCAGACTGCATGGGCTCAGTAGTATCTCGTGAGATGTGTTTATTTTTAACATAAGTCCCATATTCATCTTCTGTTTCTTGCTGTCTGTCTTCTTCACTTGTACATGTAAGACCAACACATCTTTCCTCAGAAACACCTGATGCAGGTTCACATTTTCCTGAGGATAGTCTTCCACTTTCATGGTTAGACTGGAACTCAAAAGTATATCCTGCCTTGTGGCCTGAAGAATAGCAAGTGTCATCAACATTCCGATTATTTTCATCAGTATTTTCTAAGTCACCTAAGGAAATTAACAGCTGGTCACCTTTGCTTACATATTGATGATGTGAATGAAAAATATCTACTTTTTCATCACTGTCAGAATCAGTGTCAGAGTCATCATAACCGTCATCATCTTCCTCATAGCCTTCCTCGTCCTGTGAACTTTCAGATTCATCCTCATAAGAGTCACTTTCCGCTTTCAGTTCATCTTCCTCATTTCTGTCTTGTATTTCTGATTCATACATCTTCCGTAAAGAACTAAGGCCTCCTTCATTGCTTCCTTCACTTTGCAGAGTACCTGGTAATTCTTGCTCCTTCCCTCCAAAGCTCCCTGTTAGCTCCCTTTCCTCCTCAGGGATTCTTTCCATAGTGTCAGCACTTGCAGAAGCTATATTTACATTCTCAGGTAGCCCCATCAGATTTACATGGACACTCTCTCCAGCATCTGCTGCAAGTTCTTGAAAAGAGCTAGTCTCTTCTCTAAGGGTTATTAGACCACCCCTCTCCTCTAGAATACCTAATGGAACTGATGCTCCAGACAATTCTGGCTCCTGTGTTTTATCATTCCCCAACCTCAATGTATCAAAACCATCATCACCTTGGGGACTTTCATAGGAATCATCATCATCAATTTGTGGAGTATCATAGACATCACTGTCATCATCATCAACCGGAGGTGTTTCATATGCATCATTGTCCTCATCATCAAGCTGAGAGCTGTCATCTGCAGCAGCTACCTCACCACATTCATGCTCAAAGCAGTTACTCTCAAAATGTGTGAGGCCATCACTCTCTTCTATGGATGAATCAGAACTACTGTCACACAGCAGTAGCTTTTCAAATTTAAGATTGCTTTCTTCTACTGTTAGCCTCAGTGCTGTGCTGTTACTGTCCCCCAGAGGTGGTCCGTCATGTATAACAGTGTCACGAGCCAGTGAAGTCCTGCCGTGCATGTCTCCACTGTCTTCTAGAAACAGCTTACTCTGCAAATCACTACAATTCTCCAAGGACAGCCTGTCATGTGCACAAAGACAGTCCGCTAGGGATAGTCTGTTATGTACATCAGCATAGTCTTGTAGAGGTTGCTTACTGTATCCATTATCTCCAAACTGTAGTATGTCACCACACTGCCTAGCCAATTCCTCTGGAAGTCTATATTCAGTATCTGCACTGATGGATGGACCAAAACTTCTCTGAAAATCATCTTTATTGCTGTTATCCAGTACCATTCTGCTATCATCAGCTTGCAGTATGCAAGGCTCGTATTTGGTGCATCTTCGCAGTTCTACCCAGGTTTCATTATCTGACAAATCGTTCACATGCAAGGAATCTTGTGAGGTTTTATCATTCTTGTTTTCATTATGCAAACTGTCTGCTATAGAAATATCTCCTTTCTCTGTTTCTGAAATGAGATTTGGATTTGAGTCATTTGAAAGATACTCTTCAATGTTTCCTGAATTTGCATTCTGACTATCATGCTTGCACAGTTCTGTCCACTCAGAAACCTCCGGAAGACCTCTGAGCGCATTTCTGTTAATGGAATTTTGGGTGCTACTTACTACATTTCTAAGTCCTGCAGAGTTAGTTAACAGTGTCTCCTGCGTATATTCTGATTGGTCAGTACCAATAGCATCATAAACATCGGGTCCACACATAGGAAGATCTCCTTGTGAAGATACACAATCCCTACAACCTTCAAACTGAATTAATTTCCCATTACTAGAAGTATTCTCAGAACCCAAAAGATCACCCTGAACACTGCCTGTGACATTATTAAAGTGGGCACTACCAGCTAAATTTAGTTTAATTCCTTTCTGGTTTACGTATTTATTATTAAACTCCACTTCTGACACATCATCATTGTACGCAGCACCACCACCACCTTCCAGCAACATATTTATGGCTTCTTGCAGTTGTCCATCATATAACAAAAGTCTTTCTCCAGTGTTTGCATCCATATAACTATTCACCATTAGATAAGACATGAATAGTTTCTTAGTTTGATCTAAATTATGACATATAGGGCCTTCTGTGCCAGAACGTTCATGTTCCTCCTCACAGTCATGAAATACAGATGGCAGGAATTCATATGTCGATAACCATTTTGCAGCATTTTTGCAAGGGGACTCTAATTCTTCTACATTAGGCATTTTATCTGGTAAAGTCACATTGGTCAAAACAGATACAGTACTCATGTCTATTATCCCTGACTGTGCAGCCTTATCTAGACTGATTATTTCACAAGTTTCTGGAATGTAAAGTGCAGCTATTTTCTGTCTATTATTTAGTATTTTGAATGCCAGCTCATTTGTTATCATCTCTTGATGCAAAGAGGTTGATACAGGGAATATTTCACCAGTGTGAGGCCAAATTAGTCCAACAAAGCCTCTCTGTGCTTCTAATACCAGCAGTGCACTGGTAGATGATATTAAGTTGCACTGTACAGCTTCATCAACAGTCAAGCGTTGTCCTGAATTTTGACAAAGGATTCCACCACTCTGAACCTGATGTGTGAGGATCCCACAAGCAGTGTCCTGATCTATCATCCCTTGTTTCATGGCCTCTTCCACAGTCATTCGCTTCCCTGAGTCAGGGTCAATTATACCTCCAGATATTAGCTGAGCACCCAGCAGCCTGAACATCGTTTCCCGATCGATGATTCCTTCATGGGCTGCCCTCAAAACAGTGATCCTCCTTCCACATTTGAACATGATTCTACCTTTTTCTTGTGGTTTCACAGGTAGAAGTCTTAGCCCTGTTTCTTTGTGTATTATGCTTCTATGAAACATCTGTTCAAGTGAAATCTTCTCAGCACAGTTGGGGTCTATGAGATCTTTACAAGTGTCTTGTCTTTCCAGAAGTTTTGCATATAATGTTGGATACACCAGGTTTCTCTGAAAAGCATTCTGCAAAGTCAGGTTTTCTCCCGTAGATGGCAAAATCAAGTGCCCACTTGAAAGCTCATTCTCTAGAATTTTAATAGCCAAAGTTTCTGAAATTAGACCTTGCTCTAAAGCTGAAACAACTGGAAGATTTGATAATGATGACTCTGATATGAGCTTCTTTGCATCACTTAATTCCTGCAAATGCAACAGAGTCTGCTCATCAATTAAGGCATGAGCTTTAGCTTCTTCCAAATCATAACATACTCCTAATTCTGGAGAAACTATTCCAGAAAGGATCAGCTGATTCTCGAGCAACCTAATCCCAGTGTCATAGTCAATAAAACCTTTTAAAATAGACTGAAAGACTGACAGGACTTCTCCAGTCGTTTGGTCAATGACACCAGCAATGACTTTATTCACCTAAAAAGGAATACAAAAGAAAAACTATCACTATTTTCAGATTGCATGTTTTAAATGTTCTTTTGATTTTGAATTCATGATAAGCATAAAAACATGTACTTACCAGGCCTGGAGGAATGCTGTGAATGTTAGCAGCTCAAATGCGCAAGTGATCTATGTCAGTCATTGAACAGCACACGATGTGATAAAAGATTTAAAAACAACATGCATCTGTGAATTGAAAACCTATGCTTTGCGTACATAAACAGGGTTAGTGAAAGACAATAAGAAGAAATGATTGCGGAGTGAGCAAATAGAATATATACCTGAAAGGCAAATGTTCATGCTTTAAATGCTGTGAAAGGTTAGAATACTCAGAAACAGTATGTGATTCAAAACCATCATGCTATTCATGTTTACAGCATACAGCATTTCTGTAAATACACTCAACAATATGGAATCAAGATACCCTGGCACCAAATATTGCATTTAGTTTGCATGGAAAGCATGAAGTCAGTCTAGCAACATTATTTGGATTCATTACACAGACACTGCCTCTACATTTGTATGAGAAGATTTCTTTGTAACATAATTTTTGAGAATTCCATACTTAAGATCCATTAAGACGTATTTGTAGTGTCTCAGAGCTAATCACATGATGTGCTCCCATTAACATATCCAGACAAATTTCAAGAAAAACTGAAAGTAGATGTCTTCTAAGACATTTCTGAGTGATATATAGGAGAGATTAACAGGTTATTTTATGATGTCATTTTTGCAGCAGAAACAGACTTATCTAGCAGTCAAAGAATGGCTTTTAAGAGAAGAGTTAAGAGATGAATGATTTGTTTATCTTTCTTCATGCAAGACACACATTATTAAGACTCTTTACAAAAAAATCTGATGAGCAGAATGTTCATATGCACAGGTAAGATAACACACAGTATGCCACAGCAATAACAAAACCTTCGGTCAATTAAATCTCAAATTCCGTCACACACTGTTAACTGCAGAGCTTCTTTTGCTGACCATGTGTAGCTTCAAAACCATGCAGTAAACCTCAAAGAAGTCTGAAATGTAAGTTTCAGTCTTATTACCTTTTCTTCCATCTTTTCATCACCCAAATACTGTGCTTCCTGCAGCTGCTTCAAAGCTTCATTGGATAACAAGCTGTAGCTCTCCTGGAGGGATCTGACTTGCTTTTCCATTTCATTTTTCTCTTCACCTGTCATTCTATTAATAAATAAATAAATAAAAGAAAAAAGAAGAAGATGATCTCTGAGTAATTTGTAACCTTGCTGGAGTGATCTGCATGGGGAATTGGTAAAAGTAGTCTGAACAAAATATTGCCTAATTTCGAAGATGCTTAGGAAAGCTACAATGTGCTTTTAGTTACTGAGGAGAAGAAACTACATCAATCTAGAATTTATGTTGAACTAGAATTTATGTTGAATTGTCACTGAAGCATCTAACCTTTGCATGTCCCTTTGTCTACTGATTAGTAATCAAGATAAGTAACAGCTAGCAAGGAGTCATGAAGTACCTCAGCAATTTAGTATCTTAAACACTCTGATTTCAGACATGGATGAAACAAATTTTGTGACATATAGTTCAAGTACTAATTTACTATTAATCTGTTAACAGGCTTCAGATGAAAATTTTTGTTTAATGTTTTGGGTTAAGAGGACAAGAAGTGTATAAACCTAGCCAAAGTCTTGAAATAAACAGAACTGCATGAAGTTTTCTCAAATGGGAAGACAAAATTATAAAACTATGGAAAAACCTAGCATATTTGTACATGAAAAGTAATTGGAATTATAAGATGAGGATATAATTTCTTTTTAAGCAAACTGATTCAATTAATTTACATTATTTGAACAATAAAAAATGGCATACTTGTCACTGTGCTTAGCTAAAAATGACTGTGTAGTCTGCAAAGCTTCAGCTATTTGCTCTTTCTTGGTTGACATTTCATGCAGGGAAATCTGAAAAATAAACAATCCGTGTTAAAGACTTAATTTTGCACAAATATAACAGAAAACCAAACAAGCAACATAGTATTTCTACACAGGACTAAACTCAATAATATAAGAACTTGATTTTTTTTAAATATCAGCTATTCTTAGAGCAATATTAATTATTAAGGAATTGCATGATTTACATACAGATAAGTCATTGCGTTAATGTCTTGTGGTTAAATAAGCTGTTTGGATTAGAAAACTATTGAGTGAAACAAATAGATTTTATTTTTAAATGTTATTTTCTTGAAATTAGCAAATCATTTAAATCCACTTATTATAGTCTGCACAGTTTAAAGCAGCCTTATAGATGTGTTCAAGATGTTGCTCACCAAAATGGGATAATAACCTTAAAATAAAAATCATACCAGCCAGCTATAAACCTTCACGAGACTCAATGACAAACACAGTATCGAACACTTGGAAAAAATTGTTTATTAATATTCTCCCTGCTATTATTTCTGTGTCATTCCCACTAAAGCACTTGTTCTGGCAGTGGAATTTGCAAGAATTTAATCTTCTGACTTTTCTGAGAAACTGTCTAAAGTCTCTTCAAAGAAAAGCATTAATTTTGGCTGAATAGGGACAAATTATTAAAGGGGAGTCTACAACTTCTAAACTTATTAGCAAGCCCAAGATATATTCACCATTAGTGCCAAGAGAATTCTAGCAAGGTTCTTGGGCCCTATGCTCATGTGGGTCTGGACACAACTAATTTTGTCCCCATGTGCGTTGTGTCAAAGGGCCTGAACATGGTCTTGAACAGTCTCCCTCTGCAATCACCACTAGAAAGCCACAATCCCAACAGTTGTGCTGCTTGGACGGGAACCAAGAGAGCAAGCACAGTGTGCACTACACTAGAAGACAATGTGAGCAGGTGAGGTAGCACATGGAGTCATGTGTCACTTGAGGAACTGGTGTCACTGCTGCTGCTGTGTGAACCCTGCTGTTACTGGCACCAGCTTCACCCAGCCTGTGATTACAACCTACAGCAACCCCAGTCCTCCATGTGAAATGTATTTCAGCTATCATTACCTATAAAATGTACATGCTTCTACAAAACATGTCACAGCACCTGTGCTAGTCACTGGAGACACAAAACCAGACACTTCTAGAAAGTGCTGCTAACCTGCAGGGCTGTTTCACAAAGGAAGGAAACACCCTCAGCAAACACCCATCTCCTGTAGGCCAGAGGAAGCCAAGACAGATAACTCCCATGTTACTCACTGAGGGCTCAGGCTGGGCAGGGAAGATGCCACCCATAGCTGCTGTGGTAAACTGAGATGACCTAAGGAGCTGAGCACTGGCCCATCACTGACAAAGACTTGCAGTGTTGTCATTAACAAGGACAGAAAACGGCCAGTGTCAAATGTTTTTGCAAATCCTATCCTATTAGTGATTTACCAATCAACATGTTCAAACAAAGGCTTACTTCCTCCTACAGATACAGGCACAAACTCAGTAACAGAACTAGCACTGGTCCCCTATGAATGATGTGATGGGACCAGTGGCCATTAAGACCGCAGGACCTGCCTGACAACAAGCTTTATTTAGGCACATGCTGTTCCAGTGGCTCTAATCAGTACCAGCATGTGTGACCAGAATAAAACAACAGAAACAGGCTTCCAGGAGGGCCAAAGTCATGTCTGCAAGACCACACACTCAGCCCTATAGTGAGGGATGTGGACAAGACGCTGCTACATCCCTCTGGTGCTCAGTGTACAGGTAGACCTTCACCTACTAAATTCTTTTTATGTGTCACAAATCTGTTTTGTGGGACAAGCCTAGCAGGGGAGCTGTTGGAAATGATAAGAAACTTCACAGATGGAAATCTACGGTCAGAGTTGCAACTGTACACAACAACGTATGTGTTAAATACGAAGGTTTCAAGACGAGCCACAGCAGCAGCCTGTCGACTACTGTGATAGCAGAGAGGGATCTCAAGTCAACACCTGCTGAATTCCCTAAACCAGCAGTTTTAACAATCCTGTAAGAGACTCCCCAGAATAACTTTTAAAAAGTCAATAGAGAAACCTGGCCCTCAGACCACTCCTGCCAACTTTCTCCTTCCTTGGTGCCAGGGTAGAAGTTACGAGACTTATTCGCTGAACTATTTCAGGACAAGTGGGAAGACATACAAAGCACCATGCTAGCAGGATGCACTGTCCCTCTAATAAAGGTGGAATTATGGGGTGCAGCATCTAGTTTTGAACTGACATTGTGCAGTGTCACACACCAGGTCTGTAAAAAGCAGCTTGTGTCTCTTCTTGAGTAACATGTTTGCACCCCTAAACACTGTTGTTTGTTGAGAAGTTCAGGTTAGATATAAGGCGGAAGTTCTTTACTGTAAGGGTGGTGAGGCACTGGAACAGGTTGCCTAAAGTGGTAAATGCTCCATCCCTGGCGGTGTTCAAGGCCAGGCTGAAGAGAGTCTTGGGTGACATGGTTTAGCATGAGATGTCCCAGCCCACAGCAGGGGGGTTGGAACTAGATGATCTTAAGGTCCCTTTCAACCCTAACTCTTCTATGATGCACCCAACCCCCACTCACAGCTATGTGAAATTACATCTTTAGTAAGATGTGGAGTGTGATTTGGTCTTTATGGAGTATTTTGTTATTTTAATCAACACAAAAACCTAAAAGAGGAAGTGGTATTTTACTAGAAAACACATGTGTACCTGCTGCTTAGGCAAATCTGTCTTTTCAGCCTTTTCTCCTTCTTCCTTGCTGAGTGTCTTGCTGAGGTTTGACACCCATTTCAGTAAATCCCCAGCTTTCTCAACATGTTCCTTCTTTTCTTCTTCCACTGATTTCTGATGGGCACCATGAATTGTAAAAAACATGTAAATTGTTGGAATATTTAACAGTAATGTCCATAGAAACACAATTCTACCACAATGGCAATATTATAACATAAGCATCAAGTGATTTCTTTTTATTTATCACTATATGCATCACTATGACACTTTGATGTATGAACAAAACTGCCACATAATTATAGACATGAACAAAAGAATTGCTTATATGATTTGTATTTATGATTCATTTAAAAATGATTGATATTAAGAAAAAGTATAGCTTCCCAGCCATTACACAGCAGATAAAATCTAAACATCTGCATATAAAGCATATTTGAATTGCTGCCTTTGCATTACCCTCAAGTGTGAATATGTACAGATAACACGGGATATCAGAATTTTGCAGTTTATGCACACGTATTACTAAATTACAATTAAGAGGAATACATTGCTTTTATGTCTACAGAAAAAAACAATAAAAGTAAAATACTGAGACATTTAATCTCTTTCTGCATAGGAAAGTACATTTCTTTTTACAGTAGTACAATCTCTTAGTAGTTTGAAATTCATCAATACCTAGAAAACATGCTTAAGCCCTTCCACGTACCAGAAGTAAAAATGAAGATATTTTAATGGATTTTTTTACTTTGATAAGTAATTGTAATTCATTTTCCTGCTAGAACATGAAAACAACCTAAATAAAAAAGTTACCTGAAGTGAGAAAAAATGAGGATACTTAGGATGTAAGTAGCCCACTAAAATTAATGGAATATCAGCGTGGAAAATTCACTTCTGTGTACATATTTACTGCACTGCAGATTTAAGCCTTGTATGCTTTACTGCCACTTTTGTAAAATAAATGATGCCAGCAAACTGATTTGTAATATTAAATTAAGTAGCAGGTCACATGAAATACTGCACTGTGATCATTTGCAAAGTGAGAAATCCCTTTCCATTTTTAATATAATGATCTGATTTCTTGTCTCATCTAAATCTACCCATTTTACAATTATGTTAACTTCACCAACCTCACTATTAACTTCTCATTTACGCTACCTATATGTCAGACAAGGCCTTCAGGTAAAGACTGAACACGTAGTCGGCAATTTGAAATTATGAATCTCCCTAAGTTTATCTACATATCTCAACTTTCTAACAAGTAATATCCAATTCCAGTTTTAGCAGTTTATACTAATTAGTGGTTTGTATTAATTAGTTTTACAGTAACTCATGACTGCTTTAGAAAACACCATTTATGGTTTTCCACAAAGGCCACCATAGATCTTTTTTATGACTTGAATAGTTTAAAAGCAGGCTCCAAAATGAGTACTAATATACTTATTCCACTATGAATTATAATAGAGACTGGAAATTCCTGTTTTCATGGGCTGAGCTGCTTCTAACAATCGCAGCCCAGTGTGGCAATCAAAAACAGCTCTCTCTAAAGCTTCTTTGTAGGTTACTTTCTTCTTTGTTTTGGGGCATGTTAAAGCTTTAACATGCAATTTTTCATCTTTCATCTTTGTAGCTGTGACAGCATCAATAATACCACTCTTGATTGCATTTTCCATTGTTAATCTGGAATGAGACTTTGGATCTATCAATCCACCAGTCAAGTACTGATACTCCAGGCAGCGCATTCCCAATTCTTTGTCTACAGCATTTAAGTTCATAGCTTCAACAGCTGACATAACTGTGTTCTTTACAGGGTGAATGATCCCAGTGAAGATCAGTTCACACTGCTGCATGTGCTTGGCACATCCATCATCAATTAACTCCCTTTGCAAAGCTTCTGAAACGCTGTACTTTTTCCCAGTGAACGGATCAATTATGCCTCCTGTACTAACCTGAGCTTCAAGACATCGGAGGGCAGTAACCCTATCTACCAAGTTTTTGCGTGAGGCTTTTAAGACTGGAATTCTTTCATTGGTTTCAGAAAGCCAGAACCCTGCAACAGGACTGTTTAAATCTTTATTTGGCTGTGAACTGCTAGCTAAAATATCACCAAACTCATTAGCTGTAATTAAACCCTCCTTATATTTATTGACTAATGCTCTGCCAATTCTACCCTGATTTAAGGTCTCCTCGATATTAAACTGTACACCAGTTTTAAGATCTGTAAGCAAAAGAAAAGAATTCCCATCAGAATCAAAACATGTGGACTCCTTCCAATCAAATTCCTGTTTTGAAAGCTCAAGATAAGTAGCTTTATCAACACAATTTTTTTTATAAGCCTCATATGAAGTCATTTCAGCTCCTGTTTCAACATCTACTACAGAAATTTTGTGACTTTTCTCTGCTGATGAGCTGCTTATTTTCCTTTCACCAACTGGAAGCAGAAAGCATTTACCGCTTACACTGAACACACACATTTTCAGGAGATCACAGTAGTACATCGCTTTCCTGTTGTTTGGATTGTGAAAACATTTTGCATTACTAGAAGGTTCATAAAGAAATTTTAAAGTTGTGTTATTTAGCAAACCAAGCTGCACTGCGGTTTCTGGCATCACACGGACACTTCTGACAGGATCAATGACCCCTCCACTTGCAATCTGAGCCTCGAGGATATTTTTGCCTTTTTGTCTTTCTAAGAGTCGAGCTTCCATAGCCTGATACACAGACATCACCTTCCCAGAACAGCAATAGCCCAAAACAGCTTTCTCTGCCTCATGCAGTCTGCTCTTGAATTCAGTATCTGCAAGCCCTCTAACAATCGAATCGTCAACAGAGAATTTCTGACCTGTTGTGGGATCAATGATAAAACCAGTAGCTGCTTGGGCCTCTAATAATGCTAATGCCCATGCTTTTCCTATGATTCTTCTTTTTGCTGCTGCAGCAAAAGAAAGTATCTCTTTGCTGGATTCAAGGTACAGCCCAGCTATAGCTGTAGGTTTAGTTAAAAATTTTTCAAGACTTTTCTGAACCTCATCAATAGTTTTCTGCCCTGAAAGAAGCTGCTCAACTGTGAGCCTGTCTAAAAGTTTAACTTCGGTCAACTGTCTGGCAGTGACATCACGCCGGAGACCTTGAAATTTAATATTATCATATTCCTCTGTGAAATACTCCAACTGAGTAGCATCATCATCAGTTTTCAGACTCTCTCCCCCTAAGAAAGAGCTCATCTTTGCAAAGTCTTCTTTCCTAAACCCTTCGGATGTTTTGTATCCCTCAAGCATTCTCTCTTCAGTACCAAAAGTCTTGTCATTTTCTTGGTTTAATGTTGTGACTTCAACATGCATGTCATACTGCTTGTTCTTCACTATCTGTAAATACGAATTTTTTGACACAGTGAGAATCTGAAGAACTATGTAGTACATAATACACTCCTAAATCCACCACCAGAGAAACAAAAGGGAGAATCTGAATGTAAATCATGAAGGAGAATTGCTACTAGCATTGCAGAGTAGAGAAATATAGATAACTAGATTTTTAAAGTGCATTTGCCATTTCAAATACTTATTCAATAACAGGAATATGGCTAGACTAAGCAACAACTGTTGTTTGTTACATGAACTTCACGCTGTTAATCAAAGCTCATTTAGACAAAAAATGATACATGGTGTATGTGAGTTCCTATTTCCAACACAAACTTTTAAAATAACGTGTGTCTTAGATATTAACAAACCTCCCACAAATGTATAATAAAAAGGTTTTTGTGTCATGTAAGAATGAAGGGGTTCCCTTCACCAAGGCAAGAACATAAGAAACATTAGAGAGAATACAGAATAGTAATAAAGTATAACTAAAAACAAAGCAACAGACTAGTTAAAACCAGCACCACTGAAAGGCAAACCCTCACAAAATGTAGTGTGTACCTCCAAGGGATGCAGTTTTACCACTCCTAATTCATGTTTCATGTCTTCTCCAGGTCTAATAGTTTGTCTGGAACTGTGTAGGTTCCTGTTCCTCAGTGTATCCCATTCAGACGTTCCAGAGATTTGGCTTCCCTTATCAAAAGTTATCTCAAACTGTGTACTTGTTTGAGAAATGAACTCTGTAAATTGTGGGCTTGAATTTTCTTCTCCTGACTGGTTAATCCTTGACACATGGAACTGCACCTCTCTCGGTATCGTATCGTCAGCACTCACGTACAATGTATTTCCTTCTATCTGGTCAGATTTAAAACCTGCTCTTTCCTGCTTCTGATTTAAAACCTGACCTCTCTGTCTTAACAAAGGTGAGCTAGGTTTTGAATGTGGAGGAAGCTGCTCAAATTCTCGAGCCGTGGTGCCACTCAGGTAATTGAAATCATTCCCTCTTCTCTCACAGCTAAATTTAAATCCACAATCTTGGAGTTTATTATTTTGCTGAACTTCATCCTGAAACAAAAGAAACCTGTGTTCACTCTCCCTAAGCTGCACATCCATTTTGTGTTTCAAGCTCTCAACTGTGTGCTTCTGCACTTCCAATTCTTCCTCAAGTCTCCTGCATTTCTGGTGATAGTCCATTTCAGCCTGCTTCCCTTGCTGTAGCTGTTCCTGACATTTTTTAAGCCTTTCTTGCAGATCTTCCATCTGTACCTTGTACAGCATGATGTTTTCCTCAGCCATATGCTTTTCCTGCTGAAGAGCAACACATTCTAGCTTTATGTCAGAAATGTCCCTTTCTGTGATGCTATGGGATTCCAGTAATTTTTCAACTTTCTTCCTAAATTCCTCTGCAGAGTGTTTAAATTTAACGGATTCTTCCTGAAACAGAATCATCTTCTTGCGTGCCATTTGTTCATCCAGAGTCTTTTGATGGAGTTCATCCTGTAATTTTTTTAATTTACTACTTAGCTCTTGTATATGAGCTTGTTGTAGTTGTATCTTCTGCTCACTCATTCCCTTTTCCATAGTTAGAGCATTTATTTGCACATTTAGATTTTTAACTTCCCGGTCAGTGGTTAGGGTGGAAGCACTTTGTTTATCACATTTTTGTTTATATTCATTAGCCAAAGCTTTTGCTTTTGCTAGATCAACTTCTAGGCTTTTTATTTTACATATGAATTCTTGCTCAATTATTGTTTGCTTGTGCAATTGTTCATTTGTTGTATGCAGTTGTTCTTTGAAACCATCTGCTAGGGATTTTAATGCATCATTTTTCCTCTGAATACTTTGTTTTTCCAAAGTCATCCTCTCTGATTCAGACTGAATTTGCTTCATTAGTAGTTTTGTATCAGTATTCCATTTATTAAGGTCTTCTATCTTTCGTTTCAATGTTTCTGACACATGATTACTTTTGGCTAATTCACTCTTCAGCATCTGAATTTCCTGCTGGTTTTCTTTCTCTACTTTTGCTTTTTGAAGCAATTGTTCTTGAATTTTCTCATATTGGTCTTGAAGATTATTTGCTTCTCCTTTGCATGACTGTGTTTTGTGTTCAGCTGCCAGCTTCTCTTTTTGAAGAGAACTGATTTGTGAATTTAAATGTTTGATAGTGATTTCACTTTTTGCCTTTGATCTAGTTAGTTCCTCTACTTCTCTTTTTAATTGTGTCTTTTCTTGCTGAACAGATTTCAGCTCCTCCTCATAGTTCATCTTAATTTTCTTGAGATCTACAGCTTCTTGCATCACCTCTTCAGCTTTATCTGTGGTTCTATGTAGCTGCTTGTCCAGTTCTTTCAGTCGCTGCAAATACCCCTGCTCTACTTGGTCTTTTTCCTCTAACTTAATTTTTAGGCATTTAAGTTCACTATTGACTTTGTCTAGTTTTTCTTTTAATAACCGAGACTTTTCTTCTGTTGATGATTTCTGAAGCTCAATTTCATTCAGATCATATTTCAGGTCTTTAATAGTTTTATCAGCTTTTCTGTTAGCAAGGATTAGTTCATCTATCTTTTGTCTAAGCTCTTCTACCTTTCTGGCTTCTTGCTTCTTCTGGAAACTTGCGATTTCAGAATTAGTTCTACACTGGCTGCCTTGCCCAGCTGCCGAAGTTGGCAGAGAAGTTTCTCTACTTACAGAGTACCTGCCTTCAACAACTTTCCCTCTGGCTTCGGTTTTCTCTCTCTCTTGCAGCTTTATTTCTAATAGGCTCCCTTTAAATTCGAGGTCTTGCTCCATTTGCTTTATCAGTTTCATAAGTTTCTCCTCTCCTTCTGTTTTTTTCTTCAGCTCCTCCATTAAGTTTCTTTTTTGTTGCTCTAAATCATGAAGATTAGTATCTTTTCTTCTTAGATGCTCTTCAAGGTTTCGTCTGGTAAAGGTGCTTTCTTCTATTTGATTTCGAAAAGCACGAAGGTTTTCTTCCAGTATACTTCTTTGAGTCTCTGCCTGCAAAATGAGCTGCCTTACACGCTCCAACTCCTCCTCTGCATCTGCTTTCTCCTTCTCAATGTTCTCTAGATCCCTACGACACTGCTTTGCCTCTTGCTCAGCCTTGGTCTTCTGAAGACAGATCTCTTCCATGTCCTGTTGCTGCTTCTTCCGCTCTTTTTCTGCGGCTGCCTTAACTTTAGGGAGCTCCTGTTCCACTTGGAACTTTTGTTTCTTCACATCCTCCAACATCTGCTCAAGGTTTTTTACCTTTCCCATGAGTCTTCTGTTCTCATCAATTGTGCTATTTTGCTGTGCCTTTAGATCTGAGTATGCCTCACGCACTGATGCTTCCTTATTCTTTAAAATCTGTGGAAGAATGAGATACATTGATATACACTTTTTGTAATACAGCATATGAAATGTTAGGCTCTTTGAAAAGCAGAATGGAAAATACTTACTTGCATATATATGGTACGTCCAGAAAGTAGGATGAGCAGTTCCCACCACCATCAGCCTTCAGGAAGTTACCACTAGCCAAATATGAAACCCTTCATAAAGATCCACAAAGTGAGGAAGTCCTGAAGCCTTTCACTGCAGTCAGGTGCCTCCTAGCGGTAAGCAGCATCAAACAACACCTTGCATGTGCTTTGTCTCCAAACAAATAGGTAGAGCAAACACTGAGCCAAACACTATGCACAAGAATTCCCAAAGCAAAAGTGGCCTACCATTTCTGCATCAGTTCAGCAGGAATTAGGAGGATTTTATGCTTGTAAGCAATAATCACACAAGAGAAGTTCGGAAATCCCATCCAAGGAGCAAAGCAATACAGAGATACAGCCAAGATGCACCAGCTCCAGAAACTGAAGTATTTAAACTGCAGTACACCTATGCTTTGTAGTGTGCTCCACAGTCCCAGTGCCTCCACTGCCTCAGCTGGGGGGACTGGTAGGAGCACAGTTACTCTACAGTGTAGACACAGAAGTATAAACATGGTAATTTGTAAAATCCTAGTGAAAACCAGTCAGCTAGTATTCTCCATATGCTGGCAGATCAAGGGAAACCCATACAAGTACTCACCAGTAATAATACAGTTGACATTATACCTACCTCCCCTTCATTAGCACTGTTACAGTGTTAGTTACCAAATGTGAGCTAACATGAGCTAAGAACACACATTCTTATGATCATATAAACATGAAATGAAGGGTAAATATAGCAACATTTTCAAATAAACAAAATGTTGGGTTAGCTCAAGTTTTACCATATTTACTTATTTATCATATAATACACAAAACATTTCCTAAAAGGCTAATGCAAAGGCAGCTTCTTCAGTTCCTCTCCATATTTCCATGTCAGAATTTTGACTAGATCCAACAGATATAAAACATTTAAACTGGTTTCTTATAAATCTTCTTTATGCTCCCACGCATACAAAATTTAATGTATTATGCTTCAAAATCAAGAACTAAAGTAAAGATACAGTCAAAACCTGTATTTTGGTAGCTTCCATTATCTCTACTGAAAATGGCTGAGAATCAGCTGGGTGCAGAAAAGATGGTAATTAAATAGTAATACAAAATAAACAAAAACAATTTATAGAACTTAAAAAATTTAAGGATCACAAAATGCATAGTAATTAATATATCATTTGTATAGTCATTGTTTAAATTCTGTCCAATCAATTTTAAATCACTTGACCTTGACATATTATCAGATTCAGATGTTGATTTGTGTTGGTTTAGAATCATTGTTAAATTAACTGTTTTATTTGCATTGCATAAAAACTCTGATACCTTAATATAAGTTGTGCTCCTTTTTTCTTCATTGTCACTGTCTCTTTTTTTTTGCTTTTCTTTTTTTTCAAGAGAGGCTTTTTTCCCTGCTTTTTCACAGGATGCTTCCTGGACTTCAGTGTTTTTCCCAAGTCCCTTCGTGCTATGGCCCTTATCTCTATTGTACCTTTCTGCAACCAGCAATAAATCTTTATATTTCTTCTTCTCACTTCCTTTCTCTTTGCGACTCAAAAGCTTTTTTGCTAATCCATGTTCTGATAATGGAAAATCATCCTCTCCTTTACAAATTATTTCTGAGAGGGCTATATTTGTATTTAAATCACCAGCACTTCCTAACAATCCTGTCCCTAAACTTGGATCATCCTGCACCGGCGATACTTCAAAATTTACCTGATACGACTCAGGAACTTTTGCTGCATACTGATTCCTCACAGTATTTCTTGAAGAAACAAGCAAAATTTCTTGCATTGCACTCTTGGCTTCATTTGGATTTAAATTTGATTTTTGCAGGATTTTGTTTTCTGCTATGAAGTAACTTTTATCCAGAGATGCTCTGTGCAGTTTGTTTGTGTCCCTTTCAACATCACCAGAAATGCCTGCATTGCTCATCAACTGCAAATTTAACTCTGTTTTTTCACTCCTCTTGCACACTGCTAGCTCTCTGAAAGAGGATGTAACTTTCTCTAAAGGTATTGCATCCCTTACACCTGAGTTACCTCTTTCACCAAGCACTTGAAACTCTCTGTCTTCAGAGTTTAAAGTGTTACAACTATTACTTTCTGTAAAGCAATGTTCTTTATGTTGACTTTCAAAACTAATTCTTGCTGAAAGATCTTGATGCTTGTCCAGGACATGCTTCCCCGTTTTTGGAGTAACTTCACCTCTCTTCACTGTTAGCTCAAAGTTAGTTTCTGATTGCATCTCACACTCTTCCTTTGTCAAAACGTCACTCCTTGCCTTTCCTGAAAACTTTTTTCCTGTGGTTTTGTGTATCATTACCACTTCAGGCAACTTTAATATTCCCTCTGTTTTGTGTCTCTCTCCACTGAGAATTTTCTCATTTAACATTTCACCAGGATTGCTACTGACACAAATCTCAGCTGAAACAAAACAACCTTTTCTATAATTTTCTTCTTTGATTTGATTACTAAACCCCATTAAATTCTCTTGCTCTGTATGCAACTTATATTCACTATTGCCACTAACACTACTTTCTTGACCACTGGAAGTTAAAATTTGCTTTGATGTTCTATCAGTTTTGATTTCATCATATGCATTTACATCTAATTTTCTTCTGTCCATTTCCAATTTATTTTCTGTGTGTTCAGGTATACTGGAAGAATTATCTTTTTGCAAATATTCCACATCCAACATGCTTTCATCAGATGCATTTGCCTCTCTGAATTCAACAGCTTCACTACATCCCAAACGTTGAAAGACTTCAGCTGACTTCACAGGTGTCTGGAGTTCACTCCTCTGGCAAGCTCCGAGCATTACAGCACATGGAATAAACTGAGAGATCATGGAAACCATCTTACTTTTTCCTTATTCTGTGCATTGTTAATGCTATTACTGAGAGTTAGGAAGAAAGACTGGTGTGGAAGAAAAATCTTGGAACAATCACAGACTTCAGAGGTAACCCCAGAAGAAAAAACATATCATTCCTCCTTTGAAAAGGACTACTCATTTTCTGATTTGCTTAAAGAATGACTGTATAACCTCTTTTGGAGAGAAACATTTCAAGAGAAAATGAAGATTTTAAAAGTATTATCTTCTCATCTATTGGGAAGGTTGACTCTGCAGCACGCGTGCATTTCGAGTAATTTTTCTGCTCAATTTCAGTAACCTATTCTTGTTAATAAGACTCTACCTTAAGCTTAAATAAGGGATTCCTAGGGGTCAGCTGTCTGACCCCAGGGAATCAATACACTAGAAAGGTAGAAGGAAGAAAATATATAAGCATGTCAAAGAAACTTCAGAAAATAGTTCATAGGGCATCACACCTCCTGTTTAAAGAACTTTCTTATACGTTGTTAAGTGGACCAGAATGCATACTGTGGAGTATTAAGGCCTGCATAGGATATAAACAGTGCATGCACACTAAAGTTGCCCTCATCTTAATGTCAGCTTTTATTCAAAAGATCAAGCACTAAAATATTTAACTATTAAAATGTACTATATGCAACTACATCTCCATAAGAATTTAGTGAATCATATGACCCTTCTAGCTGGAAGAACTGGTAAAATGCATGGATGGTATAGGATTTGCTAATCTGAATGTTAATGGCGTAATTTAACATTCCTATCCTCCTGTATAAGGAATTCTAGTCTTTCATATCTGCTGCTAAATTTGTGAGTAATTCCAACAGGTATATTTCTCTTCGTATGCCTGGCTGGTATTTTTGCTTAGTTGGCTGCCAGGGGATGACCTACCTCTTCCTCTTCCAGTCTTTTCAAAGAGTCACCTGCAAACTTAATGTACTGTGTCATCAAGGTCACTAAGGCAGTGTAACGAGTCCTTAAATCCATGAACTGTACAGAAACAAAGAGGTAGGGAGAGACAGAGGGAAATACATTATCCTTCCAAGTGATAAACACTACTCTAGAAACCATCCCAATTTTGATTCCAAAATCATGACTGTGGAATCTGAAGTCCTACTCTTGATTCCAAAGTTGAATGCAATCAACAGGCTGCACTTGCATAAGTAAATCCTAAGAATCTATGAGGATAGCTATAAGGGGAAGAAACAGAAAACAATGTTTTGACTTCACAGTCACTTGATTTTTAGCTTCTTGTAAGAACAGGGTATAAGGAGGCCAAACAGTGCTGGTCACTATTCCTCTCAGTTAGCAGGAAAGCAGATTCATCTTTACCAAGATCCAGCCCAGATATAGTTCTAAACACTTTTACTGAGGTACATTTCTCATATAAATTTTTTATAATTCAACAGCAATGTACTGTCTCATTATCCAGGTACTCCATAATGACCATTAGAATATTTATTGCATCACATACCTATACAGAAAAAATAATCTGCTTGGGCTACCCTATTTAATCACTCATAAATCCTAAATCTCATTCTTGTGTTTATTTTGTTTTAAGCAAAGAGTCAAAATCCCCACACATTTTTCCTGTAATAAGAAATCCATTTACCTCTTGAATAATGACATCTGATGAGCTTTGCATTCTTCTGCGTTTTACTGGAGATTTTTGCTGGGAGTCAACCATAGCTCTGTAGGTCATAGTCTGCAACTCATAGTCCTGCAAAAAGAGAAAACAAGCAAAGTGATTGGCATTCCACATGCTACTTACACGTGAAAAAAAAAAAGGATTCTAAGTATGACTTTATTTATTACCTTCACTGCAGCTGAGTATTGTTCTGAATACTTCTGACATTCATCTATTTTGCTTTGTTTCATTTCAATCTCAGAAACCAGCATCTGTAAAATATGAATCCACATCGTCTGAAATTACTATTACTATTTGCATTTCCATTTCATCAGACATCATAAAGTTTACATGATACGCTCATTTCCATGCATGTACATATGGTGAAACCTATGTCCTGGGCTTTGTCAGGCTTACAGTACAGAAGCAGTGAAAAAAACCTGCCAGGTTTAATAGCTGGTGAGAGAATTTAAAACTAAATCAGGAATATACCATTAAATGCATATAATTTATTATTCTGTCTCTTATTTAAGCTGCATTTCCATCTTGCAGGAGACAGTCACTTAGTCTAGCTCTGCTTCCATGAAAATATTTCTACAACCATAAATACCAAGAGCAGTATTGAATAAAAACTGATGTGATAAGTAAGAGTCCAGAATTTTAGTTACTCTGCAAGGTTTTAACTCTTCTCACAGATTACAGGACCAAAACAATCTTATCTATAAAAAGGCAATAGTCAGTGAGTGACATGTACATGACACTATCTACGTTATAAATGCGAAAACATAAAAGCTGGCAATGACTTAGAATTTTTACAGTTTAAGGGCTGAGGGATACAATGACCCCATATCAAGAAATATGACTGACAGCACTGTGTTAAACTGATGTTTTAATTATCCAGTCATCCTTTGTTGCTTTTCTACAATGAAATCTCTTTCATACCTTATGCTGGTTCAACTGCTTAGCCAATGCTTTGCTATTTTCAGGATGGATTTCTTGAATTTTTCGCTGAGTATCTTCCACTTGTTGAATCCAAGTGTCCAAAGAATTGTAAGCATCTTTGTAATACTTCAGAGATTTATTAATACCTTCTAAGTCACGCAACCTGATTTTATTTTAGAAAATAAGACAAAGGGGGGAAGATGAGTATTAAAGACAAGAAGTGCAACACTAAACCAGAGCCTTAAAGGCTTTGGAAGCTTTAGGTCTGCTATAGCTCACACTATAAGGATACTAAAATAACACTAACTAAAGAGTAATTAAACTTCTCACACACCAAGATTCTCAGCAGAGATCCTACTACAGAAGAAACTCTGCATATATTCCTTATTAGTGAGCTGAATTGCTTGAAACTCCATGAGCACAGGAAACCCCAAGCAAGAGAGCAGGCTCTGCAAAAGCCATTAATTCTGTTCTAAGAAGCAAGAGTATTTCAAATGTGACCTATGTGAATCAGAGAGGAGTGTGCTGTGCTGGAGTTAAGTAGTTATTCATCACAACCTGTGCCTCCCACAAAACCACAGGAGTTACACTAAAGGTAAAGCCTTTCAATATTCTAAAATGCAAAAGCAACTCATCCTGCAAGTCCATTTTTAAATCTATTTTTGACCTGTGAGTGGTGTGTTTTTTTTGAAAGTTGCTTCCATACTGATGAGAACACTGACAGTTTTTCTTTCCTTACACCATACTTCAAAGATCATATAAACATGACCACTTCAAAATGCTGCAGGGTAAACATACTTATTAAACAATTTCTTATAGCTTAACTTGGAATTAATACTTGTCATCGTTCTAGCGCTGTTCTAAAGATGCCACAAGGAGACTGCAAAAGAGCAGAGGAAACTCAGATTTCGCACTTCAGCATGTTTTAAAGCTAATAACCATGGAAAAGAGAAAGGATCATGGTAACTGCAGCCAATATTTGTACACGTTTTATATAATGATCATCAGTGTCAAACTGTTAGGAAGCAGCAGAGCAAACTTTTGCAGAAAGCAGCTTGTTTACAGCTCCATGATGCAACTACTGCAATCTGTCCTATTGACACTAGAAGCCACTATGTATTAACAGTAACTTTTTGTCATCCTCTATTCAGGATATAGTCCTGTGAAGAAAGCATGTGGTTCACATTGGCACTCTGAGGAAATAAGGACACTTCAGTACCTTACAGATGATAAAACTACTGTTTTATCATTTAAACTATGCCATGCTATCAATGAAAAATCTGTGGTGGATTTAAAGCTAGCCATTCTGCAGTCAGCTTTAAATGAGTCAGCTTTTACCCATCTTCTTTTCAACTTACAGCAATGTTAAACTGAGGCAATTAAATTAGTTAATTACAAGTGAACAACTTCAGTATTGCACCTGAGTGGCCATTCACGTCTCAGAAAACAAGGGCAAAAATGTGAAAGGTTGTTGTATGAACTTTTTAATCAACAGCACTATCTTTAATTCTCTTGTCAGCAACATCTCAACTGGATATTGAAGCTGCATGGAAACAGTTGCACACCAGAAGAAAATACTGGCACTTCACCAAAAGTTATTGTGACAAAATTATCACGGAAGTCAATGGAAGCTAAGGACTTCCAGACATAGAACTTGAGTTATTAAAAGTGAGTTAACATGAATCCCATCATAATTGATGAGTAAGCTCATCAGTTTAGCCTATCAGAACTGGAGAAAACAGATGGTATTTCCACAGAACAGCACGTCATTTCTGAGGGCTTTTTCTGGAAAGGAAAAAAAAAAAAGGCAGTTTCTCTCTACTGTGTCTCATTAAGCTGTAAGTAAATAAAGTTTCTATATCTTGCTAATCTTTTGGTGCTCAAGAGTCACAGACATTTCCTGTGGAAATGAAAGACAACAGGGGCAACAGCACAGAAAAGGTAAGAATCCTTCACCTTAGTACATTTCACAAGCAGTTCAGAAAACTCTTCTTATTTCAACATTCAATTCAGATTATTCTTCCTCAGAAACAACAAAAGCAGCATAAAACATGAACAGATTATAACAGAAAGTTATACAAACCTATTTTCAATTTGAGAATGAATGTTTTGCCACCTCTCGGCTAACTGATCAACTTTTTCCTTATGCCAGTCAAAGTCAAGATCACGCTCCTTGTGCATTTTAAACATCTGATCACTGATCATCTTTGCCTTCTGCAGTTCATCCTCTAAGGAATGGAACACTTGTCTTTTCTCATCTACTTCAGATCTCCATTGCTAGTATGTGATAAATGATAAATTGTAAATATCTCCTAAATTACGGCACTACTCCATAAATTAGTATTTTGCAAGAGTAAAATGTACAAACGAATAAACGAAAAAATGCCTCAATGAGTATTTTACTTCTGGTTGCTCATACACTGGTCTGAAGCAATTAATTAGCAATTATGAACTGACAAAATAATTCTAACTAGCAGCATCCCCCACAGCACATAGATCAAAATACAAACAGCAAATCACCATGCTTATCTTCTACACTACAGCTTTAAAAAAAAATCAACAGCTAGATGCCAATCATTCTATGTAACAAAAAAGCATTACTCATTATTTGCAATATTAAAATGAGGTATATGCAGCACACAAAAAAAAATGATGAATTTCAACCTCATCCTTTCTGAAAAAGGTCTGCCAAACCTCCTAGGAAACCCTGATTAGTATACCATACCAGCAGCTGGAATGTTATTGTGGCACATTCATATAACAACATATTTATGTTACCTTAAGCATATGTTACTTTCTGAAGAGTCAAAAAATAAGTCTTACGGCAGCATTAAGTGCCATAAGTGAACTCCCATTAGGTGAACTCATGGGAGTTCAGATACTTCAAAGCACTTCCAAACAGCAGGAATGCACATGCAAACTACTCCATTCCTACTATTCCAAAGCTCTCATTTTTTTCTGAGATGTCAATCCTAATACAGGCTTTCTTCCAAATACATAAGACAACTTCTGATAAAAGTACAGCTTAACTAAAACAGGTGTTATAAGACAGATAATTTTCTTATCTTTTTTTAATTTGCCCATGAAAAGGTACCAGCCAACTCTTACCTTCAATGTACCCATCAGGTTTTCAATATTGTTCTTGTCAGCTGTTACAGCCTCTTCCTCACACAACTTAGTTTCGTAGCGTTTTACTAACAATTCTGCTTCTTGGGTATTCTTCAGCACCAATTTTATAGTCTTTAACCTGAAAAACAGTAATTTCCTGTTAACTGAACCATAAATTACAACGTTTAATGCACTTGTATTTCAGCCTTTCCATATCACTTTATACAATATTAAAACATTAACTCCCTTTTCCTTGATCAGTAGTTTTATACCAATATCTTTATTTTGAAGACAAAACTAAACTAAAACATACGTGAAGATGGCCTATTACATACTTATCTATGTAAATGGAAGACATGGAATAAACTTGGTTCATGTTCTGAATAACAACACTGAGCTCAGAGCGCAGAGCAGGGACTGAAGGTGAACCAGCAGCTTGACTGAAAAACTCTTCACATTTATGTGTGATGACTCCCAAGTCATCCTTCAGTCGATCCAGTTCTTTCTTCAGTTCCTGTAAAACGAAAGGTGATTGACAGTGCTTTTATCCTACATCAACCTGATGTATACTCTATCTACCACAATCAGTACAGGTCTGGTCTCCTTCGCTTGTTTTATGTAGACATCATTCATGTTTTAAAAAGGGAACATATGCATAAGAGAGAAACTAACAGCTGCCATTTACTGACATCTGTTTTCTCACAAACACAAGCTTAATCTTTGACTCTTATCTTTCCAAGACGTAGCCAGGAATGTCTGTGGCACACTCAAAACATCTGGATCCATCTCTCTTAAAATAAAATTATTTTCATAGGTAAAACAGCCTTTCTCAGGAGCTCACCTCTTGCTCTGAAATCCTAACCAAGTTTTCATGTACATCATCCCTTTCCACTGGGGTTCGGATCTGCTGTATTAACCGCTCCTCACAACTCTCCAGACGTAGTCTGATATTTCTGACTTCAGAGATGTACAGATTGTAAACAGATTCTTCCTGCTCCTCTGATGAAAGAAACACACACATTAGCAAACAAAGCCATCATGTCATTTTCACCATGTTTTCTAATGAAATGCTTTATAAAAAGTCACTATTCTACAGGTGTTTTCATAACTGGATGAAATCCCACCAGTTTCAATTGGAATTCTGGCTATAAAGCAAACTTTAAGGAACCCTTAAATATTTGCTAGTATTAAATCACCTCCTCAGACATGAAAAATTAGCACACATCTTTGACCATTCATCCCAGACATAGGCACCACCCCTATGCAGACAACTGCTGAACTCAGTGACTGATTTTTTCAGTCAGATGGTATCAGGCACAATACTACAGTAACCCTCCAGGGCTTTTTTCTTTATTTTTAAATCCTCTCTCTCAGATGCACATCTTTCCTTAAGTGTAGCGAATTATGTTGATGCATTAATCAGCTTTGCACTACTGTTATTTCTTTAAGTTATCAGCTACTTGACAGCAAATCAGAACACGTATTTGAGGCCTTCTGTTCTTACTGTACTTAAGAGTCAAGACAGTAGTAACTACAGGTATTCTACGGAGCAAGAAAAATATCTAGGACATTTTCCTTGCCCTAATAGTGTGAAAAAGGTTTCAAGTCCATTATGAACTCAACAAAGTAAGCAAGGTGCATTTCCAGCATTCAAAAAACAAGGAAGGCATGACTAAACAGTGAGCTGTAATGCACAGAATAGATTCTTTGATATTTTTTTTTTGTAGCATTCTGTATATTAAGTAACACATCGATATTTTCACATAGCTCTATATACAGAGTTAAAAAAACTTACGAGCTTCTGTACTGTGTAATTGTGCATACTGTTAAAATTGTGCACAGGCTCTCTAGTTGTTCAGAAGAGCTAGGGCATTAACAGTACAAATACATAAAAAAAAAATGAGTGATTCACTAGAGCTTGTATTCAGAGAGTTGTATCAAGAACTACAATCTCTTTTCTGAGGACATTTTTCTACTGTTCTCAGCTAAGTTTTACCTCTTTCTGCAGACTTCAAAAGCTCTTGATAGTATTGTTTGCAAACATTAACTTCCCTTTCCAGCTGTGCTGTATCGGAGCTTGTAAAGATCTTGGACTCCTGGCTGTCTTCCATAAAATCATTAAAGCGGGACTGCAAATTGCTTAGGACCTGCTGATGTTCACCTGGCAGCATTGTCTTTATCTGCAACAAATTATAAAACCCAAGGCAGGATCAGCAATGACTCACACAGTTCCCTGTGACGCTTTTTATCGAAAACCAACATTGCCCAATTACCAAGATGGTAAAGTCAAAGAATCAAAGCTTGCTTGTTCCTAAGTTGGAGTCCACTTGACAACTGATGGTTTACACCCAACATAAAATCCTTTTTCGTCTTTAATGCCAGCAAAGGGCTGCATCAAGCCAACCCTGTATCAGACTCCATTTCTCCATCTACTGCCACATAGCAACAAGCAACCAGCAGAAGTCATGCAAGTAGGGACACTTCAAGAATTATTTCAGATTCCTTCTTTCAAACAGCAACAGTGGGAAATTCAGTGAAAATGTCATTTTGGGTATTGCAAATATTATTTCAACAGTTTGTGGACAGATAACACCAATGTCGTATAATAAACTGTTGTATAAAATAGTGTTACACTATAAATCTAACATTGTGTAATTCAGTGATCTCAGACACTGTTTTAGCCAGAAAGAACAGCATTTCGATCTGTATCAGTACTTCATTTCTGCCAAAATGATTCTAGCCAGTTATTTAACATCTGAAGTTACAGATATATGTCAGAATCAAAAAAATGCATTATGAAGGAATAAGTGTTCAGCTGAAAGACTGTCACTTCACAGCTGTTCAATCATTAGTAAGAAACTGCAGCACAAGGAAATAATGGGGGCTTTCATGAAGATTAACCTTTGCCTCATGAAGCTAACTAATCTCCCCAGATACTTCCAACATAAATTCAGAAAGCTAGACTCTTGCAGAACAAATTTCACTGATCATTCCTTTCAAGAGATCTTGTCCCTCTGCTGAAAACAGGTGACTAGAGAGATCAGCACAATAAGGGTGGAGGTAGCTCTCATGACACCACCTCTTTTCTGCTTCCCCTAATATATCTGTGTATGGCTGCTTAAATGCAGAATGTTGCACAGTGGTAACCAGCATTCCCACACAGAAGATGAAGATGGCAGCAAATTGTTGGCTATACATTTCTGGGAACTGTAGTGAATGGCTACATGGCCTTTCCCAGACATAGCACATACCGAGGCGACATTGCCAGCTCGAACTGCTTTAATTTCATTTGTCAGGTAATGCCAGGATACCACACTCTTCATGTTTACATGTGACTCGTGCCAAAGGGCCAGAACATTCTGAAATTGCTGTTCAATCCTGAAACATAAAAAGACTCCAACTTTAGATCACAGCAACATATGAAATGGGGAAAAGAAAGTTGTTACTTTAACCCAAGCTTCATATAAATGTATTATTTTAAAGTGTTTTGTTTTCTCCCTACCTGTTAGCTGTATCTATCGCTTCTTTGTTTGGTGGAGGAACTGTAAAGCATACAGATGGAACCATGGCCTCATTACCACTTGGGCTAATGACTTTCCACTTAGCACGATGGGAGTTGTTTGCTAATATACACTCATCATCTTTGTAAATAGTTATCTAGTATTAACAGAAAAGCAGAATAATTTAATTACAAAATACTTCTACAAAGTTCTTCTGTATATGGTGTCAACAAATAAGCAACAGAACAAGAAAACCAATGTTCAACACAAGTATTTGCTCTTGTTCAGTAGGGTGGAAGAAATTAAGAGCCCAGCATTCACCAGGAACATGGTAATTAATGAAACTTTAGCTTAATTCTCACATCTCTAATTTATTTGAAGAAATTCAAGTTTCTAACCTCAATTTGTCTATAGTCACAGATGGCTTTAATTGGGATGGATGTTTTGAGTATACAGTCAGGGTTCCTTGGCTTCAGCTGAATTATTGCCTTTGCTCTTCCCACAAGGCCTGCTACTGTGCTTTTATACTGCAAGAGTTGTTCTTTCTCTTCCTAAAACAGTGAAGAGAAGAATAGGTCAGAAGAGATGACTAGAGTACAGTGCTGCTTCTTTGATCCTGTGTTAAGCTTTTCTTTTCATGACTTCTTTTACTGTGTTTCTTACAAGTAATACATTTTACAAGAAAAGTGTCTTTCTGAAGCCACTGTTTTCCCACAACATCTGGGACTTTAAAGATAAAGAAATAAATAAAGCTGTATTTCAAAATTATGAAAAAGTCATTTCACATGGAGAGATACATTTATTTAACTGTAGGTTATAAAAAACCAATTTTTTCCCCTTCACTTTTAAGGAATAATTTTAACACATCTTTTATATTCAACTATAATATACACATTTCCTGTTTAATTGTAACTCACATTAATAGGATCCTTGAACTCTTACCATAGACTCCTGGACAAGGTCTTCCAGCCTATGAAGGCTGCTTGATCTACCACAACTATATTTTCTGTATATGGTATCTTTCAAATTTTTTAAATATTCCATGGCTTCTTTGGCATCACTGAAAAACTGGGATGAGATAAATATCTGGGTTATTTTTAAACAACCTAAAAAGTACACAAACTGCTACACTATGAAGCTTTTCTCTTCATTGCTTCACCTATGCAGTGATGTCTCTTTAAAAATAATCTTTTCTAGTAGCTTGATGTGACCACTTCACCACATGACATTACTCATGATCTCATGTCTAAAAGTACTCTTCAAGAAAGCACACACTGTAAGACCAGTTCTTCTTGGTACTACCTACATGCAAAATTAATTCAGCAGTTATTGAACCTTAGTTAATTACTGCTCCTGCAATGGAAATTTTTTTCCAAAGCGATTCTTACTTCCCTTAGAATTACAATTGCTTTCATATGTAAAAAACAGACGAAGCCTGCAAACTAGCTGCAAAATTCAGCAAGCACCTTGGAGCGACCATTTCATGCAGGAGGGGAAATGAGCTGCCATGCTTGGCAGTTCTGCATGGGTGCCTGCACCTCTGTGCTAGGGTCCTGGGTAAGCACAACTGGGGAGGGAAATGTCCTGTGATAATCTTCGCCTCATCTGTCCCTGAAACCTCACTTCTTAAATTCAGAATTCCCATTTCTTCCCCATTACATTCTGTTTCTATTTGGGTAGTCCTGTAACAACCACCCACAATATGTTCTCCCTTGGGCATCACCAACCACCCTCTGCTCTACATCACCTGCAGAAGCTGTACTGATGGCAGTTGTACATGACAGGGAGAGAACATGTCTTTGTTCTCAGAGTCTCTACTTGGCTGTGGCACTCTGCAAAAATGCCAGGATGTATTCTCATCTGCTGTGAACTGACATAACTGCAGTGAAGACAATACAGATCTGGTAACACTGAAGGAGCACAGCTTATCACCTAGTGATTGCATACCACAATCGTCAATTCTATGACTGCTGTGAGACAGCAACTAGCACATTTGGTAGAACTTTTTGACTACAGAAAAATCTTAAAAACATTTCAAATTTTTATTTATTTACTTTCTTACCTCGAAATAGGCAGCATTTTCTCTCAAATGCTGTTCAACACAGTGACAGAGCTGAAGAATCCAGCTCCATTGTGTCTGCATTGCAGCTCTATAGGCCTTTAAGGAAGAGAGATATCTTTTACAAAAGGAAATTAAAATTAAAACACGTATACAATTACAGAATTTTGGAAACACAAAAGTAATGTAGCAAACACAAACATCAACACCTGACCTCCTCACCCAGGAAAAACAAGCTGCAGCAAAGAATATTCCAATTACAAGTGAGAAAAAAACTGTCCATATAGCATAGCCAAACATAACAAAACTTGCCCAGAGTGGCTGTGAAATCACCATCCTTACACATGTTCAGAATTCAGCCATTAAAAAGCCCTGACACTGTTTTAAGCAGAGGCTGGACAACATCTCCTGAGGTTGCCCCAGTCTAAGCTCATCTGAAATTCTGTTTCTCTACTCAGTCACAATAGCTGGATTCCTACCTAGAGAAAAATCAGATTATTATAGTAACACTGAATACACAATAAAAATAACTGATGAGGACTCGCTGCAATGTATGATTTTGTGTAGCAGTTGCACAGCAACTTGAAGAACATAACCCTACTCGACTGATGCCTCCTATATTGCCTGCAGGGTGCTGCCACTAGAGATGCACTGCATGAGTGCTCACCAGCAGAGGGTACTGTTGACATTCTGAAAACAGCCAAGCATCTCAATGTTTCAGTTCTCTATGCTTCTCAGGGAGTTCAAGAGTTTTTCCATTGGTTTCAATGAATTTCAAAATGATGCATTAACACCTAGATTCTTTTACAGAAAAGGCATCAATTTCCTATAAATTTCTCTTTCCCCCCCCCCCAAAAAAAAAAAGTCCCAATATAGCATTATTGCAGACATCGTAACCTGCATAATCATTTTCACTGTGATGGTCTGGTTTCATAATATGCATATTTAATATATTCATATATTAAGTATATCCCACTGACAAGAGGCCATTAGAACAGCATATACTTTTAAGCAGCAAACTCTCCATGTTACATAAAAAGTCATTTGTTATTCAAAGTAAATGTCATGAGAAGGAAGGAAGGGAGGAGTTTTCTTCATGTTTCAAATTTATGCAGACATAAACTCACTGAGCTAGAGAACCATAAAAATCCATCCTCTCTGGTTTTTAATTCCTATACAGTAAGACAACTTTTTATTGTTTCTATTTTTACCATCCACTGTCTGTATTTACTCTTTTCTTGAAGGTCTACAGGGAAAAGCATTTTACATTCCTTTGGAAACTTGCTATGACCCTAACAACAGCTACAATAAATTTTCTGTATATGTTTTACCTATAATATAGAGCTTGATTCAATCCTGAAGTAAATCACATGACCCGGTTAGATTTTTAATATCCAAACACTTTTCATTATGAAACCAACCCTAAACAGTAACTGGAACCTGTACATAAGTGACAAAAAAATTCTACTGAAACTTCTTTCAGTACAACAGGAGAGAAACCACATAAGGACTGTTCAGTGCCTCCAGTCTGCCAATGCAATTTGTACCAACAACTCTGAAAGCTGCGTGCATGACCAGAAATACCTGCACAGATCAACTCTGGAAATTTCAATTTTAAATTTCAGGAGGGTTTTATCTAAGTAACCCAAGATGTTTTTACTTTTTTTGGAAACAAAGACAGACACAACACCGACATAGAAAAGGTAATGAAAAAGGCCCTATTATTTAGAGTTTTGTTGTTTAATTCCTTGTGAGTTAGAACTTCCCTTCTTTTACCTCAAAATCTAAAGTCTATTAAATCACAAAACTGTTCTCTTGTTCGTAGTTTTTTCTAACTTACCTCAATGGTTAGCCTGGCTGGGTGATTCTCAAGAAGCAATTGCTCAGCTATTTCTTGAACTGATTTAATAACTTCTTCTTTTTGATCAAGTTCTCTCATTAACTCCTTTTTTTCCAGACAAAAAGAAAAAAAAAAAAAAAGAAAAAAAGAAAATAAAACCAGAAATGTCTTAGGAATTTCTTGAACTCTGAAAGATGATTTAAGTATTCTCTCTGTGTTAATGCTAGCAATACATACTGCATGGTATTCCTTCTTTCTTGTTATATTGGTGTTTCTTTCACTCCAGTCATATGCAACCTCTTCCTCTTCTTTTTCATTGAGCCATATCAGCTCTCTGGTAGCACGAGACACAAAATTGTGAAGAGTATCCAGATGTCTTTCCTGATTTCTTGACGTGTTCTTAATTAAAAAAAAAACAGATGCACAAATATCAGAATTTAAAGCTCATCCCTTATCAAAGATGACATACACTTGAAAAGCTGTCAGAGATGTGTCACAAACTTACCAAGAGTTTTGAATACTGACTCTCCAGTTTGTGCAATTTTTCTGCATAACTGAGTTTAAGAGGGGCAGTCATTTGGATCTGTATTTGGTATATGAGGTTAAAAGATAACAAATAGGTTAGATATGTTAAACTATTAGATCTACTGATTTCATGATACGTCATCTAGTGATCAGAAGTAAAACTAAGACAGACAGTTCAAAAATTCAGCATTAGTTTATGGGTCACCCAGTAAGAAAGTAACTAAAAAAATAAAGAATATGGTGCTGTACCTCACTCATTTTAGCTTCTTTAAGGCTTGATTCAAATTCCTCAATAGCTTTGTGGACATTTTTGTGATTTTCCAAATGGCTTTCAACACTTGGCAAATCTGAACCCCATTCTGCTCGATCAAGTTGCACCTTACAAACAAGAAGGAAAAATTACCCACGACCTACAAGGAATAAATGTAATCATGAAAAGCAGACTTTCTATAAAGATTGCTACCTGCATTTCTTCCACCCAGCTCAATAGGTCCTGGACGAATTTCATGTTCACCTCTTCTTCTGGTAAATTCTGATCCACAAAAGCTGATTTCATAAGAGGTTTCCTGATTTGCATCAGTTTGAGTGTTTGCAGAGTCCCACTGTCTACTCCTGTCACATAGCTTTGAATTAACCGTGGTGGGATGCCTGGTGTGTAAGTGGGAGTGATGGTTGGTGTCAGTCTGGAAGTAAGACCTGATGAAAGGCCAGATGTCAAGCTGGAAGAAGTCAAAGTAGGTGTTAAACCTTGGGTCATTGCAGCATTTGATTCAGGGGTTAGATTTGTTGTAAATCCTGAGTTTAAGCTTTCAGTTATTCCTGATATCATCAGCTTTGTCTGCTCTGTTGTCAGTGCACACCCTTTGTTGTACACAGAAGAACATTCGGTCCGTATAGCCATCAGTTCATCATGAAGCTTTGCAACTCTGTTAAATAAATAAAAATCATTTTGATGAACGCTTATGATTAAGGTTTGTCATGTTGAATTAAATAGCAATATGAATTCACATGATCTCTTACACTTTAGTCATACTTAAATATTTATAAAAAAAGCATTTCTATCAGAGGGTATAGAGTATGTCAGCTTATACTTATAAAAATACCGATAACATGGAGAAAGCAGGCGATGACTAGAAAATCAGCACGGTATGGGCACTGGCATGCACCATACACGATTCCAGGGAACAATTAGCACAGCAGAAATCTTACAAGATACTACATGTTGCAGCAGATCAAATGCTTGCAGTTAGTTCACTGCCAAGGAGTTGTTCTGTGCTTGATCCCACCCAGTCCAGGATGAATTCTGAAAAACTTCAGAACCACTTCTTCATAAAATTGCTTTATGCTGTTTAAATGCATCTTTCTGCCAAGACTGTACACACTCTGCCACATATAAGCTAGCGTTACCCCACTTACTACCTGTTAAGACACCTACAGCTATCACCAGATATCCTGCCTCCATTTTTAAAATCAAAGTTAGCAAATTCTAAAAGCATTTTAGGTGCAGAATACAAGCTAACATCTTTATACTCAGGTATCACTAAACATTAAAGTCGTGTTCTGACGAATGACTTCATTCTCACAAATGTGCACTAACAGCTTATTGTCTTCAACATTTATAGGCAATGTACCCACCAGAATACCTGATAATCTTTATTTGGGTGACCAGTGACAGATCGTTAAGTTTATCCATAAACATAATGATTTGAATATGTTGTCCATAATGGGTATCCATTTACTTATTTATTTATACAAATACACTGTAAAGTACCTTTGCACAAGCTGGTCTGCCTGATAGTATTTTCCATCAGTAAGAATTTGGGTGTTAATCAATTGCTGGCGGAGAAGGTTCTCAGATTCAAGAAGATAACCAGCTATCTCTGCTTCATGTTGGAACTGGAGCCCTGACTCCAACCGCTTGGTGTCCTGAATAAATAAGAGAAAGCCATTAAGCCCTGTAGCTAAACCAAACAGAAATTAACTATTAAGAATTCCTAATATTTTTGTAGAAACTTCTGATCTTGAAACAACTGCAAAGCTTTTTTATCTAACTACTGACAAAAAAAAAAAAAAGTAACAGAATTCACTCACGGCAATTTTTGGTATTTTCTCAAAGAAATGCTAAATTAACAGTACAAAGCAAATAAAAGTAGCAGCTATTAAGTATGCACTCAAAAATCCTAAAGGGTTTTTTTGTTTGTTTGCTTTTTAAGAAGCCATTCCACTGCATTAAGTTCATGAACACAGACAAGTAAAATCACCAACTGACTTACAGACTGCAGAGCATTCCGAGCAAGTATTAGTTTTTCTTCACAGCTCCGGCTGTCCCGCTGAATTCTGTTTGCAATCTGCTGCAGCATTTCCAACCTAGGTAATGCCAGAACATTTCAGAAAAATAAATAAGCATAAATACTCTTTATATTTTCTATTCATGTCGTATGACTTTAAAAACAAACAAACAGCATCTAACACAAAGCACAAATACATATGCCAGGTTACCTGTTTTCTTCTAAGGTGCCATTACCAAAGCTTATACAAGATTTAATCAGTGTGGGACCACAATTAACAGAAAGGAAATTCTCATTAGAGTCAACGCTGGTTCGAGCACTAGTACTGTTGCTAAACACCGAATCACTGCTGTGATAACTATAACTACTGCTGTGCATTTTTACGTCCAGAGCACCGTCCTTCTGGCTGTTTACATTTGCTGAAAAATTAGAAGATAAATCTCCTACAAAATGTACAGCTTCTAGGGATGAAATTTCACTACTGGCTTTTGAAACACCCAGCACTCCTCCTTTAAATAGGCTTCAGTACGCATATTCAAAACCCTGCAATTAATATTCTGCCAGCTCTTCAAAGGATTTTACCTGGGGCTATGCACGCTACCTTGCTTTTGGATTCCCTACCTTGCATTAAAGCTTTGCAAGTACAGACTAGGCAGCAACATTAGGGCGTTTCTAGGAGATAGACAAGCCAAATATTTTATTTAAGTGTCACTAAGTATCTGTAAGCCAAATAAGACCTTAAAGAAGTCCTTGCAGTGTTTCTCAGACTCCTCAATGAAAAGTTTCAAAAAGGAGTGAAGTGAGAACTCCATGCTCCACAGTATACTACAAAACACTTCCAGGTTGGGCTGACTCCTTTACCTTCAAGTGGAACTGCACAATAAAACTGGGGGAATATCACGGTTAATCAGCACATACCAATATAATCTGAGACACCTGTACACCATCCAACCCACTAGCATTACTCCACTGCCCAAGTATGCATGTTTACTAACTGCCCTGTCCCACTAATCTGTCCTCCTGCAAATTTCCCTTCAACTTGTTCCATATTCAGAGCTAATTGGTTCTTGCTGTTTTGACCACAAAACAAGTAAGAAAAATCTGATGCCTGCCCTCGAGTTTACGTTTTAACACAGATTTTGGATTAGGGATGTTTTTGTCAGTATGTTATCCCCTGCTTTTCAGACCTCCTGAAAACCCACACCCACACCATGACTGTTTACACAGAAGAGCACAGCAAAGGCATAGACACACCCCTGCGGTAATGCCAAACTCTGCTAGTTTGGCACTCTCCTCACTGACATCATACTAATTTCAATCTCATACAGCAATCCGGCCACATGTCAATCTGTGTTGATACATTCGGATGTATTCACAAGACTTGCAGTATTTAGGATTTGCCAAATTTCAATATTAGCTAAGGTCACATTTTTGCCACAACCAAATCCCAGCCCAGGAACTGTATCAAAACCTCATTATTAGTGAGATACACTAGCAACCAGTACAACAAACATGGACCACGTTCTTCTGTCCAGATCATCCAACAGTTTTAACTTGGTCATTAAGCCAGAATCACCTAATCAACTTTTCTCTCTCATTTTACAGTGACCACCATATGAAGTGACCATCACCATATGACCTGTCACTTTAAGTGTTTACCAATCCTGAAATATAGGAAGGAGTTTACGTTTATGTTTGTTTTATCCTGTGCTCAGTCTATCTGAATAAAAAAGTAAAAACAAACTAATGTCATTTCTACACTTTCTCAACAAAGATAATCCAGCTTTCAGCAAGTATGAACAGGATTCCTTTTGGCAAAGGCAGTCACTAACTTTGCTTTTGGCAGGTCAGGACAGACTAACCTATAAAGTCTAGTAAGCTGTATTTCTTTTGCTCCTTTCCAGTGTTCTGCTCTGCACAAGGTGGGACAACCTCGTATTCCTCCATAGGAACTTCTTCCGCAGCAAGGAGCTGTGAATAAACACCTTGCATTGAACCTGACATTGCTCTTGCCTTTGTAAGCATGACACATAGGTAATTAACTCTGACTGTAGTTAGGATCTTCTCTGGCTAAAATCTGTCTTTCTGATGACTTCCTACACAATGACCTGGATTCTTCACAATTTCAGTCACCTAAACCAGAGAGAATAATCACCCTGCTGTCACCAGAGAGCCAGTGCCAGGATACTCTGTAAGTGGTTTCATTCTTATGAGTCTCCTTTGAGTGCTTAAAATAAAGCAGAATGAATCCAGACCCAGGTCTATACCCTTACCTGCAGGTAGAAGCCCTATGATTCATTTAACTTAGATAAAAGTCTGGGGGTTTTGGTTTTTAATTAATGAATGGATAGCACCTGTGTCTGCCACAGAACTCAAAAGAGGTACCATTAAAAGCAAAAAATGCTCCAAGACTGCATCAAGGTTTTAAACTCATTCAACATGTTATTAGTGATGTTGCAAACAGTATCACCCATTCTATCATGGAAGACTCCTATGCACTTTGCATGTCTGAAGACTGTGCTCTTGTGTACAGCCAAGTTTTAAACAACCTCAGAACAGACTGTTAGCCCACAGTGCTATGTACCCAGTGAAATATAGATTTCATGTAAAGGATGAGGATGTTGCTTATATGAAATCAAGTCCAAATGAGACAGCAAAGTGGTATGAACCTAGCTCTGACTAACTGTACAAAGAAGGTGCTTATATTTGTGTTTAGGTGTGTTGATGATCTGAGGCACAGATACTATTCATCATTACTTCTGAAACCACCCAAGTTATTTCCATCTGGATCTGCTTCTGTGAAGTAGGTAAAGAAATTCAGGCCTTGAACAAAGGCAAAATTAGTTGATCTAGAAAAATAATGTGGATGTTACCAGGGAAGATGACATCTACAATTTTCAATACAAATTAATCCAACTGAAAAGGTATTAACCAAGCCTCCCAAACATTCACTAGCATACCTCTCCACTTCAGGCCGAAGGGTCTTGTCTCTTTCCAGCATGGCAATAATAAGCTTTCCCCATTCTTTTTCTGTATCATTTGGGTGGTAGCCTTGAGGAAGCTTGATGCGTCCAAATTCTATCCAGACCTTAGCAATCATACATATTTGTTATTTTAAGCCACAGAAAATGAACTTTATACATTTTAATGCTTGTTAAAACTTACCTCTAGCAGTTTATATAGCTGTTGAATTTTTACTATATCTGCCTCCTTTGGTGGAATTTCTGTTTCTTTAAACTGTAAATATTGTTTATAAAGTGCCTACAGAAACATAAAAACCATCATCAACTTTTTTTACACTGAATGTAACCCTACTTCCCAAATTCTCTCTTAATATTCTTCATAAGCTTCAGTTCTTACACTGTTCTACTTGAGTTCTACAAAAACTGATCAGTGACAAGCTAAAGATTAGCTTTTGATTGTTCATACGTTAGTAATGTATTGTACTCTGAAAAGGTTAAGGAGTAGTCCTGTTTTATACTTGATTACATAAATCAACAGGCACTTCATTTGTTCAAGCATGCTTTGAGTCCATGAGGTAAAGTGTCATTCCAACAAGGAGTTTAAGACATGACGCCTCACCTTCAATTCCACAGGATTGTTGGGAAACGTTCTGTCAGACATTATCGTGACATGGTGTCTGATCCACTGCATGAGGTAGTTCACCATGTTCTGATATTCAACCCATTTGACTTCAACATCCTACCAAAAAGCACAACCCAGATCACAGGTCAGAAGAAAATAATCTGAGAGCTCATTTTTGCTTTATCTTTGACTCTGAGGTCTTCACACACATAGAAAATAGATTTCTAAACCCTGTAAATCTGAAACAATATTTACTTACTCATTACAGTTCACTTAAAGCTTCCAAATACATGATTTTACTCTCTAGATTTGGTCCTAAACAATTCCACTGGAAACAAAACATTTTCTAGCTTAATAAACTTCAAACTGATCAAACAGATCACAGTTTGTAGGTCCACGACTGAAAAGTAAGAGCTTTCACTCTTAAATCTTTCTCCAACTTCAGGTGTTTTGGTTTAAGCTTTCTGCTTTTGTCCAGAACTGGAAATACCTGCTAAGCTTCTAAAATCTCAACGTGAAAAACCATGTGAAAGAGAAGTGTGACAGATGATCCAGCTAACATTCTGAAATCAACAACTGTGTTAATGAAGCTCACACACTGCACAAGTATTTTTCTCCTACTTACATTTGCACTAATGCCTTCACCACCTTCTGGTACTTTGGGAAATGCATCATAAAGTGATGACACGTAAGTTATTACTGACTTCTCATCAGGTGAAGAAACATCAACATCTAAAAGAGCAAGACAGAACAGTACTTTATCATGTAGTTGTAAGAATGCCCACAAATATGCTACAACCTGCAGGCAGATTGGATTTTATTTTAACGTTAGGGTTTTTGCAACAAAGCCCTTTGCAGTTATCTTACCTTCAGGATCTAGAAGTCTGGCAACACCAAGTTTTTCTGCTACAAAAAAAGCATGTTCTAAATTTGCAAGGTTGCTTTGAACAGCAACGGTATTCATGTCTATCAGGTCCGGCCTGTCAAATAAAAAAGGAATACTTGATTACAACCCTTTCCCACCTTTAAATTACTGCTGTATTAGTAAATCAAACCAAGCCCATGGATAGATACAGCAACAGACCTTTCATTAAGAAAGATTCCATTAAAATCATGTGCAGCAACTGAGGTCAGTACTAAGTGACAAATACAAGCAGCAGGCAACTACAACACTTTCAGTTCCTTATCTACAAGGTAAATGTTTTAGCCATCCCTGTTTTATATATATATATATATATATATAAAAATAAATAATATATATATGTATTTTTTATTTGCACATTTCTTAATGTGCACTGCCATTCTACTATAGCACCTTCTCCTTCCCACTGCCCTTAAGGAGGTTAAACTCACTTTTCCCTTAGGACCCATTTCCACGAGGAAGTTCATTTCTACTGCCTTTACAAGTTTTAGTCATCCTGCATCAAACTCTTCAGCACATGTTAGAACCCATACAGAAACAAGTTCCGTCACAAAAACATCACTTCACCCTGGAAGACAACTATTCTTACTGGGCTTTAAGGAAGTCTTGTTCAAACTGTACTGAAGCCCTGCTTTTGGTTAAATGTTGCTGCTAGTTCTCTTGCAGACAACCCTCAGCCCATGCACTTACACCTTCACACCCTCATCCTGCCAAATTCCGTTGCCAGCCACAACACTCTTGTTTTAATGTAATACTTCTCTTAAGCCGGTCTTGCCTATAAATATTTTTAAGGCCCATAAGTATCATCCTGTACCAGCAACACTACTTTTACATTTAAAATTACTGTAAAACTTCAAATTAATACCGTCCTTTAGGTTTGCTATGTGGCACTTGGTTTTTAGATCTTGCAGTTCTCAGGGCAGTGTGTTACGGTCTCTCAGCACGGGGAATCCTCTTAGCCATAGCAACTAAAAGGAAGAAGGGATTTTCAAAGATGCTAAGCAAAAACTCAGCTCACTGAAGCTAACTAGAGTCACAAAGGTCTGAAACTGTTGATACTGAAATCCTACACTACTGAAAACCAGTCCCACACTGAAGAAAAGAAACCCTAAAACAAAACCCTGTAAGAAAAAAACGTGACATCTAAGCTTTAGTGAACACCTCAGTCCTTAAATTTTCTCATTTTCTAGAAAAACTGTTTTCTTAGTTTTACCTAGCAGAAGCTTTGAATTGTTGCAACTGAGGGAAATAAAACTGTTAAATATTCACATTGTTCAAAACGGACGGTACCATTTCATTTGACAACATCCCAGAATTCCCTTGATCACAAAAAGGTGAAGCTCAATACAAGCTTGTCTTTGAACTAACTACAAGTGTACTGTAAATAAAAATGTTTTCCTTTTCAGCCATTTAGAATCCCTGTTTTCTTTATGTTCTTTAGAAGACAAGTCTACAGGACCGATAACAATACTGCACCTATTATTTCTTGAAAGAACATTTAATTAATAATAAAACTTAGGTGGTGTAAAAAGAAACATAATCCTCCTAAACCAGCAGGACTTTCCACTTCCAATATGCTTAGTGGGAGAATGACCAAGCTCATGCTATTCTTCTCTGAATTTGAGTGCAATGGAAACAATGCAATGAAACCAGTATCATCTGTTGCTTTCAGCAGCACAGAAAATCCATGAAAAATAAAAGGCAATACTAGAAAAGGAAACAGAGCACTCCAGTCTCTTATTTCAGCCACAATAACAGAGATAGTATGAGTAATAATGATCACTTTCACAGCACAGTTTTGACAGAAGAAGCAGATTTCTGTAAGTGTATACTGGTGGTTTGGTTATTCTTTTTTCTCCTGCCTTCTTTACATTTGTTTCACACTTGATAAAAACGGATCAAGAATCACTTACACTGCCTGTTCGATTGCCAACTCTCAGAACAAGAAATTACAAGTTACTGTAAAAGCCTTGACTATTCCCAGAAAATAAGCTGCAAGCTGTAGAGACACTGACATGATAATCTTCTCAGAATATGAAGAGGAGCTAAGGTTCTCATCTGTATCTCACAGAAATACAGGTAAAATACCTGATGAAAACAACTGCTGTTGTTTTATATATAATGATATATTACTCAAAAATCACAGCTATTTGTGAGATGCCTCCCTGCCTTTTAAACATACCTTCCTATCATTGCAACTCCTACCAGCATAGGGTTATTTCAGTTCCCCTTTAAGAAGAAGAGAGAATTGCAATGAATACTGCTGTTTTCAGTTAATTACACACTTAACACACAGCATACCAACTTAGGTTAACCAGTCTGTATCTAAAGTTTTGATCTACCAGAAAATACTACAGAAGACAGCATTCACCTCTGTCTTCGGTTGTCTAAAGCAGGGGCTTAACAGCTGACTGAGAACAAGCCTACTGATAGTTTATAAAAGGGAAAAGACAGGCATTATGTCTTGAATACAAAAGCACCTGGTACTGACCACAGGAAGCACACGCTGCCAGAGGCTTGGGACCACCACTCTCTGCAGGTCACCCTTTTCACAAATAGTAGAGGGATACATTGCAAAGCCACAGGAAAAGAAGCTTACCTCCCCAGAGCTTACTAAAAGCCTTTTTTTAGTCCCAGAATAATGCATCCAAAAAACATGCCTCAGGAAGTCAGACTGCAACACTGTTCCCTTTGTTTAAGAGTGTTTTCTCATGTTTTTAAATAAAATTTTTATCTGCTGCAAGCTGGCAGAGATACCTGTACACTAACTAGGTACATGTGAATTTGCATTTGAGCATTCACACGTAATTTTCAGTCTGCAATCACTAACACCATCCTCCTCTGAAGAATCAAGGGAATCTGGTATTATCAAGCACAGATTGTGCACAGTGAGTGTTGTGAGACTGTATAACAAAGGCTGACAATTATTTTCCAGTATCTTTAGTATTCCATTTCTCCTTTGAACTCTGAAATGCTACTAACTGCTTAAACTGCAATTCTGATGAGTATCGTTCTAATGCATATTTATCTAACTGTCTTAATTGAAGTAAACATTAGATTTACCATTATCACCATCCATTATGGCAAGCATTTTCACTTTTAAGGCTAAAAAGAAAGTACATGAGTTTTGTAGAAGCTATTTGTCATGTCGTATAAATATATTTTACATCAATTTGCATAAAATATTCAGTGGTTTTATACACAATCGAGAACTAAATTAAATCCACTTTAAGTAAAAAACGATGACTCTACCTTCTGTCATAATACCACGAGTCATCTTATGGCAGATTTTTCAGTGGGCTGGGCCCTTGCCATCAAAACACACACATAAACATCCCGAACACCAGCTGGGTTGGAACATTCCATGCAAAGGAGATGCTTCTGCTGCAGGCACACCTAAGTCAAGGAGTTTGGCTTCTACATCGCAAGTCATTAATCATTTCATTTATAAAAGATTGGTGCCTGCCATTTGAGATCTTAGTGTAGGTGTTAGAAATTAGACACAATTTGTATCAGAAGTGAGGGAAAAAACCCAGGTGTGATTAATTTCAATTAGGAAGCTGACAAAATTATGATCAAGTCAAGAGAACAAATAGCACCACACAGGGAAGCAAGTGAAATGGATCAAATGCAAGCTTTCTACTCTGGAAAGACTCCTTGAAATCAAAGACTTGTGCATAATAAACTTAGGCATGTGTAGATTTTCCCATAGGCAGAATCTAACACCTAGTAAACCAGTAATATTCCAGAGTAATATTAGCATGTAAGATTACAGAGTAATATTCCACATGAAAATATTGTTAAACATGTTCACAAGGCTAACTAACAAGCCTGAAGCTATTTACATGAACTATCTAAGCTGTTCAACTGACAAAATTCTGTTTCGGTCAAAACCCTGGATGCTGCCTGAGTAATACCCGATATTAAAATGTATTTCTTTCTTGGCTTATATTGAGCAGAAGTATTAATATAGTGAGTTTCAAGCAGAACTCTCAGAGAAAACATGACTGAAGATGCAGAGCGAAACGCACATGTCACTACAGTCCATTTAGCAGTTCCACTGCTGTCTTTAGAAAATGCCTATAAAAATTAAACAAATTCCTTGCTTCATTGTTCACAGACAATTGAAAAGGACGGGTGCCAGACAGACTCATGCATTTTTTAGGGATGGGAAGACTCCTGAAACAAATTAAAGACCATGCCAGAATACAGAGTCATAAAATAAATTAAAAAAAAATAATAGAGACTTCTCAAGCAGAAAGGATTCAACATATATTTCAGAAGAGAAAAGAGATATATTATCATCTACTCTAGAGATTTTGATTAATAGCAGAAAGATTACCAAGAAAGGAATCAGAAAAGAGGGAATGTCCATGTAAAACAGACACGTTAGCTCTATCTCTTCTAACACATATCTCCTGTTACTTTCCCAGGAAATCTATAAACGAGATGATGAAGCAAAATCAATTTATTATTCAACCTACTATATAGTAACATCTACCATTTAACCTATCCCTTAACAGAGCCTCAAAACCACTAGAAAATATTTATGCCAGCTTGTACATAGAGTCAATGTTTGGGAGGCTACTGAAGAATGTGTCTCCCTGTCAGGTACAAGCCCAAGTCTTTTTCAAAACAAGCTTACCAAAGAGCCTGTTTTGGAAAGACTGAGGCATCAACACCATGAGAATAACTCCTGGCCTTCAACTAACACATACTACTATCCTTGTTACCTATGCATTTCTATCGATGCTCAAATGTTTGCAGGCGCAGTGCTCTGTACATTGTCATGACCATGAGATTTACTTACAGAGTTGGAGGTATGCTTTGCTAATATATATGCCTATCACAGTGATTTTCCTGGCTTTTTTTTCCATCATTGCATGGGAGCTTCAATATAAAGGGAATAATATTCTATATTCCTAGGGAATAAAAGGCCATATAGGACTAGCTGTGTTCAGTAACCCTGTTTCAGAGAACTAAGAAACCCAAGTTTCAGGGAGCAGACTAAAGTCAGATTTCTTTCCACACAGTCGGATCACTTCCAGAGGAGGAAGA